GAACCTCAAATATTTCGTGGTTAGTGTCAGACCGACCCATCACCAACCACGACAAAAGTCCCCAGATTAAAAAAAATGCAAATTTCAATTAAATTTTGGGAAAAAACGTGTGCGGTAGAAAAAATAGTATAAATAACTCGTTCATAAGGCCATTGAGGCAATATTTGCCTTATGAAACTCGTTCTTTAATATACCATTACGCATTCATTAATTTTTTTGAGTCACCCTGTATATGCAAATCCAAAATATATAAATGGAGTGATAGATCACAAGTACAGACTCATCATATTTTGTACGTTTTAGATATGATTTATTCCACAAACTTTTGAGCTGACGTCATCAAGTTTTTGGAGGGGATAAGCAAATATTTTTTGACCAAAGATTTATGATGCTCCTTATAGCCTTAAAACATCTGCAACATTTCAAAGCATTCTGGTTAGCAGATTAAAAATTAAATTTCAAAATGTTGTTTTATAATTTTGATTTTTTTTCCAAAAATCTGGACGTTTCGGGTGAAAAGTCGATTCAGAGTCCTACATGTGTAGGACTATGTTATTTTATACAATTGAAAACCCATTTAATATGTACAATTTTGAAGCGACGTCATCGCATTAGTGGTGGGGATGATTAGACAAATTTTGGTTAGCGTTTTACCATCTACATGATACTCTTAAAATAAGTACAAAATTTCACAACAATCGTCGAGTACTTTCGGAGATTATCTGTCTAATAAAAATCTGGGACGCCAGACGTACAGACGGACAGACGGACGGACAGACGGACGGACAGACGGACAGACGGACAGACAGACGGAAATGGGAGACCTATTTCTTCGTCTTCTAGGGGTCATGAAAGATCGAGAAAACGTAAAAGTAGAGAGTCGGCCGACGGACTCGATTACAATACTTCCTTTGCTTACGCTCGGGAAGTAAAAAACAAGATTATGTCTAGATTTCAGAGACCTGAATAAGATAAGAGCTCCCCAATCACAACCTTTTCCATTAATCGAACATCTAGTAATAAAAAGAAGAAATTACAGATACTTTTCGAAACTTGACATAAACTCAGCGTTTTGGTCCATTCCTTTGAGGGTAGAAGAAGGTCACTTTCAATGGACCTGTCTACCATTTGGACTAAAAACGTCACCAGCAATATTTCGAAGAAAATTAAGTAACATAATAAGAAAACATAAATTATCAGATTTTGCACTCAACTATATAGACGATATACCGATTTTTTCAAAAATCTTCGAAGAACACATTAATCATTTGTCGCAATTACTAGAAGCAATAATGAATGAAGTTTCCGATTAAAACTTTCTAAATGTACCTTTGCCTTGGATTCCATGAAATATTTAGGACATGTAATAGGATACAATTCAATTTCTCCCCTAAAGGATAATTTGATTTCAATACGAAATTTTCCGGTTCCAAGAAATCAGAAAAAAGTTCCACAATTCTTGGGGAAGATAAATTTTTATAATGAATATGTACCGAAAATTTCTATTATTCTGGAACCACTACATAATTTATTAAGAAAAGGTCAAAAATTCACCTGGTCTACAGAAAGTCAAACAGCCTTTGAATATATGAAGAATTTCCTCTGCCAGCAGCCGGTCTTAGCTATTTTTGATCCGGAATTACCAATACACATTTACACAGATGCAAGCTTACAAGGTACAGCAGCTGTGATGAAACAACCACAACTAGATAATAATTCGGAAATAGAAAAACCAGTGGCATACTTCTCCAAGAAACTTAATGAATCTCAGAAAAGAAAGAAAGCTATTTATCTAGAATGCCTAGCAATAAAAGAAGCAGCACAGTATTGGCAACACTTGCTCATAGGAATACACTTCAAAGTGTTTTCGGATCATAAGCCACTAGAAAAATTGAATATTAAAGCTAGAACGGACGAAGAGTTAGGGGATGTCACTTTCTACTTATCACAATATGACATGGAAATAATATACCGTCCAGGCAGAGATAACTTGGAAGCAAACTGCTTAAGCAGAAACCCAGTATTGGAGCCTCAAGAAGACGAAGAAGAGAAATTAAAAATTGTCAATCTAATAAAAATAGAGGCTATCATACAAGACCAAGAGGGTAACGAAAATTTAACAAATAATAAAAATAATCTAATATTTGAAGATACTCTATATTATAGAAAAGAAAGGAAGAAGAAGAAAATTGTATTATCAGAAGAGTTTTGTAAAAAACTTATAAAAAATATCCATAAGGAATTTTGCCACATAGGCATAAAACAAATGCAAAGCAAAATACTACCTTACTATACGGCTGAAGATATACCAAAAAATATCGAAAAAGTTTGCAAAAATTGCGAAATTTGCATACAAAATAAATCAAGAAGACATAGTAAAATTGGCCTAATGTCACATCTCGGTCCTGCAAAAAAGCCGTTTGAAGTGGTTTCCATAGTTACAATCGGTGGATTTGGTGGTTCACGATCCACTAAAAAATACTTACACCCTCTAGCAGATCATTTTACTAGATTTGCATACATAGTAACATCAAAGACACAACGCACGAGGGATTTCATTAAACTGACAGAAAATGTGCTAAGAAACTATAACATCGAAATACTTTTAACTGAACAATACCCAGACATAAATTCTAAAGATTTCAAAAATTTCATAGAAGAAAAATATATCACAATGATATTTACAGCAGTTAACGTACCATTCTCGAATGGTTTGAATGAAAGACTCAATCAAACTTTCGTAAATAAAACTTGATGTGTAATAAATGAAGAAAAAAAGAACAAATGTGCATGGACAAGCATAGCACATAACTGTGTAAATAAATACAATGAAACAGTGCATACAGTAACAGGGTTTAGTCCAAAATATTTATTATTAAGTAAAGATACTAGAGGAATTGAAAAAAAAGATAGATGGTAATGATCTAGAGAATGATAGAACAATTGCCTTTGAAAACAGTAAAAAAAATCAAGACTACAATAAAAAACTGTATGACAAAAATAGGATAGATTATAACTTCAAGCTCGGAGAACTAGTAAATGTTGAAAATGGTAACCGATTCAACCGAAAAAAATTAGATGTGTTAAGAATTGGACCTTACAAAATCCTAAGGAAGATATCAAATTCTATATACGAAATCGATACCACACATAGAAAATCAGAATCAAATTTATTTCATATCTCCAACCTCATTTCTGCTCCAAGTACTTCAAAGGAAGAAACCACCACAGGCACTTGGCTATTAACTGCTTTTGCTCATATATTATAAATTGTACCAAAATTTGTATCTTAGGGGGGAGATGTATTGATAAGGATTAATTATCCTCACTCTTATTGAATCTAACCCGCAATTAGGTCGGTAAGTTAGATCTCTGAATGCGATGATTAATTATGGCATGTGGCAATGAGTGACGAACCAAGTCAGATTTCATTTAATAATGTAAAAGATTGTGAATAATAACATTGAATGGTGTTTCTTTGTTGTTTATAGGTAGGATTAGTAATTAGATTAAGTACTTTAATAAAAACTTTGTTGTTTACAGAGAAACAATTAAGTTTTATTCCCTTTTAAAGATAAGAAGGAAAAACGGAAATAACCCCGCATTACATTTATATTAAGAATATCATGTAGATGGTAAAACGCTGACCAAAATTTGTGTCATCATCCCCACCAATAATGTGATGACGTCACTTCAAAATTGTACGTAGTAAATGGGTTCAAAATTGTATGAAATAACATAGTCCTACACATGTAGTTTATGACCTCATATTCAGTTTTTACCCAAAACGTCCAGATTTTTGGAAAAAAAATCAAAAATATAAACCGACATTTTGCAATTTAATTTTGAATCTGGAAAACCGAATGCTTTGAAATCTTGCAGATATTTGAAAGTTAGGATAAGCATGATCTATTTTTAATCAAAATTTTGCCGAATAAATCCTATCTAAATTGTACAAAATATGATGAGTCTGTACTTGCAATTTATCATTCCATTCATATTTTTTGGATCTGCATATACAGAGTGACTAAAAAAAATGTATGCGTGAATTGATTTTATTGATTCACTTTATCAACAGTTGAAAAAAAAGTATTCACCTGATGTTAAATTATGCCACACTTTATCAACGTACATGATGATAAATTATGCCATTATCCAAGTGATTGTTTACTTAAAACAATCAGCTTTGAGAGTTTATATCGTGTACTTTCCCCAGCTTATCCCAAACAAATACATGATAAATAAACACAAAATGTATACAGCGTCGGGAGAAATGCTTCTCTTCGATGTTAACTGCTTGAGGGGAAAAATTTAGTCCCCCCGTACCACGATATCATGAATTCTATCGCACTTTCCATGGTCCTTTTCCCAGAGTGGGACAACGTAAGATCTTGTGTGAGGAATTAAGAAGTGTTATTATGTAACAGTCTAACACTTAAGTATAAGCATCCAGAAACCTTATTTACAACTTGATAAATAAAAGATGAGTCCTGACTAAGTGAATTTCATAAAATCTCCGAGCAAATGCTTTATCTAAACAATCTAAGGACCCTTAAATTGGATTGGAACTAGTTAACGATTAAAATCCTAACACGAACTGTGAATTTATAAACAATAAAACAAATTTACACCACGTGTTGACGTCCGTTCAAAATTCGCATATTTCCTCTTGGAAAAACCGCAAGAATTTTTTTTAACCACCAAACCTAGCCAGCTTAATTTTACAGCTTATGGTTGCATATTATTATGTTTAACGATTGTCTTGATTTGAATTTTTTAAATTTAAATTATTCAAATGGGATTTTGCGCCGCTGTTTTCTTTCACAGGGAAATTTTCATTCAAATTTGGTCACCTCAAAGTTATTCAAGTAATATTGTCCGATTTTATCGCATAGTTATGACTAACCTGAATTGTTTATCAACTGATAAGTGATAATACATTTCTTTATTTAAATTTTCCTTGAACGCTAATATGTATGATAAACGTATACCTAGTTGTTCACCATAAAAATACAATAACGTAGTAGGATTAAATGTACAAATAAACAGGTCCTAACCAAGTAGTGTAAAACGTAGAATTTTTAGTTCCAAAAAATGGAAGACAAGCAACTAATGAAAACTAGCCAGAATAAATCTAAAAAACATATACCATTTTGGTAAGTGTTGTAACTATTATTCATCATATAAAACCTCTGTCTTAAGTTGGCAACTACCTGTAATTCTGAAAGGTTGGAAGCAAGAGCTAACCGAAGACGATCTTTATACACCTTTGAAAGAATTTGAATCTAGACGATTAGGAGACGAGTTAGAACGACTCTGGCAAGACGAAGAACAATTTTCTAAAAACCCGTCACTAACCACAGCGCTATGGAAACTAGTACGAGTAAAATTCATGCTTTATGGGTTTGTGTTGTTTGTATTTAAACTAACCTCTTTGTAAGTGACGTTTGTGTTAAGAGTCATACTTAATTTATTTTGTAGTACCGTACAACCACTCTGTTTAAGAAAAATTTTAGACTACCACACATCCAATCAAACTGACGTATCTCTAAGAGAAGCTTACACATACGCGGGAATTAGTGCCACCACAATTCTACTATTTATGATTGTGATTCACTGGACCATACTACAACTCACTTTACTCGGGTTGAAGGTCCGAATAGCTTGTTCTTCTCTGATTTTTCGTAGAGCGTTGAAACTAAAGCAAAGCTCGTTGGGGAAAGTACCGATAGGTCACGTGATTAACTTACTGTCAAATGACGTCAACAGATTTGAGACTTGTCTTCCATTTCTTCCACACATTTGGATAGCGCCTGTTAACTTAATAATAGTAACTTGTATTCTGGACTTCACTCTTGGCCATACAGCCACGTGTGGAATTGGTGTCCTAGTTATTTTTGTAATATTTCAAAGTCAGTTATTTTTTATTTTTCGTTTGGTATTAATGACAACATGTCTTTGCAGTGTACTCCATGAAGATGCTTTCTTCTGTCAGACGAAACGTTGCTGAGAAAACTGACTACAGAGTGCGATTAATGAATGATGTCATCTGCGGTATTCAAGCCATTAAAATGTACACTTGGGAAAAACCGTACATGAAACTGATACACAACGTGAGAAAGTAGGACGTTTAATTCTAAAGGGACTTTAACTAAAGTAGTTACAAATTTTGCAGACAAGAGATGAACAAAGTAGTTGCCAGTAACCACATCCGTGTTCTAAACCTTGTCTTTAGAATATACATTTCCAAATTGGGTGTTTACTTGTCAATACTGGTTACTACATTAATGGGGTTACCTTTGACGTCACAGTACGTCTTTGTCATGTTTAACATTTATGAAACTTTGAAAATGTCTACAAGTATGCTGTTCCAACACGCTCTGGGACAGGTTGCCGAAACAAACATTTCGATACAGCGAATCCAGTCGTACTTGCTCCACGACCACCAAACCTTAACTCCAAACGTAGACTCCATTGCCACATTTAGACAAGACAAATATCAAACCAAACCCGGAATCTCTCTAAAAAGTGTTAGCATCAAGTGGAATTCTGCTTCTCCTAGTTTTACTTTAAGCGACGTCAATTTTGAAGCCTCACCCGGCGAACTAGTTGCCATAGCTGGTGCTACTGGTAGCGGAAAATCAACACTTCTTTATGCGATTTTGAACGAAGTCGACGTAATTAAAGGCAACATTGAGCTTGAAGGAACAATCTCGTACGCATCCCAAGAACCGTGGATTTTTTCAGCCAGTATTAAGCAAAATATCCTCTTCGGGGAAGATTTCAACAGGCTGAAATATTTGAAGGTACTCAAAGCCTGCGCTCTTGAGCACGACCTTGCTATGTTTCCGCACGGTGACCAAACCCGGGTTGGCGAAAGAGGGGTCATGTTGAGTGGTGGCCAAAAGGCGAGAATCGGTTTAGCAAGAGCTGTGTACAGAGACGCTGATGTTTATTTGCTTGATGATCCATTATCAGCGGTGGATTCTCAAGTGGCACGTCACATTTTCAACGACTGCGTTTGTGGCTATTTGAAAACGAAATGCGTGATTTTGGTGACGCATCAAATCCAGTTCTTGAAACGCGTGAACAGAGTGTATTTGATTGAGTCACAAACTGTTTATAAGTGTAACGAAGACACGAATTTTGCAAATTTTGGAAAATATTTTGTCGACGATGTTTCAAAGACGGAAGAGACACAACCTAATTTTGTGGAACTAAATCAACTTCAAGTTGAAACTAAAGAACATCGGAGTTCTGATGCTACGTTATCAAAAGCTTACAAGGGCTACGTCAGTGCAGGGAATTTGTTTCTTACTTGTGTGATATTTTGTTCTTTCGTAATAGGTTTAGGGATTAATATTTCAGTTGATTATTTTTTGGCACTGTGGGTTGATGCGGAGCAAGGTGACACTGTCAAAGATTGGAATTTTTTAAAGTTCCTCGACAAAAGTTGTTACCTATACGTGTATACGGTTCTATTGGTACTTTTAGTACTGTCGTCACATGGTACTTCTTGCTTGTTCGTAACATGGTCCAAATCAATCTCAAACAATTTGCACAACGTTATGTTGCAAAGAATTGTCAATGCAACTGTAACATTCTTCAACGAGCATTCTTCTGGTCGAATTCTTAATCGTTTCACCAAAGACATCGGAATTGTTGACGAGATTATTCCGCCTGTCTTTATGGCGGTACTCACGAGCCTCAGTGTTATATTAAGTGTCCTTTGTCTTATTATCTTTTCAAATTATTGGATCGTGTTTCCTATAGTTTTGGTCGTTCTAATAACAATAGGTTTTAAAATGATATTTCAGCACACTAGTAGCAGCCTGAAAAGAACAGAGGCAGTAAGTAAGTTATATTCGTTTTGATTGTTTCTCAAAGTTAAATATAATGTTTGTCTAGCTCGAAGTGCCGCACTTACACATTTATCGGCATCTGTTCAAGGTTTACCAATAATAAGAGCTTTCGGACTGGAAAGTAAAATCGTAGATGAATTTGACTATCACGAAAGTCTTCACAGTTCAGCCTTCTACTTATTCGCGACAACATTCGCCGCATTTAGCTTCTGGACAGATGTAGTTTGCGCTTTATTCAACATTCTAGTAATATTTAGTTTCTTGTTCATAAAAGTTGGTACGTATCACTTAACTTAGTTACTCGTTCTTTTCGATTTCTTACAAAAATATAGACTCTTCCGCCGGTTTTGTTGGCTTGGCCATAACGCAGTCTATGATGTTGGTACGACTAGTTCAGTACACTCTAAAAAACTGGGGAGACCTTGAAGCAAGAATGGTTTCAGTGGAACGAATAATAGAATATACAGAAATAGAAGTAGAATCCAATGCCGGAGTTGCTAAAGTTGCACAGGACTGGCCAACCACAGGCAAACTATCATTTGTTTCAGTTTCTCTCCAATATTCCCCTGATACTCCCTTCGTTCTAAAGAATATCTCCTTCGAAATCAAACACGGCGAAAAAATCGGAATCGTCGGTAGAACCGGTGCTGGCAAAACCTCACTCACGTCAGTCCTTTTCCGTTTATTCCACCACGAAGGAGACGTTTTCATCGACGGAGTTAACACCAAAACCATATCTTTAGACGTTCTTCGTTCCAAAATCACCATCATTCCTCAAGATCCGGTTTTATTTTTGGGCACTCTGCGCAAAAATATCGACCCTTTTGACGATTACACAGACCACGAAATTTGGAGTTGCTTGGACGAACTAGAACTGAAAGAAATGGTTTCAAAATTGTCAAATGGTTTAGAAAGTCAAATTTCCGAAAAGGGTTCGAATTTTAGTTTCGGTGAAAAGCAGCTGCTGTGTCTTGTTAGGGCCATGTTGAGGAATAATAAATTAATCGTGCTGGATGAAGCTACAGCTAATGTTGATTTGAAGACGGACGAACTAATTCAGGCTGTGATTAGACGGAAATTTCGACATTGTACGGTTTTGACTGTAGCGCATCGTTTGAACACGGTTATAGATTCCGACAGGATTTTGGTTCTCGATGATGGTTCAATTGTGGAATTTGATCATCCGTTTTTGCTGTTGCAGAACACGGAAGGTTTTTTTTATGAATACATCAAGCAGTATGGAAATGCAGTGGTGTCAGAGTTTAAGGCAAGTGCTGAATATGTAAGTTGTATGCAGTTATGATTATGAATTAAAATAGACTGAACTTGATCTTTTTAGAATTACAGACAACTAAATACTGCTTCCAGTTTAACGGAATATGAAAATGAAGAGGATAAGAGTTTGTGAAAGATGTTTCAGTTAAAAATTTCTGAAACATGATTGATATTTATGTCAAGAAGCAGCTCTCAACAAGTTTTACTTTCCGTTTCCAGATAATTTCCTAAACTACTGGACCGATTGTTGTTAAATTTTAACATAACATATTACAGTCTTGTACAGAATTTAGTATTTTATTTCTGAGCTACCAAAATTTCCCCCATGTGCACATTTTATAAACGATAATATTGTAATTTTTAGACAATAATAATAATAATAAATGTCTGTGTTTGGTTCAAGATTATTAGGATTAAAAACAAAATTATTTATAAATTTAATAAACTTTCTCACTGTTGCCATTATGGGGCGGAGCCTAATTGCAAAACTGATATTTCCTAATACAAAGTTTTCATTTTAAATATGTTTTAAGTTCCGTGTTGCTAAAGGAAGTCTGCACATATCAAAACAAAAAGGCAACATGTAAGCCCGCCCATCCGCGCTATCTCAATTCTGATGATTTTTTTTATTCGCCGTGAACAAAGACATTAAGAAAAAAAGGCACAATATAAACCCCGCCCGTCTCCATTGTGATGATTTTTTTCAATTCTTAGAAACTCAAAACACGTTTAAAATGGTAAATTTTCCTCCCCTACATCTGCCAAAGATTTTCAATTTTTGGATATTACAATTTTAGTGAATCCTAAAATTTCAAATTTTCGATTTTTCGATCTTTCAATTCTACGATTTCTCAATTTTTGATTCTTCAATTTTTCGATTTCCCTGTTTCTCGAATAATCGACTTCATTTCTCGATTTCTCGACATTAAAATTTTTTTAAATTTTCGACTTTATCATGACTCGATGTTTCAGCTTTTCGATTCTTCAATGTTTCTTCCATTTTTCAATTTTTCGGTATTTCAGCTTTGGGATTTTTCAAAATGCCGATTCTTCAATTTTTCGATTTTTTTGGCGTTTCAATTTTTCGATTTAGTGATCTTTCTGCTTTCCCATTCTTCGATGTTTTTAAATTTCAGTTTGTTGATGTTTGAATTCAACGATCTTTCAATTTTCCGACTTCTCGATTTTAGATTTTTCAACTTCGATTTATCAACTTTAGGATTTCCGGAATCTTCAAGTTTTCGATTTCTCAATTTTTCCATTCTTCAATTTTTTGATATTTCAGTTTTGAGATTTTTCAGTATTTAGATTCTTCAATTTTTCGATTTTTGGATTTCTCGGTTTTTTTACTTTTTCGATTTTTAAATTTTAGATTTTCCAGTTTTTCAATTTATGGATTTTTTCATGTTTCGAATCCTTGGTTTTTCGATTCTTCGGTATTTTAATTTTTCAATTTTTTTTTATTCACCGTGAAGCTTAATTGCAAAATTCTTATTTCGTTACAGGAAATTAAAAACGTGTTTTTGAGTATCGTGTCGTTCAAAAAATACTAAGTACGTTAAGAAAAAAAGGCACAATATAAACCCCGCCCACCCACCCCGTCTCCATTGTGATGATTTTTTCAATTCTTAGAAACTTAAAACACGTTTAAAATGGTAAGTTTTCCTCCCTTACATATGCCAACGATTTTCAATTTTTCGATATTACAATTTTAGGATTTTTCAATTTTTCGACTCTTCAAATTTTCGATTACTTAATTTTTTTCATTTTTCGATTTTTCGATGTTTCAACTCTACGATTTCTCAATTTTTCGATTTCCCTGTTTCCCGAATAATCGACTTCATTTCTCGATTTCTCGACTTTCGAATTTTTTTTAAATTTTCGACTTTTCCATGACTCGATGTTTCAGTTTTTACGATTCTTCAATGTTTCTTCCATTTTTCAATTTTTCGGTATTTCAGCTTTGGGATTTTTCAAAATGCCGATTCTTCAATTTTTCGATTTTTTTGACGTTTCAATTTTTCGATTTAGTGATGTTTCTTTTTCCCGATTTTTCGATTTTTCTACATTTCAGTTTGTTGATGTTTCAATTCAACGATATTTCAATTTTCCGACTTCTCGGTTTTAGATTTTTCAACCTCGATTTATCGACTTAGATTTCCCGAATTTTCAAGTTTTCGATTTCTCAATTTTTCCGTTCTTCAATTTTTTGATATTTCAGTGTTGAGATTTTTCAGTATTTTGCTTCTTCAATTTTTCGATTTTTGGATTTCTCGATTTTTTTACTTTTTCGATTTTTAAGTTTTAGATGTTCCAGTTTTTCAATTTATGGATTTTTTCATGTTTCGAATCCTTGGTGTTTCAATTTTTCGGTATTTTACTTATTCAATTTTTTTTTATTCACCGTGAAGCTTAATTCCAAAATACTTATTTCGTTACAGGAAATTAAAAACGTGTTTTTGAGTATCGTGTCGTTCAAAAAATACTAAGTACGTTAAGAAAATAAGGCAAAATATAAACCCCGCCCACCCACCCCGTCTCCATTGTGATGATTTTTTCAATTCTTAGAAACTTAAAACACGTTTAAAATGGTAAATTTTCCTCCCCTACATCCGCCAACGATTTTCAATTTTTGGATATTACAATTTTAAGATTTTTCAATTTTTCGACTCTTCAAATTTTCGATTACTCAATTTTTTTCATTTTTCGATTGTTGATATTTCAATTCTACGATTTCTCAATTTTTGATTCTTCAATTTTTCGGTTTCCCTGTTTCCCGAATAATCGATTTCATTTCTCGATTTCTCGACTTCCCAATTTTTTTAAATTTTCGACTTGTCCATGACTCGATGTTTCAATTTTTCGATTCTTCAATGTTTCTTCCATTTTTCAATTTTTCGGTATTTCAGCTTTGGGATTTTTCAAAATGCCGATTCTTCAATTTTTCGGTTTTTTTGACGTTTCAATTTTTCGATTTAGTGATGTTTCTGTTTCCCGATTTTTCGATTTTTTTAAATTTCAGTTTGTTGATGTTTTTCAATTCAACGATCTTTCAATTTTCCGACTTCTCGGTTTTAGATTCTTCAACTTCGGTTTATCGACTTTTGGATTACCGAATTTTCAAATTTTCGATTTCTCAATTTTTCCGTTCTTCAATTTTTTGATATTTCAGTTTTGCGATTTTTCAGTATTTTGATTGTTCAATTTTTCGTTTTTTGGATTTCTCGGTTTTTTACTTTTTCGATTTTCAAATTTTAAATTTTCCAGTTTTTCAATTCATGGAATTTTTCATGTTTCGAATCCTTGGTTTTTCAATTTTTCGGTATTTTAATTTTTAATTTTTTTTTATTCACCGTGAAGCTTATTGCAAAATCCTTATTTCGTTACAGGAAATTAAAAAATACTAAGTACGTTAAGAAAAAAAGGCACAATATAAAGAGAAAAACGCCAAATATTTACCCCACCCACCCACCCCATCTCAACTGTGATGATTTTTTTTATTCTGAAAAACTTGAAACACGTTTAAAATGGAAAATTTCCGCTTAGCCAGAGGCAAGCTCCAAAGCACCGCCGAAGAGGTTTTTCATTTCTGAAAAAATTGCTTAAAAAATCTCAAAAATTTCAATGATATTATTTCACTTAGCTTCACCGCTAAGTGAAAATTATAGACCAAAAAATTTGATCATATAAATCCTAGTTGAAAGCGAAATTATTTAAAAATAATTATTAAATTTACGATAATCAGTAGCAATTAAAAAAAATCGCAAGATAAGCATTTCAAAAAACTATACAGCAAAGTGCAATTAAAAGTAAATATAAAAACTATAATTACAAGTAGTAACACAATTATTTACAGCTATAATTAAGATATTAAGTTAGAAGTTCTTTTTATATGAAAACATAAGTTGTCAAGAAATTTTGATTACTTAAATTTTCAATCCTTGTTTGAGGGGCAAACTTTACACGTTTTCAAGGTTATGACGTCATCGCAACTCGTGTCGAACACATTTATACCGAGAGAGTAATAAAAAACGCCATCAAACGCAGCCATGAAATCTTTGGAAGTTTGTCTTTGATCGTTGCATTTTCAACTCAGACTTCCAAATTGAAAGTAATCTGACAAGACAAACATTCTATAAAAGACAAATCTTGAAGAATTTTCGGATATTTTCAAAATTAAGTGTACTTACAAAGACAAGGTATTTTTTTAAAGTTTGTTTATCTGTTGCGTCAAATAAAAAAGCACACAATCTGATAATCTCAAGTACTTAGTTGGAAGGAAAACAGAATTTTAATGCCTAAAACTGTTTTTATTGGATCAATAGAATAGATTAGATACAAAGATGGTTCGGTAAAGCAGTTCCCAGAATAACAGTGAGGTAAATTAAAAGTTTATTTCCTGAAGTTATAGATTGTCAAGTCTGCAAGTTTATAACTTCTTGTGAAAAATATTGGAAGAGAGAAGAGATAAAAGCTCAAGTAAGTACAATAAAAATGATCACTAAGAAGTTTTAGATTAAATCTACGGATTAAAACTTTTGCTCACGTCACTCAGGCCAATATCCCCTCTAAACGATTTATCTATAAGCCGACATTCGTCACAATTCCAAATTTTACAATAGTAGATGTAACATTTTGCAATTTATAGTTACTGAAAGCAGATTAAATCGTTAGTCAAAATTTAAAATTTTGTCGAATAAATGCTATTTAATTGTTAAAGAGTAGCATAGTCCTGAACTTGTGGTTTATAAATACGCTATTGAGATTTTTCGGCTTTTCGATTTCTTGATTTTTCAACTTTAGATGTCTCAGTTTTTCAATATTTCGATTTTCGGCTTGTTCAATTTTTCCATTCTTCAAATTTTCGATTTCTCCATTTTTTCATATTTAAATAGATACGATTTTTGCCCTCTTCAATTTTACTGTTTTTAAATATTAAATATCATTTTTGAATTTTTCCAATTTTGACGTTTCTAAATTTTCAGTTTCCCGATTTCTCCATGAATCTATTTTTTTGTTTTCCCATTTCTTGACTCCCAACGTTTCGATTTTCAGGTCTTCAGTTGTTCAATTATGTGATTTTTCAGTTTTTCGATTCTTCAATTTTTTGAGTTCAGGGTTTTTCGATTTCTCGAGTTTTTACTTTCTTTGATTTTCAATATTTCGTTTTTAAAACTTTTGATTTTTCAATTTTTCGACCGTTTTATAATTTCTCAATTTTTAAAATTTTAAGTTTTTCGATTTCTTGAGTTTTCAGCTCTTTTATATGTATTTAAATTTTTCAATTTTCGGAATTTTTAAATTTTCGATTTTTGAATTTATTTTTTAATTTTTTGATTTTCCGAAGTTTCGAAATATAAATAGCCAAAAATCGAAAAATCCAACAGTTAAAAATGTAAACATCTGAGAATTGAAAAAACAAAACATCGAATTTCAAAAATTTGAAAAATTGAAAATTTAAAAATTCGGGAAATTGAAAAATTAAAATGTAGAACTGAAAACTCGAGAAATCGAAATATAAAACATTCGAAAAATTAAAAAATTTAAAGTTTAAAAAACGAAAAACTGAAAATCCAAAAAATAAAAAATCGAAAAATCCAGAAGTCGACGAATCGAAATATTGAAAACTCCCAAAACTGAAAGAAATATCCACAAATTGAGAAATTAAAAAATTGGAAAATCGACAAATCGAAAAACCAAAAAAGCAAAATGGAAACATCGAAAAATTGAACAACTGAAAAATCGAACCTTTGAAGCTGAGAAATAGGAAAAGTAAAAATAAACTAATTGAGAAATTGGAGAACTGAAACTTTCGCAACGTCAAAATTTGAAACATTGAACAATTAAATTATAGAAAAATTGAAAAATCGAGAAATTCAAACATCAACAAATCAAAAATTAAAAATTTGAAAATCTAAAATTTAAAAATCGAAAAACTGAAAAATCGAGAAATCGAAACCCCAATATTTGAAAACTTGAAAAAATGAAAAATCGAAGCAACGAAAAATTGAAAAATCGAAAAATTAAAAACCCCAAAAGTAAAAAATCGAAAAACAGAGGAATCTAAAAATCGAAAAATTGAAAAACTCAGACACCGAGATATCGAAAAACCAGAGGATCGAGAAATCAGAATTTAAAAAATTGAAAAATTGAAAAATCGATGAAGTGAAAAATCGAAACGACGAAAAATTGGAAAATCGAAAAGTGTTTTTTTTATTTTCCCATTTCTCGACTTCCTAAATATTCGATTTTTCACTTCTTCATTTCTTCAATTTTTCGAGTTTTATGTTTGTGATTTTTCGACTTTGCTTTTTTAGATTTCTCAAATGTTTGGATATTTCTTTCAGTTATGGTATTTTTCAATATTTCGATTTTTAGATTTTTTTTGATTTCTCGATTTTTTACTTTTTGGATTTTCAGTTTATCGTTAATTTTTTTAACTTTTCGATGTTTTAATTTTTGAAGTTTTAAAAATCTACGTTTTTCGATTTCTCGATTTTTTAGTTCTTCAAGAATTCTTTCAGAATTTTTAAAATTTCGATTTTCCAATTTTTTTTTTATTTTACGTTTTATCGAATTCAGATGTTTCGATGTTTTGATTGTTTAATTTCTCGATTTATCAATATTTCAATGCTTAACTTTTCTCCTCGGTTTTCGACTTTTCGATTTCTCGATCCTCTGATTTTTCGATTTCTCGATGTCTCAGTTTTTGAATTTTTCGATGTTTTTATTTTTCAGTTACTCGAATTTTAAATTTTTCATTTTTTTAAATTCTGGAGTTTCGATTTTATTTTTTTAATTTTTCATGTTTTGGATTTCATTGTTTTAAATCTTAGATTTTTCGATTTCTCGATTTTTTGATTTTTTAGTTTTTCAGTCTTTCTACTTTTCAAATTTTGACGTTACTAAATTTTCAGTTTTCCGATTTCTCAATTAATCTATTTTTGATTTTACCATTTCTCGATTTCTCAAAATTTCAATTTTTCAGTTCTTCAGTTCTTCGATTTTTCGACTTTGCTGTTTGGTTTTTCTGTTTCTCAATTTTTCAATTTTGTAAGTTCTCAATTTTTGGATATTTATTTCAGTTTTGAATTTTTTAATATTTCGATTCTTCGACTTATCGATTTTTCGACTTCTGGATTTTTCAATTTTTCATTTTTTGAATTTTAATTTTTTTGTTTTATGAAACTTTAGATTTTTCAATTTTTCGAGTGTTTTATATTTCGATTTCTCAATTTTTTAACTTTTCCATATTTTAATTTTTCAATTTTTAGAATCATAGATTTTTCGATTTCTCGAGTTTCCAGTTCTATATGTTTCAATTTTCCGAATTTTTAAATTTTCGATTTTTCAATGTTTTGATTGTATAATCTCCCGATTTATCAATTTTTTCATTTTTAACTTTTCGATTTTGGCCTATTTCGTCTCTCATCAATTTTTCGATTTTTCCACCTTTTCGATTCCTCAATTTCTCCATCTTTTGGTTTTTTGATTTTTCGATGTCTCAGTTTTTGAATTTTTCGATGTTTCGATTTTTGAATTACATATCCGAATTTTCAATTTTCCAATTTTCTAAATTTTCGAGTATCGATTTCTCGATTTGTCGATTTTAATTTTTCAATGTTTGAAATTTTCGATTTTTCGGTTTTTCAATTCTTCAATATTTTTCAATTTTTCAAATTTTGACGTTTACTGAATTTTAAGTGTTCCGATTTCTCTATTAATCTATGTTTTGATTTTCCCATTTCTCCACTTCCAAAGTTTCGATCTTTCAGTTCTTCAATTTTTCGATTGTTCAGGTTTTTGATTGTTCAATTTTTCGAATTTTTAATTTCCTAATTTTTGGATATTTCGTTCAATTTTGTGATTTTTCAGTTTTTCGATTCTTCAGTTTCTCTTCTACTTTTCAATTTTTCGATTTCTTGACTTTTTACTTCTTGGATTTTCAATTTTCCGTGTTTTAAACTTTAGATTTTTCAATTTTTAAAATTTTCGGTTTCTCGAGTTTTCAGTTTTCCTACATGTATTTTAAATTTTCAATATTCGGAATTTTTAAATTTCAGCTTTTCCAGTTTTTTTTTATTTATTCGATTTTTTCGATGTTTTTTTTCAATTATCCGATTGTTCAATATCTCGATTTTTAAATTTTAGATTTTCCAATTTTTATTCGATATTTGTTTTTTAAAGTTTTAAATTTTAGATTTTTCGATTTCTTGAATTTTCAATTTCTTCCATATTTCTGTTTTTGAATTTTTCGATTTTCCGATTTTTGAAGTTTTCGATTTCTCAATTTTTTTCAACATTATCAGTTTTGGGAACTTTTCAATTTCTGTTTTTTTTTCAATTTTTCGGTTTTTCAATCACTGAAAGCTTCTCGTGTTGTTGCTAAAAGTTTTCCCAATGTTAATATTATATAATGTATGGAAAATAAATAACTACCAATATGACTATGAGAATGAAACTAGTTTTTTTTTTATATAACATTTTTCACTTTTATGTTCTTACTTTTTCGTTTATTACTTTATTCATTTTCGCCACCTCGTAATTTTTATGAAGATCTTCATTTCACACATTTCTTCTTGAATTTCCACCTTCTCTTCTTCCATCTCCTCCATTTTCCGACCATTTTATCTTCTTCTGTAATCACATCTCATTTTCTGTCTTTCATGTCCCTGATAGGATTTCTTTTTTCCGGTTTATATTTTCTTTATCCTTATTTCTCACATTTTCTTCATCACAATTTTCCGTCCTCTTATCGTTACTGTTTAGTTTTTTGAGTTACGTTCTTGTTTTTTTTTATTTCACCAAGTCTTCCTTGTCTTCATTCCACTCCCATTTCTCTTCGTCTTGTCTTTTTGTTCATAGTATCTTGGTCTTTGGTCACTACATTTAAATATAGACATATAATTATGTTTTTTTCACACTGGATCAAACTGTCTTCAAATGTTTATAAAAATTTATTACTTTTTACAAGAAACTTCTAAAGGTGTTAAATCAGGTGATCGAGGTGGATATTGTCTATGTGAATGTTGTTAAGAGACGAGATTGTAGGCAAGCCACCACTACACAAGTTGTATGTTCTAAGACACGACTTACGTAATTTAGTGGCATAATATGCAGCGAATACTAGATTACACATAAGAAAAATCATATGGCTCTAAAATACGTATTTCGTTTCTGATTTTCGTTATGAATATGAATATCAGGATTTACAACTGATTTTTAGGTTTGAGTGTTCATCTAAAGAAGAATCATCATTATGGAGGAGGTAAACAGAACTCTAGAAGAAAATTTACACCACAAACAATCAACGGACGAATTGTTGCCCACTTTTCACTTCGAGGTTAATACAGAAAAGGTATTACAACGATGGTGTATCTATTTTTTTATTAAAATGCATTTTTGTGACGTTTCAGAATTTTCGCAAACGGTCTGGAACCACGGACAAGGGCAAAAAGTATGAGAACATGGTAACTGCTAGCACCATACTTCGTCTGGTAAGCACCAATAAAGTAAAAAACTTCCACGTTTCGTCAGACGATCCAAATTTCGGGGCATTCGATGATGTGGTCATTGAAGTGGAGACTGACGACGGAGTCCAAACAATCGCAGTCCAGTTGAAACACAGCAACAATCCAGGAAATTTACGCATAAAACGACTAGCAAGCGAAAAGGGGGATTTTAGCATTCTTAAATATTTTAAATCGTTCCAAGAAATAAAGAAGAAACCACACCAATCTATTTTGTTCACGAACCTCAAATTTAAGGTTTTTAAAGACACAAAATTCCAGCTCGACGGAAAAGATTTTTTCTTAGAACCTTACGAAGTAGAAATTGCCGATGACTGTTTGAAACTTTCACAAGACGTGAATTATTGTCATAAATTTCGAATTGTGGAAGACGAACACCCTGGTTCTAAAGAACTTCAACAATTCAAGACATTTCTTGAAAACTTTAGTCTTTATACTAGGCAACAAAGTCTGGAACGACTTGAAAAATCAACAGCGAAAAACTTCGAGAAGACATTTTCTTCCAATGAAGAAACTTTTGAAAAGTATCTCAAAATTCTATCTCAGTGGGATATGCAAGAAGGGTTGAAACTAAAATTAGACAAGAAGATGATGCAACATGCAATTGCACTGTGTTTGTTGTCCCCTTACATCGAACATTTCACTTTTGGTCCAGTTAACGACAATGGAAAAATACTTCGGGATGCAATTTCTGTCTTCGATATTACCCTATTGGAAAAGACAGAGTGCGATTTGGTTAAACGGTTGTGGGGCGATTTAGACGAAAATATTGACATCAAGGAACTAAACAAGCTAAGATCATTTTATCGTCTTTCTTCTAATTTTATATCCAGGATAGAAGACGTAGACGAAAATGCATTGGCACGACTGTTGTGGTTGATGGGTAAACGTCCGCTGATCGTACAAGAGCACGAAAATATCGAAAAAGCCATTAATCTTTGTCCCTGTGATAAATTCGTCTTACTTGGTCAAGGAAAATGGACAGAATGGATGAACGGTCGCTCCGTGTTTCAAAACTTGCTGGATTTGAAATCAGAACAAAATTTATTTGAAAGAGTGATCCAAAATTTTACCATTTCCTTACAAGGGAAAGACGTTGTTAATCTGATGGACATATCTCGAGGTAATGAAGAAATTTTAAAGAATATTAGCGTAAGTCATCTCCTGGAAATGATAGATAGTCCACGCTTGATAGACGGCGAAAAAGAAGTTCTTCCCAATCCCTACATCGAAAGGTATTTGTCGCTAAATGTTATAGATATTAAGTATTTGGAATGTGTTAATCGTGGTACCGTCGTTATTCTAAATTGCTCAGGTAGTTCCAATGAACTACAACAACTTCAAAATATTAGTCTGACAAAGATCGACGATTATTTAAATGACCCAAAATGTAGAACTTCCAACGCTCCGATTTTCATAATAAGTAAAAGTCAGTGCAGCCAGTCTGAATTTGAGAAAATATGTTCTAAAACCCCGAAATCCAAGACTGTACATTATTTTAAATTTTTTAATAACGTGAATCTAGAGTGGGTACGAAGCAGAGGTGACATAGAGGAATTGCAAAATTATAAATTAGGTAACCATTCCAAAAACGAAACTGACTTTTGGACTTTTGAGTTCAAAACGAGTATTAATTTAGTGATAGATGATCCCGGAATGGGTAAAACCGAGTTAACAAAAAGCCTAAAAAACAAGTGTCCTTCTAAATACTGGACGGTAATTGTCACCCCTCAGGAAGTTAATTTATTCTTTAAACAGTCAGAAGAGTGTGAAATATCAGACTATCTAAATTTGTTTCAAACATTCATCGTAGAGAAAAAGTACCACTATCTTAAAAATTTAGATAAAGCAGTTTTTAAAATGTGTTGTGAGCAACTCAATGTTTGCTACGTGTGGGACGCTCTTGATGAAATTTCTTCTAAATATTTAGAACAGGTTTCAGACTTGATCGTTCTATTGTCAAAAAAAGGTTTCATACAATGGATCACCGGTAGAAAACACTTGGAAACTTTACTTGTCCAAAAATTTAACACACTCCCGTTGAATATAAATCAGTTTAATGAGTCAGAGCAAGAAGACTACATTAGACAACGCCTTAACCCTATTGTTTCGGCCGACCACCTAGAAACAGCTATCCGAAAAATTAAATCTAGTTTTGCTTTCATAAAACATATAGACATTTTGGGAATTCCACTTCAAATATTTATGCTCACCGAAATAGTTCTTCAAAATAAAGACAAATATTTAAAATTATTTGGCGATTCGTGGCGCTTGACTGATCTATATAGTTATTTTATTGACGAAAAATTCAACATTTTCTACCAAACCAAATTGTCTCTGAATATTCAGGATGCCTATTCGAAGCGTGTGTTTAACAGTGACAAAGAAAAAATCTTGACGCATTATGCAAAACTGGCAATAAAGCTAATTTTTTCGGACTGCGCAGATATCAGTCTTGAAGTTATTGATAGTACTTGCTACGATTACGCACCTATCGGTATTATAACTGGTTTACAGAACAACACACCGCTTTTTTTGCACGCGTCTTTTGCGGAATATTTGGCCGCGGTGTACTTTTCGAAGAATTTTGACGTTATACCAAGGGATAGATTTTTCGATCGACAATATAACAACGTACGATTTTTTTTTGATATGTTGTTGGCAAAAAAATCACCAGCTCAAAATGCAATCTTGTACAGAAATTTTGATGGTCTAAAGAGTTATGACGACGAAATATTAACACGTAAAGATGACGCCGGAAGAAATGCGTTACATTTGATTTGTTCGTGGGGACAACGACACTCGCGTCTGACAGTAAAGAGTTCTAAAATTGATCGAAATTTTCCATATTTTGTGTCTGCGTGGCTGAAAAAAACATTCTTTTCGGATAGGATACGTTGTGTAAGCTACAGTTTCAACGACTACGGGTCTTCTAAAGGGCAACTAGATACAAAAGAATATTTAGATGGGGTGCGATTTTTGTCTAACGAATGTGGCAATAAGGAACCCGATGAGCTTTTTAAAATGACCCCCCTGTCACACGCTCGAGTTAGTGAAAGTTTAGGGGCAGAACTAGAATTGTTACAATTAGGACTAGAACCGGACCAGTCATATAATCACTGTGACAGAATTAACATTTTATATTATTCTAGCCTCTTTGGTTATGACCAAGCAATTAAATCGGTTTTTACTAAAACATTAAGTACTTGTTACGACGAAATCAATTTTGTCTGTGAACGGTCCGGTTACACAGCTCTTGTTGTAGCGTCCGCAAGCGGGCACCAAGCAGTCGTTGACAATTTACTGCAACTAGGGGCCGAAATTTCTTGTCTTGATAAACGAGGTCGGACACCACTTTACACAGCTGCTTTCAACGGCCACGAAAAAGTTGTCGAATGTCTGTTGAAATCCGGAGCCGATATCAATCGCTGTAATAACTTAGGTTGGACACCACTTTACGTGGCTTCTTGGAACGGCTTCCAGAAAACCGTCGAATGTCTAGTGAAATGCGGGGCCGAAATCGATCGCGGTAGTCACAGAGGTTGGACACCGCTTTACGCAGCTTCCTTCAACGGCCACGAAAACACTGTCGAGTGTCTGTTGAAAAGTGGAGCCGAAATTAATCGCGCTAATAATTGCGGTTCGACACCACTTCATGCGGCTTCGTCGAACGGCCACGAAAAAACTGTCGAGTGTCTAGTGAAATTCGGAGCCGAAATCAATCGTGTTGATAATAATGGCCAGAGGGCGGTTTTCGCAGCTTCCGCAAAGGGTCATGAATGCATCGTCGAATATTTAGTGAAATGCGGAGCCGAATTTCAATAGGGTTGTATCAACAGTGGGTATAGGGTAATCAATTTCTGCTGAATTTTGAAGAAAGCGGGGCTTGGAAAAATTTCTTGACTTCCAAAGACGGCTGGACTTGGGAAAAATTCTTTTCTTTCTCTATTTCTTTTTCTTGCCAAGCCCATTTTATCTTCTTCATTCGTACTTTTTTACCATTAATTTCGTTTCAATTTCGTTTCCATGTACATATATTCATCATTTCTTTAATTCGCTTTTTCGTCCTGTCTGCGTTTTTCTGAATATTTCCTCAGTATCTTCTGTAAGAGCCGTAAACAGGCTGGAGTTCAGTAGACATCCCTGTTTTACTACCTTACATGTATAAAAAACTTCATTTTCAGACCCATTTACTGTTTGTTCCATCTCAAGCCTCACCCTCTCCTCCAAGTCATTGCATATACTTTATAATAGTGTGATAACCCAAACTTCCCGCCTTTAAATTGACCTTGAAAAAAATTCAAAATTTGGCCTTGGCTGTGATCGTCTAACAAATGGGAACCTACGTTGTGTGTGTTTTTTTTTTTTTGAAAAGTGGCGGGAAGACGTTCTTTCATACAAGTGCATACACTGCGCACAAAATAATAGACACTCCCTCCCTAGGGGGAAAAGAAGCGAAGAGCGAGAGTGACTCGGCCGTGCCCTTCTGCCCGTCCAGCAGGGACCAATCGCCATTGTTCTTCATCTCCAAAAACCCCCTAGGGCTATATTCACAGATATATAGCATTACAATATTTGAATATTACAAATTTAATAAAGCAGCAAAGCAAAATCTGAATTAAAGTAATTGGATGCAAATATACAAGTTATTACGGGCATGTAGCGGCAGATTTTAAAGTTACGGCAGTTAACAGGAGCACAACAAAAGTATCCCTGGGGCGTGCTAACATAAGCGGAGTTTAGGGCTACCGGTCTGGGACTGTTCTCCCCCCACGACAGTGATTCTATCTATCACAAAGCTTACCCGCACGCATATGTCCATTACGAACGTGCTCTGCGAAACTAGGCCGCTACGATCGCAGATCCGTAGTTGGGTCTCGGCTAAGGACAAAAGCCGACAGCGTTACAACACCGGCGATCGCCCCCTGACTCTATACAAACCCGCGGACTTGTGCAGGTGACGCGATCAATCTCGCCAGCTCGACTAGGAACCGAACTTCGCTTCTGCCACGTTGTTGTGTTATTTAACCTCAATTCCATTTTTAAATATTCATTCTCTTATAACTCTGATGTTAACAACAACTGAACAAGTGTTAAAGTTTCAGCGAGCAATAAACAACATTTAAATTCGCCAATTCAATGATTCAAACAAAGAGTTTACATTAGGTCAAATTATATCATGATTTAAGTGATTGGTTACTTCAAAAAAACAATTTACTTTGAGAGTTTAAAATACCGCGAACTCGTTACCTCAACAAAACACATAATAAACAAACACAAAAATATCCAATCATCGCTCCGAGGGAAAAAGCGTCTCGGTGATGTAACATTTAAAATCGTTGCAAGGAAAAAGCGTCTCGGTGATGTAAATTTTAAATCGTTCCGAGGAATTGCCTCGATTATGTATATTTTAACGGTGGGAGGAATAAGCCTCGTTGATGTTATTAATCACTAGCGTTGCGAGGACAGCCTCAGTAATGTAATCATGATAACGACGATAATAACGATGATAACCCCTAAAGGAAGAAATTATTACAAACTGTTATGTTTTCTCTTTACTTGGCTTGTTCCACCTCAAGAACACACGGCAGTTAGTTGCGAACTATCTTTATTGTTAAAAACGTACTGCGCATATACAACTCCCATAGACTTCTAACTACTAGATACACCACATTTCCTTCCCCTTAAAATAAAACATAATAAAAACTTCTAGTACAAAAATCATTATGTACACTATGAATTGTTGAACCTTACTTAACTCTATTTCTTAAAAAATATCTATGCCTAACAACTGAGTTTGGCGATACATTAACATTATCCTGATTAGCTATAACATTGTCTTGGTTAGGTATAACATTGTCTTGGTTAGGTATAATATTGTCTGGGTTAGGTATAATATTGTCTTGGTTAGGTATAATATTTACATCATCATTTCCCCTAGCTACAGATGAAATTGGTACAGTGATGTCCCTATTAGTAGCTGTAACTACTGAATTTTTAACATTTTGTTGTTCGTTACATGAATCAGTGGACGTTGAGCAAGAACCCTGTAGTCTGATTTGGTTTGAATGTCTTTTAACTATTTTACCTTGTTCAACTTCCACTTCACAGATGACATTACCAGATTTTTGTCTTATTATTCCTGGCGACCTAGTAGGTTTGGCAGGTATAGCATAATCTTTGACTAAAACCTTGTCGCCAATTTCGAAAGTTCTGTTCACCCCTTTATAATTGTCTATTTGCCTTTGAGTCTGTCTATTATTAATATTTACTTGAGAAGGCCTCAGTAGTGACAAACGTGATTTTAAATGTCTACCAAACATTATTTCTGCTGGACTCACACCTGTTGTCGAATGAGGAACGTTTCTATAACTAAACAAAAAGTGTAATAAAGCTTGTCCAATATTTTCTTTTTCTAAATGAGCTTTAATAATTCTACGTTTTACTGTCTTGACACTACTTTCGGCAGCACCATTACTTGCTGGATGATAAGGTGGACTAAATAATTGTATTATTCCATTATTCTGAAGAAATTTCGAAAATTCGTTTGAACTAAACGGTTGCCCATTATCTGAGACTACGGTATCTGGAAGTCCAAAAATTGAAAATAAGTATGTCAAATAATTAATAACCGCCGAAGCATTTGAATTATTCATCGTTTTAACTTCCAACCACTTTGAATGTGAATCAATTACCACTAAATATTTATGACCATAAATCGGGCCTAAAAAATCAAGATGGATTCTTGACCAAACTTTATTCGTTTGAGGCCATGGTTGCAGAATTGTTTTCTGTGGATTGCACTGTAACTGTGAACAAGCGCTACAATTTTTACACACATTCGTTATGTCATTATCAATATACGGCCAATAACAGTATGACCTTGCCAGTGACTTGCACTTATTTATACCTAGATGACTAGAATGAATCTCTTCCAAAATCTTTGCTTGTAGATTTTTCGGAACAATAACCCTTAAACCCCAAATAATACAACCATGCTCTATGTGCAACTGGTCTTTTCTGTTAAAATATGGCTTCAGCTCGATAGGTATATTCAACGGCCAGCCATCCACGCAATACCTAAAAACTTCTCTTAACATTGGATCTCTTTGAGTTTCTTTTGCAAGCAACTTATGATCAATCGCTAACGTTTCCGTCACATGTAAGATATGTCCAAAATCTGTATTCTCGCATGGAGTCTCCTGTAAAGATAAACGTGAAAGCGCGTCCGAATAATTATGTTTCGATTTGACATATTTAAGTTCATAGTCAAAACTTGCTAAAATAATGGCCCATCGTTGCAAACGACTAGCCGTTAATTGAGGTATTTGCTTATTTTCACCGAAAATCGCTAATAACGGTTTGTGGTCACTATAAAGAAAAAACTTACGTCCAAATAAATAATCGTTAAATCGTTTAACTCCAAAAATTATTGCCAGCGCTTCTTTATCTATCTGCGAGTAATTCTTTTCAGCGCTATTTAACGATCTTGAAGCAAATGCTATAGGTCTTCTATCCCCATTCTCTAAAATGTGAAAAATACAAGCTCCAACCCCTGTGGAACTAGCGTCACATGCTAAACCTAAAGGCAGTTTCTGATTATAGTGCATTAGTACTTTTGCTGACTTAATTTCCCCTTTTATCCACTCAAAAGATTTCTGACACTGTTTGTTCCAATGCCATCTACTGTTTTTTCGTAAAAGTTTATATAAAGGATTCGCCCTACTACTTACATTTGGAATAAACTTACCATGAAAGTTTACAAACCCAAGAAATGATTGTAGCTCTACTTTGTTTGTAGGCTGCTTCATCTGTGTTAAAGCTTTTACCTTATCATTAGACGGATGTAGTCCCTCAGCATCAATTGTGTACCCTAAGTATGAAACAGATTTTTGAAAGAAGCTACACTTTGACAAATTAATTTTCAAACCCGACTCTTGAATTTTATTAAATAACAACTTCAAATTCTCTAAATGTTCCTTTTCGGTTGCTCCTGTCACTAAAATGTCATCCATGAACGCGATAACTCCTTTTAACTTGTAACACAGAGAATCAATTATTCTTTGAAAAATTGCTGGGCTTGAGGATATACCGTACGGAAGTCTATTATAACTGAATAATCCTTTATGAGTATTAATTGTAACTAACTCTCGCGATTCACTATCTAATTCAATTTGTGCATATGCTTGGGATAAATCTATTTTAGTAAAGTGAGTACCTTCGCCCAAATGAGCTAATAAATTGTCAACTTTTGGTATGTGATAACGTTCCGTGTTCAAATTCCTATTTACAGCCACTTTAAAATCTCCACAAATACGAATATCCCCATTTTTCTTAAGTACTGGTACTATAGGACTTGCCCATTGACTATACTCAACTGGAGTTAAAATATTTTCATTTACCAACCTATTTAATTCATCTTCTACCTTAGACTTAATATTAATTGGCAATGATCGCGATTTACAAAAAACTGGAACAGCCTCAGCTTTCAAATGTAATTTTGCCTTAAAATTTTTTAACAGACCCAACTTGTTATCAAATATATCACCATATTCCTCGATTAGCTTTTCTAACTTCATATTTTCAGTCACCTTATTCACTCTAACCTCATTATCTATTACATTAATTCCCAAATTTTGCATCCAATTTCGCCCTACCAAACATGGTCCTCCTTCTGGTACGACATATAACTTCAAACGCTTTGAATTATTGGTGAATTGTACATTTACCATAATAAACCCTGCTGTACCTACTGGTGTACCAGTATAACCCGACAACTTTATGTTACTTTTTGAGATATTCAAATGTGAGAAGTACCTGTTATAAACTTTCCCTGATATTAAGGAATATTCACACCCTGTGTCTACTTCCATATTTAACAATGCATTTTCCACTTTAACTTTAGCATAAATTGGATATGCCTTAATATCAGTTGTGTTGTCCTTAATATTAAATAAATTATTATCTGTATCCTCATCAAAAACACGATTACAGCCTTCCTTCTCAACCGACTGTACATATGACATTTTTTCCTTTGTCGTGTCCTTCCTCTTCACTTTTTCTTTATTTCGACACACGTACTTTAAATGCCCTTTACCACCACAATTATCACACACCGCATTTTTAAAGAAACACTCACCCTTGGTGTGGTTCTTTAGACCACAATTCCAGCAATACCTTTCCTGCTTTTCTTTCCCCCGTGAAGCTGTCTCCGCTCCTAATTTTTGATGACCTTTATGCTGCGACCAATTTCTTCCCGCCTGTCTTTCTTTGGCCTTGACCTTGTGCACCTCAGACGTCGCCTCGAAAGCCGCCACGTCTTTTTCTGCCATTTCCATTCTTCTGGCAATTCCTATAGCTTTCTGAAACGTCAAAACTCTCTGTGATAACAACTGCTGCTTAATTTTATCATTTCTTAGACCAGCCACTAGCGCGTCTCTTAAGTTGTCATCCAGTGCCTCTTGGAACTTGCAAAATTTTGCTAAACTCTTCAACGCTGCCACAAATTGCGCAATATCCTCACCGCTCTCCTGCCTCCTGCTGCGGAATTTATATCTTTCAGCTATAATCGACGGCTCAGGATTTAAATGCTGCGACACCACTTTTACTAGATTTTCATAAGTTAGCGTCGCTGGATCCTCGGGGCTGACTAAATCTACCATCAGTTCGTACGTTTCATCTCCAACTACTGCAATTAAGGTGGGAACCTTGACCTCTTCCTTGACCCCATTGGCAATAAAATACTGCTCTAGCCTTGCGATGTAGGTCTTCCAACTTTTTTCCCCGGCTCAAATTCACCGATCTTTCCAACCGCCATTTTCTTTACCGGTACTTCTTACCACCGCCAACTGTTTTCCGATGAGAACACCCCTGGTTCTTCTCGATTCTTAGGAGTTCGCCTGCTTCTGTGAATTCCTTGCCGTTTCTCTAGATTGCTTTTAATACTTTTCAAATCCTCATCCCATCCTCGTCGCCACTTTGTTATGTTTTCTCTTTACTTGGCTTGTTCCACCTCAAGAACACACGGCAGTTAGTTGCGAACTATCTTTATTGTTAAAAACGTACTGCGCATATACAACTCCCATAGACTTCTAACTACTAGATACACCACACAAACCCCCCCTGCCAGTTCGCGGTATAATGAACTTTGTTTAACTGCCGTAAATGAACTATTAGCAATCTTGTGTGAAGGATTAAGAAGTGTTATAATGTAACACTTACGTATATGCATCCAGAAATCTATTCGTAATTAAACAACAAGGTGTTTTCCTGACTAAGTGAATTTCATGAAATCTTCTAGCAAGTGGTTTATTTAAATAATCCTGATTGTTAAATTGTGTTTGCACTAGCTGACGATTAAGAAAAACTAACTTGATTGGTGAATTTACAAACAATGAAACAAATTTACAGCACGTGTTTCGCGTTGAACGGAAGTCCGGCATTTTTCCTCCCATGTTATTAACTACCAAACCAAATAATTTAAACTTAGCTCTTACCACGTGTTTACACTCACACAAGCACATTCAGACTGACGCTACGCCATGCTGCCCTGTCTCTACCAACCCTTTAACTAAAATCTCCCTAGCGCTACGTGCCGCCATCTAACTCAATAATCATGCAAAACTAACCCCTAAGCGCTATTAATTGTCCGATTACCAAGCAAGCGTTTCCGTGCACCAGGTTGCCTATGTTTAACGATTTTTTTTGATGATTTTTTTTTCAAAATTCAAATTATTCAAATGTGATTTCGCGCCGCTGTTAATTAATTTCAGCGCGAAAACTGATTCACCAATAGTTTTTGAGGTCATTTATATCACTTGTCTTCCTCTTTTTAGGCGCTTTATCTGCCATATCGTTTCTTCTCTACTGATTTATTCTTTCCAATGGACTGGATATGTTGAGCTTTCATCTTTGACCGTTTTGTAATTCACTGCCAATAAATTCCATGAAATCTTCCTATATTGTTCTATCTTGATCTTTTCTTTTTTCTTTAACAATCTAGGTTCACCTTCTTTCTCGGTGCTAATCGCTCTTATTTTGTCTTCTTCCGCCTGCATTTTTTCTTTCATTGTGCTTACAGTGAATGTTTCCACCATGTCGTTTATGTTTCCTGAGTCCATCGGACGAATGGCCACTTTTCTATTTTTTGTCTTGCATTGGTAATGGCTGTTACTAGTATTATCTGTGTTAATCACGTCATCACACTTTATTAATCAAACTAAGAAACCCCTGTTTTCTTGAAAATAGAGAATGCGCCCGGCGATGTTTAATAATGATAAAACAATAATTGCAATTTGTGTTCCCGTGGCGCAAGGATTGGGGGGTGCTATTGACGACGGTTCATCCATTCATTGAAAAGAATCGAGGAATTTTTATGGCTTTGTTTGTCCAGCTGGGTCCTCAAGAAACCCCAAATGTGCTGTTTACAATTTGTCATGTACTTAACAACAATACTTAGTGATTGATGAATAATTAGAACATAACTTTTTGTGTCCCTATTGATTTGTACAACTGGTTTTCAAGATATTTAAGCGTTTACAACCATTCTAGAGACTCTGCATACAGGTTATCAGCAAACAAACATTTTTTACATTTTTTGCACGGTTATACAGATATTTAGACAAGTAAACATCTAAGAGGTCTTTGTAAGTTACAGAAATTGTTAGTAATCCTACAACTTATTTGCTCCATGACATGATGGAAACTTTTCGGGTGTTTGATTAGACGTGGAATTCTTAAAATTTCGTTAAATAATTTGAAGGTGGCATTTATATTTATTATAACAAATTTAAAGTAGTTTCATAGTCCACTGATATCTGAAAATCTTTTAATCATCCGTTGTTTAACTGACTAAGTATTACATACTGTAAATTAAATATTGTCAATAGAAGTGTATTTGTTTGGCAAAATGGGAAAGAAATTTCCGTATTTAGTCAAAATATAAAAGAGTTGTAATGTTAATTTAATTATGTATTTATTAACTTACTGTATTTTCACTTTTATTGTTTTATGTATCTTAAGTAATTATTAAGCACGTTGTGTTAGACAATAAAGTATTGTTATTATTATTATTATTATTAAGACCCACCACTGACCCGGAAATGACCGGCATTCAGGCAAGACTTCTATCATTACGGGTACTAAGACCAAGTATTGATATGCATTGATTAGTTTAACAGAACAACTTTCGAGATTCTAGAATTACAGCATACAAATTAGTCTGCTATTATTCTCTAATCTCACCCCATCCCCAAAAGTCCAGCGTAACTACCGACCATTTATCCGCGCATCACATGAAAAGTGACCTACACTACTCTGACCTACTGGTGCTAATCTAATCTGACTGACATGATCAGACTGTTCAAGAAACTTACGAACAATATGACATGTTCCTAACAAAACAGCTTTTTGAATTTTGACAATTATTGAATCATTCAAATGCAAAGACTTTAAATTCTCAACTAAGCTATTTGGAACTACACCTACATTAGAGATAACTAGGGGTAGAATTGAAATTTTTTTAAGATTCAACATGGATTTCATTTCTATCGATAATTGTAGATATTTTGAAATCTTGGTGTCGTATGTTTGAATAATGTTGTTTGTGTTAGGAATAGCAATTATTATTATTGTTTTTTATTTCCGATATTTCCAAAATTAAACAAAGCTGCGTCAAATAAAAATACACACTGTTGGAAAATTTTTAGAACAAACATCGAATTTTAGTGACGATAACTGTCTTTATCGTATCAATAGATTAGATACAAAATTTGTTTAAACCGAACAACGCCCACAGTAACACCGAGTCAACCGTAACTTTGAGTAGTGAAGTTAGAGATTATCAAGTTTACAAGTTTATAACTTCTTGTGAAACATATTAGAAGAGAGGAACGTTAAAAACTCAAGTAAGTAAAATAAAAATAACCACTAGGAAGTTTTAGATTAAACCTACTAAACTGGTCATTTCAAAGCTGGGTGACACAGCATACTTAAATCAGTTAGGTACTTAAAATAGGGCTTAGGTGGTTAACATTCATTCTTTTTTAAACTACAAATATGTCATTAAAATTGTTGTGAAAACCGTTATTTTAATTTGGTTTCTTCTGTAAAGTACTGCATATATTACTTAAGGTACTTCGTTTCAGGTTTGCACATCCATCTATTGAAGAAACATCATCATGGAAGGGAATGCAACTCCCACAGAAAAGGTATTACAGTTTTCAATTTTTGAAGTCTAGCTAGTACGAAAGTATTCTTTTTTATTAATGTTGTGAAAATTGCATACCGAGATTTTTCCGAGATTTGCGTTATCCAAATAATATAACTGTTGAAATTTTAAACCCTCAAGTACCGATAAGATAAAAACATTATAGTATAATATTTGTATAAGGATTATTGCTTTGAAAATTGAAACATCTTATGACCTAAATATAAATGTAGACAGGTATATAGAGATAAAATATTTCAAGGAATCTTACGACATGCTTGACAGTTTTTTCCACTAATTTACATCTTTATAACTTTTCAGAATTTTCGGAAAAGGCCTGGGACCACGGATAAAGGCAAAAAGTATGAAAATATGATAACTGCTAACATCATACTTCATTTGGTAAGCACCGATAAAATAAAAAACTTCTACGTTTCGTCAGACGATGCAAATTTTGGGGCATTCGATGACGTAGTTATCGAAATGGAGACAGACGACCGAATCCAAATAAAAGCAGTCCAATTAAAACACAGCAACAATCCAGGAAATTTAGGCATAAAACGACTAGCAGCTCGACGGAAAAGGATTTTTCTTAGAACCTTATGAAGCAACAATTGACAATGATTGTTTGAATATTTCTCAAGATGTAAATTGTTGCTATAAATTTCGCATTCTAGAAGACGAATATGCTGGAGACAGTTTTTCGGAACTTCCACAATTCAAAGCATTTTTTGAAAGCTTTAGCCTTTATCCTAACCAACAAAGTCTGGAAACGCTTGAAAAATCGACAGCGAATGACTTCGCGGAGACGTTCTGTTCTGATCACGAAACCTTCGAAAAATACCTCAAAGTTATAACTAAGTGGGATATGCAAGAAGGATCAAAAAACAAATTAGACAAGAAGACGATGCAACGTGCAATTGCACTTTGTCTTCTGTCTCCATACGTCGAAAATTTTAGTTTTGGTGAAGTCAACGACGAAGGGAAAATTCTTCGTGAAGCAATTTGTCTCTTCGATATTACGGTGTTGGAAAACACCGAATGCGAGGTAATTAAGCAGTTGTGGGCCGATTTGGACGAAGATTTTAGCATCAAGGAATTAAACAGAATCAGATCATTTTATCGTCTTTCTCCTAATTACATATCAAGGGTAGAAGATATAGATGGAAGTGTGCTGGCACAACTTTTGTGGGTGTTGAACAAACGTCCACTCATCGTGAGAGAATATCAAAATATTGAAAAAGCTATTCAACTGTGTCCTGAAGCGAAATTTGTTGTGCTTGGTGAAGGAATATGGAGAGAGTGGATGAAAGATCGCTCCGTGTTCCAGAACTTGTTCAGTTTGAAATCAGAAGAAAAATTGTACGAAACAGTGATGCAGGTCTTTACTATATCCTTACAAGGGAAAACAGCGCTTTCTCTGAGGGAAGCGTTAGGAGAAAATGAAGAATTTTTAAGGAACATAACTGTAAATAGTCTTTTAGAAATGATACAAAGTCCACGGTCGATAGACGGGAAAAAGGAAGTTCTTCCTAGTCCTTATATCCAGAGGTATTTATCGTTAAATGTTATAGATAGTAAATATTTAGAACGTGTCAATCTTAATACCATCGTTATTCTAAATTGCGCAGATAGTTCTAATACAATAAAAAAACCTAAAGAAATTAAGTTGACAAATGTCGACGATTACTTGAATGATCCAGAGTGCAGAAGTTCTGATACTCCAATTTTCATTATCAATAAAAACTTATGTAGCGACTCTGAATTTGAGGAAATATGCTCTAAAACATCAGAATCAACAACGGTTCATTATTTCAAACTTCTTAGTGATAACAATTTAGAATGGATCCGAAGCAAAGGCGATGTCGGAGAATTGCAAAATCATAAATTAGACAGTCATTCCAAAGACGAAACCGAATTTTGGTCTTGCACGTTAAATAAAAGCATTAACTTAATAACAGGAGACCCAGGGATGGGTAAAAGTATATTAATGAAAAGCTTAAAAAATCAGTGCTCTTCTAAACATTGGACAATAATTATAAACCCTCAAGACGTTAATTTATTCTTTAAACAATCAGAAGCGTGTGCAACATCAGATTATATAAACCTGTTTCAGACATTCATCTTCGAGAAAAAACATGTTTCTCTTGGGCGGTTAGATAAAGAGTTTTTTAAAATTTGTTCTGAGCAACTGCGCGTTTACTACGTATGGGACGCTCTTGATGAAATTTCTACTAAAAATTTAGAACTCGTTTCAGATTTGATTGTTCGGTTATCAAAGGAAGGTTTTACACAGTGCGTTACTAGTAGAAAACACTTGAGATCTTTTCTTGAAAAAAAATTTAATACATTATCGTTCAGTATAAATCAGTTTAATGAGCAGGAGCAAGAAGATTACATTAGAAAACGTCTCAATCCTGTTGTTTCGGAAGACAACGTAGAGGAATCTATTCGAAAAGTAAAATCTAGTTTCGCTTCGATAAAGCATATAGACATTTTAGGAATTCCTCTGCAAATATTTATGCTCACAGAACTAGTTCTTCAAAATAGTGAAAAATATTTAAAGTTATTTGGCGGTTCTTGGCTTTTGACTGATTTATATCACTACTTTATTGAAGAAAAGTTCAAGATTTTCTATGAAGGTAAGTTGTGTCTTGATTCTCAGCATTTTCATTTGAAACGTATTTTTGCCAGAGATAAAGACATAACTTTAACGCACTACGAAAAACTCGCAGTTAACCTAATATTTACGGACGGCGCAGATATCCGTTGTAAAGAAGATATAGATAGTACTTCACACGATTACGCATCTATCGGTATTATAACTGGTTTACAAAATAACACGCCGCTTTTTCTACACGCATCTTTTGCGGAATATTTGGCCGCCGCGCATTTCTCGAAGAATTTTGAGGTTATACCTGGTTATAAACTTTTTTATCAAAAATATAATAACGTACGATTTTTCTTTGATATGTTGTTGGCAAAAAACTCACCGGCTCACATCGCAGTCTTGTACAGGAACTTTGATGCTCTAAAGAGTTATGACGACAAAATATTGAAAAGTAAAGATGACGCTGGAAGAAATGCTTTACATTTGATTTGTTCGTGGGGAAAAAGACATTCGCGCCTAAAAGTAAAAAGTTCTAGAATAAATAGTAATTTTTCTTTCTTCTTCTCCAAAAGAACACTTAATGTAAGATACATACTTGAAGACTATCTATTTCTGGGAGGGCAACTGGACACAAGAGAATATCAAGATGGGGTGTTACACTTGTTGAATGAATGTGGGACTGAAGAACCGGATGTGGTTTTTAAAATGACCCCGTTGTTATATGCTCGAATTAGCGAAAGTTTAGGAGCGGAACTAGAATTGTTACAATCTCAGCAATGTCACAACGGAATGAGTTGTACAATGTACAATCATTGGGATAGAATTAATATTTTATTTTACTCTAGTGTGTTTGGTTACAACCACGCAATTAAAACTGTTTTTAATACAACGTTAAGTACTTCTTATGACGAAATAAATTTTAGCTGCGAACAGTCTGGATTCACCGCTCTTGTAATAGCGTCCTTTAACGGACACAAATCAGTCGTTGAAAGTTTGTTGCAACACAGGACCGAAAGCAATCGTGCTAATATATATGGTAGGACACAGTTTTATCTAGCTTCCGTGAATGGCCACCAAAGAATTGTCGAATGTTTAGTTAGATCCGGTGTCGACATCAATCTTTCTTGTGTACGTGGTCTGACACCGCTTTACGTAGCTTCCGAAAAAGGCCACGAAAAAATTGTGGAATGCTTAGTGAAATGGGGTGCCGAAGTTAATTGCACTATTGAAAAAGGTATGACACCGCTTCACGTAGCTTCTATCAACGACCACGAGAAAACTGTCGAATGCCTGGTGAATATGGGTGCCAAAATCAATTGCGTTAATCAATATGGTCGGACACCGCTTATGGAAGCTGCCTCCTACGGCCAGGAAAACACTGTCCAATGCTTACTGAAATATGGAGCCGACATTAATTACGTTGATTATGCAGGTTGGACAGCACTTGACTTAGCTTTCAGTGTTTTCACAAACAGCCATAAAAGAATTGTGGAATTTTTAGTGGAATGCGGATTCAAAATCAATCGTTGAACACAAAGCCCAGTTAAATTTTATTAAATTTTTTTTATTATTTATTAAAACCCACCACTGACCCGGAAATGACCGGCATTCAGGCAAGACTTCTATCATTACGGGTGTTAAGACCAAGTAATGATATGCATTGATTAGATTAACAAAACAACTTTCGAGATTCTAGAATTAGAGCATCCAAAATAATTAGTCTGATATTATTCTCTAATCTTACCCCATCCCCAAAAGTCTAGCGTAACTACCAATCATTTATCCGCGCATCACTTGGAAAGTGACCTACACTACTCTGACCTACTGGTGCTAATCTAATCTGACTGACATGATCAGACTGTTCGAGAAACTTACGAACAATATGACATGTTCCTAACAAAACAGTTTTTTGAATTTTGACAATTATTGAATCATTCAAATGCAAAGACTTTAAATTCTCAACTAAGCTATTTGGGACTACACCTACATTGGAGATAACTAGGGGTAGAATTGAAATTTTTAATTGTTATTGTTATCCATTACTTACATCCTTACATTATTAGCGTTCGAAACTTCAGTGTACCTACTTAATTTCGTTAGAAAAATTTTTTCAGTTGGTAGATATAAACTTTTCGTAAAATTAGAACTATCTGCCGTAATCAAAGTTGACTATTATGTTTCACAAATTGAAACATAACGCTTACAAACAACGGAGATATAAAGAAACCAGTGATATTTTGAAAATTTTTCATGTCTTTAATTACCAATGAAATTACCAAAATTTTATACAGTAATTTCAAGAGTAACTTCACACTTTATCAAAGACAAGAAAAATATTATCATATATTTAGTTCACTATTATTTGAATATTCTTTAATTGTCGGGTATTTAACTGGTTATACCAGGTATATAATTGTAGTGTTTGGTTAATTATTTAGTTATTTATTTTATTCTTATTTTTACTATTTTATGTTTCGTCATTGTTCAGTCATTATTATTTATGTATCTGTTTAATAGGGCCAGTTAATGTAAAATTAATTTCTGTTTCCGTTGCTCCGTTGATGACTAGAATAAAGTAATTTGAAGTGACTTTGTTGTTTATTTTACTATTTCGCTTCAATGAAACATAGTAATCTCTAAACTTAATTATCTTTTCAATTGAGTCCAGCTTACACAACTAAATTTATTTTGGCCGCCATTGAATCTCTGCCTACACTGTTTTTTAACTAAATTCTTGGGTCACAACGACAAGTTTCGAGGGGACGCAAATTGTAGATACACTTTGTCCCACAACTGTTAATTCCAAATATACCGTAATAAAAATGTTAGGCTGTGGTGTCCCAATTTGAATTAAAATTTCGCGCTGAGAAAAAAACAGCACTGCGAAACCGCAGTAAATAAATCCAACTGCCTCTTTTTTAGAATATGAAACTTTCTTCAGGTCCCCAACTGTCTTTTTTTAAGAAAATGTAACCTTCTCTCGGGGCCGCAACTGTTTTCTCTTTTTTAAAGAACGGGAAACCTTCTCGGGAGCCCCACCTGTCTTTGTTTTAAGAAGCTGAAACCCCCTTTTTTTCTCTTACAGTGTGAATAGTAGTTTCTATATTGCTTTCACTCCATAGAAGTCATTACAAACAAGTAAAATTACGCAAAATCAAATTTTATAATTTTTCAAAGAAGCAGGATTTGTTGGACTGTACTTCAGGGGCGAGGAAAGTTCCGTCGAAATAACATTCGACCTTTTTTTATTTATGATATTAAAATATTTGCATTGATTCGGAACGTTTGATTTAATTAAGCTTGATTATACTTCACTTCACTTCCATTTCAAGTGACATATGGTACTGTCTAACATTGCAATAGAAGTGAATTTCACTTTCTGCCCTAAATTGAAAAAGAAATTTGATGGACGTAGAATTATAAATGTCAATTTTTGCATTGTTCAGACGGCGCGACCGCCAGCTCGACAAGCAATCGCGCACTCCGCTTCCGCCACGTGTTCCTGTGTTTAACCCATAGAAATAATATTATATGGAAGTAACTTAGAGAGAGACCCGCGTTGTCAACATAGTGGGACAGAGATAGGGCTCTCTGGGTGGCAAAACATTGACGCGAAACTGCAGAGCACTGTGTTTCTGGAGGTTACTGTCGTGCTGCCGCATGGTGTTTGAAGGTGTATTTTTGCAAATTTACGTTTTTTAGGCTCAAGTTACCTTATTTAAATGTCTACAGTCTTCTTAAGTTGTATTTTATTGGACTATTTATTGAAAATCGTGAAATCGTGTTGTGCATATAATTGAATCGAACGTGCAAAGAAAGTAATCCTGTTTCATTTCATAGGTAATAATCACATACATAGAGGAAGGATTTCGTAAATAATTTTAAAAAAGTGTTAGATTCCCTAAACATTCCGAGTTACGAAAAAAAAGGTTTATTGCTACAAAAAGATGGAATTTTATATCTATGGATTATTATTGTTTTAGTTATTTGTACGTGGATTTAAAAAATAGATTTTAGTAGAAAATTCCGCACAATTTAATATGTTTAATTTAATTAGGCACCCTGTCACTTTTGTCGAAAGTTTAATTACTTTTATCCTAAAAATTTCAGAATTACCAATGAACATACACTACAAGATTAGTTAACATGTAGAAGATTATTGTACTAACTGAATTCGTAATATATTGTAGATTCTCTATACACTTAATTTTATTAAAAGACGATCTCCACCACTTAACATGTTTTTTGTTGTTTCACATTACACATAATTTTAATGTAAACTGTAAAAATATAGTTTTCATCAACAGACGTTTGTTATAATTGATTGTTTGAACAAATTCGTAAGAAAACGTATTAATTCCCGTTCAAATGAGGCGTTTCTTGCCACCTAGCACGTGATACGTGGTCGACTGTCCTTTCCCCACTGATGCATAACCGCTCTAGCTATTTCTTTCTTATGTTGATTACACTCGCTCGCGTATGGAAACGTATACAAGGCTCCATCCACTCCTTTATTAGATCAATGGTTTAACCTCAATTCCATTTAAATGTTCCCTTTCTATAACTCTGATATTAAACAACAATTGAACAAGTCTTAATGTTTCAAAAAGAGCAACAAACAATATTTTCGCCATACAGTCTGGTGAAATTTTAATCACCAAAGAATTCGTAGCTGAGATTAAGATTGGACATCAGACAATTTATATTATCAGATAAAGAAAAATTGTATGAGGTGAAAAATAGCAAAACTAACAAAATTACATGAGGTTGATATTTTATGTCCATTCGAGTTATTGGTTAATTTTTAAAAGTGAAGTTATTCAGCTGCATTGTGGGCCATCGTTTTACATTCCCCCAAACAAACACACAAAAAAAACATAGCAGGCAATCTGGAGGTTCAAAATGGCGTCGGACGAATGCGTCTTACAAAAAATGCGTCAAAAATATGTATATGTATATCGATGATAATAACTACCTAAGGGGAGACATTTTTGTAATCTCCCGTACCTCAGTTCCCGATATTATAAATTCTATCGCACTTTCACGGTCCTTTTTCCAGAGTGGGGCAACGTTAGGTTGATTTAAGTGCCATAAATGAACTATTAACGATCTTGTGTGAGGAAGTAAGAAGTGCTATAATGTAACACTTAAGTATAAGCATCCAGAAGCCTTATTCATAACTTAATAAATAAAGGATGAAAGTAAGTGAATCTCATGAAGTCTCCTAGCAAGTATTTGATCTAAACAAATTCCTGACTGTTAAATTGTGTTAAAACTAGTTAATGATTAAAATCCTATCATGAACTGTGAATTTACAAATATTTCCGTCTGGAAAAACCGCAAGAGTTAGCTACACGTATTGGAGAAACTCTGGCGTCGTCGTCGTTACGATTAATTTGCATTAAACAAAGGCTCCCCATTTTATTAGCATCTTCTACCCACCCTATAACTAAAATTCCCTAGCAGAACTACCAGATACCAGAAAGAACTAAACACGCACGTGGTTGTCTATGCTTAACAATTTTCTGATTTGATTTTTTTTAATTCATATTATTCACATGCGATTTCGGGCCCCTGTTTTTTTTTCAGGCCGAAATTTTGATTCGAATCTGGTTACCACAACATAAAAACAGATTTTTTAAAAACCGTTTTTTACATCTCTAGATGAAACACTGGTTACTTAATTGCAAAAATTGCTGTAAATTTTAACAAAAACGTGTTGGTTTGCCCAAATCTCAAATTTTTTGAATACGTTATGCAAACACGAGATTCTTTTCCAAAACATAAATAGCAATTATTAAATAATAAGTTTGTCATATTAAACATAAAATTATTTCTACAAACTGTTTTTTTTGCTGCAGAGGAAAACAATAGAAATTTAAAAAATGATGTAAAAACGTAAAAAATAATAGCGTTGATATGTTGTTCTTGTAAATAATATAATAGTTATTTTTGTTAAAGTACCTAAAACATAGTTTTTTGGGACGAATTTTGCTGTTTTGCTGAATAGATACATGTCACAAACAACATTTTTTTGTTAAAGCTCCCAAAAACCCCTCAAAAAATCTCTTACGAGAATACGACTAATGTGACCAAAGCAAATATTTTTTGAAAATACATAGGGGGCTGTCACCATAGTAACCAGATGGACAAAAGCAAATAGTTACCATGGTAGCATTTTAGCTTTATTTATTTGCGTAAACCCCTGCAAATGGGGCGGGTGGGCGGGAACTTCAAAGGATTGAAGAAGGCATGCGTTTTAGTAAACCCAGCAGGCTGTAACCCTGGTTTCGTTGGAAAACAGCCCACCAGAAGCCGCTGGTTTCTCTGTCTTTTTGTCAGTATAAGGATTTGCCTATCTATTACAAATATTATTATTATAAATATTTATCTATGGCTCTGCATTAATTGACATTTCGGGAATTTGTCACATAGAAGAACTCAATAAAATGTTAATTAATGCCATAGTCTTCAAAGATGATGTAATAATTTCCATACCTGAAACAAGAATTATGTTAAAAGGTAAGTTTACAGTAATGAAGGATGAATAGATTAATGTTATGATTTTCTGTCGATTAAAAATAAAAACAAAAGCATTATTAATATAAATATGTACAATAATGGTCGAAAACGGACAAGTAATACTTAATAAATACACATATTTACCTGTGGTATATTGCTGCACAATATAACGTTCACAAAACTATGATTTTTGATATATCAATCGCCTCATATGACTTTTGAATTCGAAATTTTTATTTTTTTTTGTACCTGTCACTAGACAGTATCTTAAACTTCTAATAGATGGCGCCGCCACAATTTTTAATTTTAAATTATTTATTTAGAACACATTTTTATTGCTTTACTATAAAAGATGTAGTAAAACCATTTTTTAATTATAATGTTTATTTTTATCAGGACAGTTTAATTTAAGAGCATTTCCGAAGGAAGAAAAATTAAGATGTTCTTTGGCGCACTCGTGCCTGTTAACCGTGTGTCGTTAGTGAACGTTCTGTGGAATCCACAGACTAAATCTTTGGGTAGCGAAATTATAGGTTACAGGTTTTCGAGTCTTGAAACATTAATGTTAGAAGAGAGCAATGTTAATTTAAAAGATTATAAGTAAGTAAAATAAAAATAACTACTAACAAGGAGTTTTAGATTAAATCCACGGATTAAAATTTTCGCGCATTTCATTATTTGTTCTTTGGGAATAATCGCGACATATTTTTACATTTTCTAGGTTAGTCCTAATTTTATATATTCAAAAATAGACTCAAATAAGAGTGAGTGAGACTGGTTTGTACTGCAAAACATAATGCAGAATAAGTCAGCTTCATAAAATAGATTTCACCTCAGCTTTAATAAATGTTCCATACCTCCAGTGACCTGTGAAATGTAAAAATGCTGCAGATTTGCCACCTCTTAGTAACGAGCACGGTGGTAGAAGTAAGGTGTGGAAACCTCATTCATAACTTTCCTCAAAATCATTGGTAGAAAACACAAATCGCGTGGTTTGGATTATATGTCATTTGCTGTCCACACCGCAGCGACGTCTAGAGAGATCAGTTGAAATTAAGTAATAGAAAACTGCATTAAATCTTTGACATTTATGCCAATGTCATTTATTAACCAATCACAAATGTCGAATCATCCACCAATCACACGATTCACACCAAAGACCAACCACAAACCGTAGTGCTGTGATTTATTTTCCCTCCAACGAATCTGTCACTTAATTCATTCATAAATACACTGAGAAGTTGAAATGTTAATACATAGATGGACATACTGTGCTGCATACTATTTCGTAGTAAATAAGCCTACTGGGATGCGTGTTTTATTCAACAAATTGGAGCGGCTTGTTTCCACACCTTACTTCTACCACCGTGGTAACGAGAGACATTCTAAAAATTTTAATTAGTATGGTTAAATTGTCATCTGAAAGAATATTTATGACATTTAAAGTGTCGGTGCCATTATAATAACACAGTTTCAAAGAAGCGGAACAATAAAAATCAGTGCGTGCCCACTTGGATGTGAGAATCGTTTATGAAACCCTGAATAAAACAACGAAAAGATTGACTGCTTAATAAAATAATTTTGTAACTTCTAAAAAATATTATTTTACAAATAAAAACGGACCACCATCCTCACGCATAATCCCTGTCATTATCCGTTGGTAGAATAATATACTATTTGTTCTTCTATAAAAAATCTTACTAACTGCCAAATTTTAATTAAAAATAAGTAACATATTTTATGACTTGTTATGCCTGTACAAAATAAATTTGTTACCAACATATCATCAAAACCGTTGTAACTGCATGTAATCCTTGTAGTAAGATTGTATTGATTCATCATTATGGAAGGGAATGCATCTCCTACAGAAAAGGTATTATAATTTCTAATTTTCAAAAAATTGTAAGTAAGTCGAAACTACACTTGTTACGAAAGTTGTATTTGTAAAAATTTAAACACTTAAGGAGATATAAGATGAAATCATTATAGTATTGTTACGAAATAAACCCCGGTACGACGCCTATGGGTTTTCTAGTATGTGTAGCGATGATGGCTGACTCATCATCAGTGACAGCGGCTGAGTGGCGTTCGTATAAAGGCAAGGATCGAGTGACAGAATGAGTCTAGTCAAATCCATTCCAGCCGAGTCGGAATTATCCTGTACATATCTAGAAAAAATGTTTAGAGCAAACTTGCTAGCTGTAAATACATTAAACGACGTCGACACAGTTTCAGTTGTTAAAGAAAATGCTTTTTCGATTATAATTTACATCTTTATTACTTTTCAGAATTTTCGGAAAAAGCCTGGGACCACAGATAAAGGCAAAAAGTATGAAAATATGATAACTGCTAACATCATACTTCATATGGTAAGCACCGATGAAGTAAAAAACTTCCACGTTTCGTCAGACGATGCAAATTTTGGGGCATTCGATGATGTAGTTATTGAAATGGATACAGACGACCGAATCCAAATAAAAGCAGTGCAATTAAAACACAGCAACAATCCAGGAAATTTGGGCATAAAACGACTAGCAACCGAAAAGGGGGACTTCAGCTTACTTAAATATTTTAAATCGTTCCAAGAGATAAAGGAGAGACCCCCAACAATGTATTTTGTTCACCAACCTTAAATTTAAAGTTTCGAAAGACACAAAATTTCAGCTCGACGGAAAAGAATTTTTCTTAGAACCTTATGAAGCAACAATTGACAATGATTGTTTGAATATTTCTCAAGATGTAAATTGTTGCTATAAATTTCGCATTCTAAAAGACGAATATGCTGGAGACAGTTTTTCGGAACTTCAGCAGTTCAAGACATTTTTTGAAAGCTTTAGTCTTTATACTAACCAACAAAGTCTGGAAATACTTGAAAAATCGACAACGAATAACTTCGCGGAGACGTTCTGTTCTGATCACGAAACCTTCGAAAAATACCTCAAAGTTATAACTGAGTGGGATATGCAAGAAGGATCGAAAAACAAATTAGACAAGAAGACGATGCAACGTGCAATTGCACTTTGTCTTCTGTCTCCATACGTTGAAAATTTTAGTTTTGGTGAAGTCAACGACGAAGGGAAAATTCTTCGTGAAGCAATTTGTGACTTCGATATTACACTTTTGGAAAACACCGAATGTGAGGTAGTTAAGCAGTTGTGGGCCGATTTGGACGAAGATTTTAGCATCAAGGAATTAAACAGAATCAGATAATTTTATCGTCTTTCTCCTAATTACATATCAAGGGTAGAAGATATAGATGGAAGTGTGCTGGCACAACTTTTGTGGGTGTTGAACAAACGTCCACTCATCGTGAGAGAATATGAAAATATTGAAAAAGCTATTCAACTGTGTCCCGAAACGAAATTTGTTTTGCTTGGTGAAGGAATATGGAGAGAGTGGATGAAAGATCGCTCCGTGTTCCAGAACTTGTTCAGTTTGAGATTAGAAGAAAAATTGTACGAAACAGTGATGCAGGTCTTTACTATTTCCCTACAAGGGAAAATAGTGCTTACTTTGAAGGAAGCGTTAGGAGAAAATGAAGAATTTTTAAGGAACATAACCGTAAATAGTCTTTTAGAAATGATACAAAGTCCACGGTTAATAGACGGGAAAAAGGAAGTTCTTCCTAGTCCTTACATCCAGAGGTATTTGTCGTTAAATGTTATAGATAGTAAATATTTAGAACACGTCAATCATGATACCGTCGTTATTCTAAATTGCGCAGATAGTTCTAATACAATAAAAAAACCTAAAGAAATTAAGTTGACAAATGTCGACGATTACTTGAATGATCCAGAGTGCAGAAGTTCTGATACTCCAATTTTCATTATCAATAAAAACTTATGTAGCGACTCTGAATTTGAGGAAATTTGCTCTAAAACATCAGAATCAACAACGGTTCATTATTTCAAACTTCTTAGTGATAACAATTTAGAATGGATCCGAAGCAAAGGCGATGTCGGAGAATTGCAAAATCATAAATTAGACAGTCATTCCAAAGACGAAACCGAATTTTGGTCTTGCACGTTAAATAAAAGCATTAACTTAATAACAGGAGACCCAGGAATGGGTAAAAGTGAATTAATGAAAAGCTTAAAAAATCAGTGCTCTTCTAAACATTGGACAATAATTATAAACCCTCAAGACGTTAATTTACTCTTTAAACAATCAGAAGCGTGTGCAACATCAGATTATATAAACCTGTTTCAGACATTCATCTTCGAGAAAAAACATGTTTATCTTGGACGGTTAGATAAAGAGTTTTTTAAAATTTGTTCTGAGCAACTGCGCGTTTACTACGTATGGGACGCTCTTGATGAAATTTCTACTAAATATTTAGAACTCGTTTCAGATTTGATTGTTCAGTTATCACAGGAAGGTTTTACACAGTGCGTTACTAGTAGAAAACACTTGAGATCTTTTCTTGAAAAAAAATTTAATACATTATCGTTCAGTATAAATCAGTTTAATGAGCAGGAGCAAGAAGATTACATTAGAAAACGTCTCAATCCTGTTGTTTCAGAAGACAACATAGAGGAATCTATTCGAAAAGTAAAATCTAGTTTTGCTTCGATAAAGCATATAGACATTTTAGGAATTCCTCTTCAAATATTTATGCTCACAGAACTAGTTCTTCAAAACAGTGAAGTATATTTAAAGTTATTTGGCGGTTCTTGGCGTTTGACTGATCTATATCACCACCTTATTGAAGAAAAGTTCATGGTTTTCTATGAAGATAAGTTGTGCCTTGATTCTCAGCATTTTCATTTGAAACGTATTTTTGCCAGAGATAAAGGCATAACTTTAACGCACTACGAAAAACTCGCAGTTAACCTAATCTTTACGGACTGCGGAGCGATCGATAGCACTGATAAGAGTAGTTGAATCCCATTCCTTGAGCGGCCATAATAAAAAACTGTTTTGTTATAAACATAGTGCGTTTTTCCAACACGTTTTGTTAAAGATGAAAAATATTGTCATAGTTCACTGTTATCTGAAAATCTTCTAATTATCTGATGTTTAACTAGGTATATTATAGGCTGTAGTGGTACGATCCGTACTTTTAGTTTTACTCTTTTGTGTATCATCCTTGTCCAAAAATTTTGATTTAAGTACGTATCTGTATTATAGGCTATAAGTTAATTTTATAATTTAATATTAATATACTATTTCTATGACTTCACTGTTTTCTAACTGGATCCTTCGAGCCCATAGCTGCAATAATAAAGAATATTTGCACATATATTATTATTTATTACGACGATCAGAGAGCATAGGAAGCTGCATCATAGATAATCTGTCATTGTATTTTGGACGAGTACGTCCAAACGGGATTCTTGATGCTTTTCTTTGTACTGACTCGAGCAACAGCACATCCTTTTGAAGGATGGGTCTAATATAGGTCCTATAAAATTTACTGTCGACGTTAAAGTGACTTTTTGCAAATACTTTACTGAGGAGAAACACCAGTGAATTTGCCTTTTTTACAACACGCTAAACATACTCAGACGAAGATAGGCAAGAAGTCATGAACACCCCTAAATCCGATAATGATTCCGATTTTGTTAACTTGGAATTATCAATGGTATACGTATGTTGCGGGTTATTGTTACTAATATATAGAACCGAACATTTAGATACGTTTAGAGGTAGTAACTAGGCGGAGCACCATTCGCTGACAAGTCGCTTTTCAAGATAGACTGATTGTTGCTGGTGTTGTATATCTTTATATCATCAGCATACATGGCGAAAAGTGATTGAATAATATCTTTTAAATCAGCGGTGTATGCTATAAATAATAGTGTACCCAAAATCGATCCTTGAGGTACATCACTCAAGACCGGTATATGCTCGCTTAAAGCGTCACCAACCCCCACTCTAAACGTACGATCGGAGAAAAAGGCGGCAATCCAATGAAGTAGATTCCCCACTATTCCAAGATTTTCAAGCTTGGTTAAAAGCCGGCGTTTGGGAACTCTATCGAAAGTTTTGGAATAATCCAAATAAACAACATCAACTGGAACTCCAGAATCATAATGCCGGGTCCAGTTTGAGAGACAGCAAAGGAGATTCGAAATTGTGGACTTGCGGGGAAGAAAACCGTGCTGTTCTTCCGGAATAAGATGTTGATCCAATAGGAACTTAATGAGAGTTTCGTAGATTATAGACTCCATGGTTTTAACAATGAGGAAGGTTAGACTAATGGGCCGACAATTACAGGGATGAAACTTATCTCCTTATCTCAGAGGTAGAGAAAGACATTCGGCACAGTGGGCCAAAACGGAAGCAGTAATTGCGTCCGGCCCAGAGGATTTAGAAAATTTTAGTTTCTTCAACTTACTGCAAATAACATCTTCAGGGAACTCAATACTATCGAGGAAGACATTCGGCAAGGGTATTATTACACTAGGTAACGTATTGTCAGTTTCAAGCTTGAAAGTTTTAGAAAATGTGTCTGCGAAAATATTTGCAAGTTTTCCCAGAGAGTTTGTTACGGATATGTCTGTAAAAACGTTTAGTGTCTGTTGAGTCGGCAAGTTGCTTTTCGTATGCGATACGAGCTTCTCTAATTATGACTGAAAGATTATTGGAAAAATTACGATGTGCTTTGTAGTCGTTTTCATTTCCTGATCTCTTAAATGCTCGCCATAGAGCTCGTTTAGTTTTTACCATTTTTAGAATTTTTTTACCAATTCGTGGTTTAGTTGAGGATCTTTTGATACTAATACTAGAGGAGTGTTTACACACGAGGTCGAGCACTAATAATTCCCAGTTATCTGCGACCGAGGAGGTAACGAACAACGACGGCCAGTGAACATCGGTTAAGGCCTTATTCACAGATCTGTAGTCAATACCAGCTCTGGTATATGTGTCTGTTCTTTCCTTCGAAAGCTTGCAAATCTGGAAATTAGCCATGAGGGTGGAGTGATCTGACTTTCCGACAGGATCAAGGTATTCCAAATGGGCAAGAGAGTTGTCGTCACAAGTGATAATTAAGTCCAATGTCGAAGGGTTTTGATTTATCCTTGCGTTACCAACTGAATTAAGTGACTATTCAATAACAGGTCGACTAATAATTGAGAAGATGTAGAACAAGACTGAGAGGCGTTTAAGGGCCACTTTATATCACGCATTTTGAAATCACCAAAAATAAAAAAATGTTGATAAACGTCAGTCATCTCTGAGATGTACTGGTAAAGGGAGTGGTCATCTTCAATGATGGATGTAGGTGGCCGATAAATGCAACTTAACAGAAACGTCAACCTCTTATTTGCTATCTTCAGAAATATGGAGTCAATGTTACCCGTGTCGGCTATAATTTATTGTTGTGACTATCTTTTCTAAAAAGTGCGTATCTATCTAAGGAAATCGGCGGGTCAGTCATTAAAGGGGTTAACCAGATTTCTGAAAGTAGTACAAAGGATGGTTTGATTTCTCTGACTAGTACGCATAATTCGTCATATTTCGCAAGTAATGACGCAAGGTTGGTGTAAATAATACGAGGGGTAAACCGCAGAGGAAATCAATTGTACACGCTAGAGGAAATTAAAGGAAATCACAGGAAATCAAAAAGGGAATCAGAGGAAATCAAAGGAAATCAAAAGGAAATCAAGGGGAAATCAACGAGAAATCAACAAGAAAACAAAGGAAATCCAAAATCATCACAGCAAATCCAGTTAAACTAGATATTTTCTAGAACTAATAAACGTAGCATGTACGACGTAAGTCATAGCATGCATAGTGGAGATTAAATAACCTTTTAAGGGCCTAATGATAGAAAATCCAGTATAATATCATTAACTGACAGCATGATATTTCAGCTTGACAAATATTAAAGTTGTAGTTAATGAAGTGCAGTTCCGATGAGAAATGATACATTATATTGCTTTATACCTACAAACCAAATTTATAATTTCACCCCAAATTAGTTTTTAAAAATTGAGTTTGTGATATGAGGTACCAAATTCATTAAGTTCAGGTCGTGCAAAAATCTTACTGATGATATGTTCTTGTCTTGGAAGTTTAGCTCTCAAACTTGTGAGAGTATGTTTAGAAGCCTTAGATCAATGACCTCAACTTTTAGCACAATTGTTAATTTTAGTATAAGAGATATGTTGCATCGAAGTGACAGACTGCAAACTGTAAACAACATTAAAAACGATTTGGATAAAAAATTCGGTTTTCCTAGAGAAATGAGAAAAAAAGTTCAATCATGAAGAGAGATTTTGTGAAAAATGATGACTTAGGAAATATTTCAGATAAAGATATACAAAGGAGCGTAGAATCAGCTTTACGGCATTATCTGCGTAACACTGAAGATTTAGGAATGGAAGTGATAGATTTCAACTATGTATTTTTGCCTCCGTGTAAAGACAATGAATGCAATGACGAAGTTGAAGATGAAATGTTTAGTGAAGAACAGTGCGATCACATTGAAAATTACAACAATTCTCAAATAGCCATGAAACGTAACTGATTTCAAAGTTTGGAAAACGACCCAGTTGACCAAGATGAAGATTTACTGAATGATCTTTGCACAATTTCGTACGAATCTAAGAAATTTGACAGAGACATACACCTTAGAAGTTTTGACGTGACGATATTTTTGTTGAGAAAGGTGATCTAGTCAGAATACGCTTAAATAATACAACAAAAGTTATAAAAAAGTCTTCACTTTGCTGGCTGTTAGACAATGAAAAGGATCGCGTCAGTGTGGATCGTCTCAAAAGATTTATTCAAAATAAGAAATGTAATACTAGTAGAGTTAACTCAGAAACAGATACCTGCCTTCAACATAAAGATGAATCTCAAATTCAAAAACCAGTCCAAATTGGAAAACAAAAAAGACGCTATAATATATCAAGTGACTCATTTGATTTAGACAACCCAAGTAGTAGCGAATATGATGACAGCACGGACACCGAAAGTTTGAATTCTTCCAATTATTCTGATGATTTGAATCCTCGTTTGAATCTCAAGGCTGAAAATAGTAAGACTGATCGTTCTAAACCAGACTTAAATATAGAGGATTATATTATAGTACAATTAACAACTCAAAAACAAAACAAAAAATGTTACATTGGTAAAGTGTTATCACTTAAACCTATTTTTTGTGATTTTTTGAAAAGGAATCCAAAAATTCCGGATGCTTTTATGTTGCCGGACATTAAAGATCAGGGGAAATCCAAGAAAATGAATATATAATGAAACTACCTCCACCTCTGGTACTCAGAAGAAGCAGTTTAGTTTTTGAAAAAATATTTGATTTAATTCTAGTTTTTGTTTAAGTGATGTGATTAAAATTTGTGATAATGTAACCTCAACCTGGGTCGAGATTTGTACAAGTATAGGTATATCATAGAGAATACTAAAGTAAGAAACTGTGCAAAATTCTAGGTGCCCATGAACACTTTTAAAGGGGAAAATTACCTCTGAAAATTTATCAAGTGGGGTTATCCACTCCTTTATTGTGCAAAAAAAAAAATTCTTTCGTGTTAAATTTTGCACTTCAAAAGTTTTTTTCTAATGTGCTTGATTTGAAAATTGTGAACAAAAAATTAAAAGTGTTATCATCTGTATTTATGTGTAGCTAGAATTTAGCACAGTTTTTTACTTCAACATCATCTACAATATATACACAAATCTCGACCCAGGTTTTGGGGTAAGTATTTTTTAAGAAGTTGTTTTATTTTGTGTAATTTTGTTATGATCCAACAGAAATGCTTTACTTTTACGTTTAGAGTTACCGTTTTTTTTAACATTTAATAAAATAAATGGAACTACTTGTTTTTTCTGTTTATGCTACTATAATAAATAAATAAAGCCAATTTTTAAAAAGTAATGACTTAAGTTATTATTATAAGTTTGATTTAGTAGGTCAAACTTTACCATGATCTTGTATGCACAACACAGAGATGAACCTAATAGAATGATTTCGGACTATTTGGTATTCATTAATTACCTCTGTGAACGTATGAGCCAGTCGTTGTTGTCTTATGAGTAGAGAGCGGATTTTATGAAATTTGCATATTCGTTATTTTTTGCATATAAGTCTTGATATTTAATATGTGCACGAATCATGCTAGTTAGAAATGAATATAGCTATAAAAAAATTGCATATTTGCATATATTTGCCTTCTGCTGCATATTTCACGTAACGGGTGCATATTTTGCATTTTTATCAATTTTTGTGCTAATTAAAAAAAAAAAATGGCCATTCTATTGGCATTTATCTAGAAAAACGAGATTTCATTAATCATGTTGCAAATATTGTCCTGAGCTTCAACTACCTAGGAAAGGTTTGGGTTTTATGGTAGTTTGGAGAAACTACTGGGTGTTAATTCATCCTTCTAGGTAAATTCGGGCTCTAGATAATTACTTTTGGAAATACCGTTCATTCCCGATATTTTTGTTCGATAAGTATATTAATAGTATGTTTAATAGTGGTCGAAGGAACGGTACCTTGTTATTTTTCATTGCGAGTTTGCATTGAAAGCATTTAAAGCAATTTAGGTGCGTCAATATGTCGAAGATAACTCAAATTAATTTAATTATAAACATTTTATTTATGTATTTTTTGTAATAAATTTAGTTTGGTTATTACGTTTTTTTTTTACTTTTGAAGCATATGCAACTGCATATCTCTGCATATATTCAGAAAGTTACTGCATATTTGCATAAATTTGATGCATATCATATGATCATATTTCCCAAAATTTCGCTGCATATTTTCCGCTCTCTACTTATGAGTATGAGTCACTGATAAGTAAAAACTGCTGACGTAACTAAAAATATCCTTGGCCTTATGTACTTTTAATTTCGTAAAGTCAAAAGCAAAATTTCATAATATAAGTTATTAAAAAATTAATAATAATATATAATATAATTTATTAAATCTTTGAGTGATTTAAACGAACTAATTTGTACACACCAGACATTTTTAATTTCAAAATTAAAATAGACCATAAGGTTTTCTGACTGAATGTGCAAAAAATCTAGAATATTGCATATGTCCACTTTTAGAACAAACATTTGACCCAAGAAAGTGTAAAATTCGAACGTATACTTACTCTATTGATCTAGACATTTAAAACCTCGATTTCAGAGTAGCGTTCTTTTTGTAAGTAAAATCAGATTTTTTTCTTAAACATTTCAGTTTGTTGCTTAGCAGCACAATACATTTTATTTATTTATTTTTTTCGTCTAAAGGGAAAGCACTTCAGCTTACCTAGTCTCCGTACGTTAGTAAACACTTGGTAAAAAAAGGTTTAAATTCAACATCATTATCGGCAAAACAAAAAAGTCAAGTTAAAAAAAAGTTAACAATTGCCCTGTAGTACATTATGTAAACAAATTTTGAGGAAATCAAAAGGAAATCATAGGAAATCAAGAGGAAACCACAGGAATCATAGGAAATCACGAGGAAATCACAGGAAATCAAAGAAAATCACAGGAAATCAGAGGAAATCAAAAGAAATCGGGGGAAATTAACAGGAAATCATTGTCAAAAGGAAATAAGGAAATCAATTGTACACTTGATGGTCAGCGGTTTACCCCTCGAAATGATAGGATGAGTAAAATAGTGGGCATTAGCAGACGCCATTTTTATTAAAAAGATTATACAATAGTGGAAAGCCAGTAAATTTATTTGGAGGAATGACTTAAGTCATCCTCCAAGCCGTGCTCACGAGTAACATATTTTGACTTCCAGGAATTGGTTTCGGCCTCATTTCTTTGACAGCTCCTACCATGTTTCCTGACTAGCTCCCTGAAATTTTGCAATATTTTCGATTAAAAAAAATTCAAACCGAATATTTTTAAATCTTCCACCGAGATCATAAACACGCTGTTTTTAGAATCCGCGTGACGAAATCTATTTCCTAGAATTTTTGAGAATTTTTTGGCAACTTTCAAAAGAAAAATTTTTCAGTGTAATGAAAATTTCAGCCAAATTCGACATTTTTCTTATGTACTTCGACCTCTACTCCTATATTTTTGAATCATGCCGCAAATGAACTATTAGCAATCTTGTGTGAAGAATTATAGTGTAACACTTACGTATTAGCATCCAGAAACTTATTCATAATTAGACAAACAAAATCAAACGAATCAGTGAATTTCATTAAATTTCCTAGTAAATGTCGGTCTACGCAAATCTAATAATGTCTCTTAAATTGTGTTAGAACCAGTTAACGATTAAATCCTAACCTAATCGGCGAATTCATAAACAATAAAACAAATTTACAGCACGTGCAGCGTCGGTCGAAAATTAGCACCTTTTCCGATTAGAAATAATTTTCGTTAAACAAAGGCTTCCTTCCTTTTATTAACTACCAAACCACCTTACCACGTGGTTACACTCTCACAAACACACCTAGACTGACGCTCTTGCCATGCCACCATTTTGTCTACCAACCAACCCTCTAACTAAAATCCCCTAGCGAGCTACCAACTAGCAGGAAAAGAACTAAACTGCACAAGGCCTATGTTTAACGATCTTTTTGATTGAATTTTTTTCTCAAATTCAAATTATTCAAATGTGATTTCGCGCCGCTGTTAATGAATTTCAGCGCGAAAATTTGATTCAAATTCGGTCACCATAGTGCATCCTTTGAAAAGAGATGAGAATTTTGTGATAAGGCGTAACTAGCAATCTCGTTTTTATTAATAACCCAGCATTGGAAACACCTTGACTTTATTGATTTCAGTGTTAGTGGGTAGAGGTTTAAGTGTTTGCAGAATTTCAGATTTGGTCTACTTTTACTGATTGAGATGGGTTTTTGGTTTTATACTCACACCATACTCTGAAGAGTTTTGTAGTTTTTAGCATAACTTACATTATCTTGTTTCGTATCATAAGTCGAAATATGATTACTATCCTTAGGGCTATCAATACAATTTCGTGAAGTTTTAACCATTTGGCACGATTTAACAAGGTCAAGGTTACGCTCCTTAAGGTCATTGACTTCAGCTCGAAGTAATTGAATTTCTGAAAGTAACTGTTGCATTGCCTGATCTTCAGCAACTCCAATTTTAGCAGAAACAGTTGGTAGGGAATTAAGATCAATATTGCTGTTTTTCAAGACATTAATTTCTGCGCGCAAAAAATTTATTTCCTAATTAAGACTGCGACATTCTTTTTTTACCACATCGCCAAGCTGTTTAATAAACATATCTGAGATAGACCCAGAATGAGCTTCGAATATATTAAAATTGTGGAAAAAATATTTTTAGGTTGGATGAAACAATGCACATGTGTGTAGCAGCTGATGACATTAATAAAAATTTTTCAACTGGAAGAAAAAAGTTTGTTAAACCTTCAAGAATAAAGCTTGTAATGATTTTATTACTTGTTTCGTCCAAAGCTTTTATGCTAATTAAATATGAAGTGCCACATTTTCCACTGGTCAAAGTTTCGATCAACAAATTTGCGACATAACGTCCACATGAATTGTTTCATTACTATGAAAATAAATTAGATTATCGCCTAATAATTTGACGAAAAGCCTGCCTTGTTTTCTGAGACACTTTGTCCACGTAGTGTTTTCTTAAGGTACTTACTCTCATCGAGAACTGACTTCATGTTATATGAAGAAGTTATATGGCCAGAATACGTCTTTTTTTTCTAAATATGCCGCATTGTAAAGAACATACATTGTGCATACAATCCGAGCCTTAGTAGTGACCTTTTCTAAGCAAATTTTGCATGGACGTCATCAAATTGTTGGTGGGGATGATTAGACAAATATTGGTTGGCGTATAACCATCTACACGATACTCCTAAAATACGTATAAAATTTGGCGACAATTGATCCACTAGTTTCCGAGATTATCTATCGCTCTGAAAAGTATAAATTAGGTAGCAGCTGTGCTTGGAAGACGACTCAAATTTTGCATAAACAGTTTTAACGATCTTTGTTTTTTTTTTTCGTACGATCCATCTTGTACTAAATGTGACCTTACAAAGACTTTTCACAAAATCAGGAATGTACATTTTATTTTTTCACCCTTTTTTATCAGACTGGTTAGCCTTCACTTTAATTGTTGGACAAAGTTGTGATAAATCGATATTGGTTCGACATCCAGTAGGTAGTGTTGATCGAAACCTTCGACACCTTCAAAACACAAACATGTTCCATTTTTTTGACAAATACGCAGGTAAAACCTAGTTTTAGTGTTAATGTATATAATTCGACAAAAACGGAATAATATTTTATTTTAAGATCCCCGTGTGCAAGATTATTTCCTCATGAAATCACCCTGGCAGTTAGTTCTCACATTAGTCCTCTACTTTACATTCGTTTTAAAAGTAGGGCCGTCACTAATGAAGAACAGAAAATCGTGGAATCTTACACTAATTCTCATTATATACAATCTTTTACAAATCATTGCGAACGGCTTCGCTTTCCACAAGGTAAGAACCGCAATATCTGAACTTTTAATACCCTGGTTATTGTTCTAGTACTTGAAAATAATCCCTGTCCTCAATTTCATGTGTACTCCTGTGGACAAAAGCAACAGCCCTACCTCCATGGCCGTTGTACAAATTCATTACGACTACACCCTATTGAAGTTTTTCGATCTTTTGGACACGGTATCCAACTAAAAATTGTTAACTATTTTTCAAACACTGTCTTGCAGGTTTTTTTTGTTCTTCGTAAGAAAAATTCGCAGATAACTTTTCTCCATCTCCACCACCACAGCGGTATGTTAGTAAGTACCTGGATATCGGGGAAGTACTTTCCAGGAGGTCATGCTTTATTCGTTGGATTTCTTAATACGTTTGTTCATGTCGTTATGTACAGTTATTACTTAATGACTGCGTGGAGTTCCGAGGGTTGGAAGAATGTTTGGTGGAAGAAATATTTGACACAACTGCAAATTGTAAGCTTAGGGGTGAATTCTGTGTATATTATATTGAATTTTTTTTTTCAGGCACAACATGCGTTTATATCTGTTACGTTTTTGGCGCAGTTGGTTAATCCCAGTTGTACTTATCCCAAAGAGTTGAGTGGACTTTTTCTGGTTACCGCGGTATGGATGACGGCGCAGTTCTGCCAGTTCTACGTCAAGAGTTACATAAAATGTAATAAACTGTAACAAAGAGAATGATAAATACTCGATGGCTCTACAGATTTAGCAAATTTAAATGAGCAGTTAACCAGTTAACCTTACTGTACAACGTAAATGGGTACCTCCGTCAAGCTGTTTTTAAATTGGTTCCATTTTTCTTGTATTCCAAGCTAAGATTCCAAGTCGTTCTGGTTCCTTTAATTTTGCATTTAGCCAGTAAACTTTATGAGAAACGCTCTCTTTACATAAAACACAACTCCACGGGAAATTTATGAACCTTACATCGAATTTTTTTTGGATTTTTTTTTTTTATTATGAATTTTGACTTTCAGAAATTGGATTTGGCTACATTTCTTCAATAGTTGCTACCCATTTTTCCAAAATCGCTCAACGAAATACATATTGGAATTTTTTGAATTTATAACAATATATATTTTCGTACCGAACATTTTTAAATATTGCAAAGAAACCTTAGATACATTTTTTCTGGATTCAGTATGACGAAATCTATATCCCAGAATTTTTGAAAATTTTTTGGGAACTTTTTCAAGAGAACTTTTTCAGTGCAATGAAAATTTCAGCCAAATTTTGACATTTTTCTTATGTACTAAAAGCTTCCATTGCGCTTCATAACAATTCCTAAGATTACGTTGTGTCTCATTCATTGTCTTTTTCGTCAGTGTTTCAAAAATGGTATCTTAAAAATTAACTAGATAGGGAACTAATTGAATACCTACATATTTCTAAAAACTACTTTTTCTAAGAGGAGAATTTCATCCGTCCAAGGCAAACTGTTCATGGACGCATTTGCCCAACGTTTAGAGTAAATATACCATCCAAAGTGATCTATATTTTCAAACCTATAATCTTGTAGAGTCTTGTCTGAGCATTTAAGGAATATCAGCGATGTACTATTTGCCTATATTTCTCACAAAACGGCAGGGAAATATGCAGATGGAGACAGAATAAATGGTATTACCCTCCACATGGTCAACAAGAACCCTCAAGAGAAGTAACAGGCAAAGATGAAGGTAAATTACTTGTGATATCGTATCCCTGGGATGGAACGCTTTACCAGGGAACGAATTCTGGGATGAAAGTCTGAATTCTAGTGGAGATCCTACTGCTGCCAGTTCTTCACAAATATCAGAGAGCTGCACAACTGGCACATCAATTCAAAAGAAAAAGAAACTATACAAAAATGACTGACTTTGTAAAATATTTTATTAGAATAGGTCTAGTTTTGTATTGTAACCCCTTTTTTGATGTAAGTTCCAGAGTAAGGAAGAGTTGCGATAAACGGACCAATAGTTTTAAGAAAAATTTGGTCCTGACTACCTCCTGTTATTATTTTCGTAACCTTGAATGTACTCCATGGAAAAACTAAAATTTCCTGCTCCTCCTTGAAGGCTGAGTAGTCCATAATACCGCAAGCCGCCATTGCGCTTCCTTCAAACACCATCAGAGTTCCTTGTGTGTCTTCGTCGCTACCACCTATAAACTCCAGGGCTACTTGTTTGTCAGTGGTGCATGATAAAAACTGGGCGGAGTAAACATAATCACCTTCTTTTATATCTGTAATCTTACATTTCAGTCCACGGTAGTAAATGGGTGTGGTAACATCGGGATTATTAGTGATGGTGTGTATGCTGCGTGTCAACAACGCGTACAAACTCTTGTATGGGAAACTTTGCCAAGTACCGTCGTCTCCAAGTCGCCTACATTTTTCATTAAAGTCCAGATAAAGTTTTGTGCCGTTGATTTTCTCGTCCATGGTGTAGGTAATGATTGCAAGGCAACACTCCACCGGAAGAGTGTCGAGTTTTCTTTTGTCCATGAAGTGTTCTTTCGCCTTTTTCCAAGTGGTGAAGTATAAGAGATTGTTGTTAAGTTCGTAGTGCAATATTTGCAAAATTTTGGAAAATTGTAAGGAAATTAACTGACTTACATGTTTATAGTGGATCGTACTTTCGAATCCTTTTTCGTGGTCGGGAATTGTTTGCAAGAGATTCGCAGGGTCGAGAAATCTACCGGTACAAGATTCACGTCTACTTAGTTCAGGCATTATTAGTTTGGAAGGAAATTTAAAGTTTTGTAAAGTACTTTGTAATTTAAATCACATTTACTTATAGAATGAGTGAAGGATTTAAGACTTTATATTGTTTTTTCTTTCACTTCCATAAAAGAGAAGCTAGGATTATTAGCAGACTTTAAAGCACATATAAGTAAAGTGCGCTTGCATTTAGTTAAGATTCCATTATAGCATAATTTAAAAAAAATCTTATCTCGGCAACTGTCTTTGTAGATGTTCACTAATGGGCAAAATATGTCGGGTTATCTGTAACCTACTCATGCAATTCTGCACAGTGTATAGGAGTTTCGAAATTGTCGCACTCAAAGACTCATGGTTAGTTTATGAAGATAATACAGCAAACATTCAATATTTGAACATCACAAATTAAATACAGGAAATAGAGAAATCGTCATTAAAGTAACTTGATGGTACCTAATACACAAAAAATTAGGTACGATGGTGTGATACAGAGTCTATCACCCGTCATCGATAATTTTACTCTAGTGACAGGTAGATAATGCCCAAAAAACCTGCCGCATATTATACGCTACACCTCTATTAAAACAAACTGAGCGTTTAACATAAGTGACATTCCTGTCAAGTGTTTTACACTATTGTAGTTACATTGTACCGTGTGGTGTTTTTTTTATTTGCGATCTGGTTTTTTAGTTCTCGAGAGAAAATATTAATTCGTCCTATCCCGTAATACACGAACATGCTCATCGTCTTTGTGTCATGTTCCTCTCCCATCAAAAAGGATTCGGCAGTCGGCAGTTTTACTGGTACTAGACTGACTAAGGAAACCGTTATGGAACATCGTGACATTGGGAAAACGCCTACCCAAAACACCCATCGCTACGGGAAATGTCTTGGGCAGATCACCTTATTTGTTCTTGGCACGGGGTACTGGGGGATTGCAATAAATTGCTTACCACCCTAAAACCCCTCCATCTTCTGCTCATGTACCAGAACTTTGTCCTCTTCACCTGGGCCCTGATTTCCGAGTGGTCACAGAGGTGCTGTGCCACTGCAGTTCGGTTGAGCTATTGATTCGCCTAGGAGGTTGCCCTCCATCATAGGCTTTAATCTTACGGTCCTCCTCTGGTAGTCGGTGTAAGAATTTGAAACAGAATAATGTGCGCTTTGCGCTGGCATTACATATACTTACCTGCCTTTTAGAGGCGGTGTGGTCGTGGGGGGGAAAGGATGTTTTTTGCAGTTTCGAAAAGACAGGCCCGATGATTCTTTCGAAGAAGTAACTATGAGGGTCTCGAACATATTTTCTGTAATGTAAAAATACGCTGTAAAATATTGTTAAATTTTTTTTCTCATGGGTCGGAACATCAACAGTGGCGAAAATTTTATCAACAGGGGACCATGTGTGGTGGTTTTAGACACATTATCATACAGTTCAATTGGATAAACCACCCACTTTTTCTAGTAAAAAATGTGGAATGCCGGAATGGCTCTTTAAACATAGTGTTGAATTTGACAAAAACTTTTCGAAGAAACGGTTGTGGGATTTAATTAAACCCTTCAGAAACAATAGAAAAAAAAAGATATTTGGTAGACCAGACATTAAGAGAAAGTGGCCATGAAGTTCTTAGATTACCTCCGTACCATTGTCAATATAATCCAATTGAAATGGCATGGGGATTTTGTAAGAACTATTACAACAAGCATATAAATTCTCAACCTTCATTAAAAAATAGGGTGGAGAATTTATGGCTTGAGGCGCTTTCTAAATGTACTCCAAGCATGTGGCAATATTTTTGTAAACATTGTGAAAAACTTATTTTGGCAGATTGGGAAAAAATATGGGAAATCTTTCGTACGAATCTATACCTCCTTTCATTATTTCGCTAGGTGAATCTGATTCAGAATCTGAATTTGAAAATAACGGTGATACAGATTTTCATAGCGAAATAATGGAAATGGAGTGAATTATAGCTTGTCGGGGGGTGATATTTTACGGATCTTTCGTTCTAAATTTACCAAGGTAGTATGTGAAAAACTATCTGACGTACAACAAAATAAATATAATTTTAGTTGGATCATCCAGGTTGTTACTTTGCACCAAATTTTAAGCATTTTCATTTTTTTTTTGTAACTCTTCATGGACCTGGAGAAGGCGTATAGTAACGTTCTTATTAATAGGCGTTTGGAAGTACTTACTTAGTAAAAGCAAATAAAGAGCACTTACGTAAACATTAGTAATAGCTATATAGATAAATCATTCAATTTAAGGCCGGAAAAATGTTTCAGAAGAGCTAAACCCATCAAAGCACTAGAGCAAGGTTGTTGTCTTTTACCAACCCTTTTAGTAATCTTAGAAAAGTGAAAAAAGAAGTTGGAAGATATGGAAATAGGCTGTTCACAAAGGTCGAAATTTCCATTTCTAAGAGTGGGCGAGCAGAACGAACTGATGATTGAGAATTAAAGATGAGATGCTAAATGTGGCATGCAACAATAGTCGTATGTAGAACCCCTATTCATATAAAAACAATGTTTAAGTGAAATTTTAGTGTTTGTACCTTACATATAAAATAAACACTTACAAAAAGCCGAATAACGAAAATTGAAAGTATAGGCAACAATGTTCATATTTCTGGCATATTTTTTAACCTTTAATTTAATAAAACATAACCTAGCGTAAACAGTTCAGGGAATTTTTATTCTTTTGCATCGAATACCAATAAATTCACTAGATTTTCATGGCCAACCCTACTATATAAAGATCGTGAACGGATAATAGTGGTAAATGGAGTTGTCATGCTTTGATGCCAACCTGTGGATTTATTGCAGGTGAGAATCAAGAATAGGAATTTGTCGTAATTTGAAACTGATAAAACAAATATCTACGTAAATAATTAATAGATATTTATTTTATTAGGAGTTTAAGTGATACTCTATCTGACAAGTATGGAAGTCTTTTAGTCAATGAAGCTTAAATTTTGAACAAATTAACTAAAAATTTACAAAAAGTGGATTTAACGGGTTTTGATTCTATGCGGCTCCTGTGTTTATTGGAAAACTAGAGTTGGACAAAAATAAAATCGATTTAATTATATTTACATTACAAAATTACAAACAAAAACAAAATTAACTAACTATAATTCTTTTCACTGGCTATTAAATTTTGGCTTTTGATATTTTGTTGTTAAACGTAATGTCTCCAGTTCGGATTAGAATGTCTTATACTGATTTTTGCAGGTGGAGATTCTACCGAAATGTTTTGGTATTTCAAATAAAGGTACAATTTGAAAATTTTACAAAAATATGCACTAAGACTGAAAAATACATTACTTAAAAAAAGTTATTTGGCCAGAAAACATCTTTTTTTTTAATATGCCGTATTTTAAAGAATATGGATTTTGCACACAATTTTTTAACCAACATTTTGCATGGACGTCATCAAATTGTTGGTGGGGATGATTAGACAAATCTTGGTTGATGTTTTACGATCTGCACGATACTCCTAAGATACGTATAAAATTTGGCGAAAATTTCAGAAAATCAGGAATGTAAATTTTATTTTTTCTTCCTTTTTTGTTACACTGGTTAGCCTTCACTTTAGTTGTTGGATAACGTTGTGATAAATCGACATTTGTTTGACGTAGGTACTGTTGATTGAAACCTTGGACACCTTCAAATCACAAACATGATCAACTTTTTTGACAAATACGCACGTAAAAGCTATTTTTAGTGTTAATGTATGTAATTCGATAAAAACGAAATAATATTTTATTTACGATCCACGTGTGCAAGATTATTTTCTCATGAAATCACCCTGGCAGTTAGTTTTCACATTAATCCGCCACTTTACATTCGTTTTAAAAGTAGGGTTACTGTTCTAGTACTTGAAATTAATCCCTCTCCTCAATTTCATGTGTACTCCCGTGGACAAATCGTGGATACGATATCCCCCTAAAAGACTATTTTTCAAACAACAGTTGTAGAAATATTTGACACAACTATAGGGGTGAATTTTGTGTATGTAAAATTGAATCTTTTTTATTCAGGTATTACATGGTTTTATATCTCTTGGCGCAGTTGTTAAATCCCAGTTGTACTTATCCCAAAGAGTTGAGTGGACTTTTTTTGGTTACCGCGGTATGGATGATGGCGTAGTTCTGCCAGTTCTACGTTAAGAGTTATATAAAGTGTAATAAACAGAATAATAAATAGGTCGATTAAATAAATATGGGTCTATACTTTTAGCAAATTTAAGTGAACAGCTTCAAGAAGCTGTTTTTAAATTGGTTTAAATTGATTAAATTTGCATTTAGCCAATACCTTTTATGTTTTCTAATCAATAATCATACATCTTCCTTTCTTTTTTCTATTTCCGTAAGTTCTAGTATATCCATTTTTACATTTCCTCTAATAATAAATCAAACTCGACAAATTTCGAAATTTATCTAAAAACTTTTTCTTATGGATTTTGACCTCCAGATGTTGTTATGTAAATGTAAAAAGAAGAAACGTCTTTTCTCTTCCACTTTTTTTTCATTTCTAGTTTACCGGGTTCGATTCAATGACCTTCGATGCACTTATCGTCAACCGCATAAATTACAAAACGGCAATTAAGTAAAAACATTTTGACAAAAACACTCTTATTTAATTAAATTGTTGAAATTATTCAACAATATGCAAAACCATGTGACCAATGTTTTTAATTTGTTTTTTTTTTGTAATTTGCGTTGTGGACGATAGGTCCGTCGAAGGTCATTGAAACGAAATCGGTAACCTAGAAATAAAAATAAAAATTGAAAGAGAAATAATGTAAGAGAAAAATTTTTTTTTCTGCCTACATAATACTCACCTACTCACCACCACGGGAAATTTAGAAATCTTGCAGCGAAATCATAAGTACGCTACCTTTCTGCAATCAGCGCGACGAAATTTATATCCCAGAAATTTTTAGGAATTTTTTGTTAAACGTAGCAAAAGAACCAATTTTAAAATCATCCACCAAAATGTGAGAAGGATTTTTTTACTGTTTAAAGAGAGACTCATCAGTTGATTGTTAAGAGCCTAGCGAAAAAATAATCCGCCATTTTCCAGACACCCGATATATTTCAACCTCTACTCCTACGTTTTTGAATCATAAAAGCCTCCATTGTATTTCTTAACTCTGGTAGTGTCTACGTTCAATCCATTTAAGATTACGTTGTGTCTCATTCACTGTCTTTGTCGTCAGGGTTTCAAAAATGGTATCTTAAAAAATAATTCCATTAGGAACTAACTGAATACTTACAAATTTCTAAAAACTAGTTTTTCTTGCACTAGCTTCAGCAAAAATTATTATAGCAGAACGGCATTGAGTGAGATTACACGATGAACACACTTGTTTCCAACACTGTTCGAAAAATCAACCATTTCTTTCGATTACCTTAATTAACATAGGCAACCATCAATACACCAATTTATACGACAACAATAACCTTCGTTTGATATCTGCGCTTGTGCACCACGGCGCAGAGCATGTGTAACTGTCTTCACGTCGTGACGGTTTTAGTGATAGTAAATATACCAACAAAACTACCCACCAATCGCTCGTGTAAGTAAAACACCACCAAAATTACCCAACCATCCATCACAAACTACCTTTCTATTTCAGTGTTACCAAACTCCCCACCTCCACACACCATGTTTGAGTGGCTTAGATCGCCGGTGAATTGGACCGGTGACCACAAATCCCTCCTGTTATCAGAAGATAACAACTCCGAACCAACACCCGATGTGTCACTAGCAGACCTAATTAACCAGAGTTCCACATTTCCACTGGATTTCCCCGTCGAGTCAGTGCGTTGTTGCCAACTTCGGCAAGTGACATCCGAAAAACAACTAGAAAAAAACATCAATTCTGCGTATCCTGTCATCCACGAGTATGCCCTCTACTTATGCTCTGTCTTTCTCCTCTATCAAAGAAAATTCGGCTTAAAAACAGATTTCTACAAAAACATGTCCTTGATTCAGTTCATTAATCGATTGTTGAGCAAAAGAGCGGCAGTTTTTGTGGATTCAAGCGACAGTTATTTGTTGCTGAGTGGGGAAAGAGGGAGCGGTAACTGGGAAAATGTGGGAACGATTGAGGAAAAACCGCCACTTGTTTTGGAAAACTGTCTAAGTTATGATGAGATGAAATTGTCGGCGCTGTTGTCGGTGTCGTCACACAGCTACTTTATCAACAATGGCGATAGAAATAACTTTGGACGGTTTGATGAAGACCGGAGAAGAGTTGAAGAGAGTGGGGTGATTATAGGGGTGATTGGACCACGTTTTGAAAAAGCCGAAGTTATGGAATATCGGGATGTTGTAAAAACGAAAAGACAGAACACCGTGGGTTATGGCTATGGAGATTCTCCAGTACCTACGCTACAGGGGGAGTTTGCAAAGTTTTATGAGGTATCCAACGATACGTACTCTCAGTTCTTAGAGAACAAGGAATCAACTGTACACAGATACCTCACTTTAGGTACATAATACATGTTTTGTTTTTAATTTGTATTATTATTTTATGACGCAACAGGTAGAGGCAAGTACTTCGACACACTCGTGTACCAGAAAAGGCTCGCCCTTTCCATTGACACCCTTCTGATAGAAGCTAACGACCGAGCCAAAAACGAGAACAAGATGGCCTACGTCCACGTGGTGGGTCTAGGTCTGGGAGTGTGGAGAATTTCGTCCGTCCAAGACAAACTATTCATGGACGCATTTGCCCAACGTTTAGAGTAAATATACCTTCTAAAGTCATGTATATTTTCAAACTTATAATCTTGTAGAGTCTTGTCTGAGCATTTAAAGAATATCAGCGACGTACGATTTGCCTATATTTCTCACAAAACTGCAGGAAAATATGCAGATGGAGACAGAATAAATGGTATTAGCCTCCACATGGTCAACAAGAACCCTCAAGAGAAGTTAACAGGCGAAGATGAAGGTAAATTACTCGTGGTATCATATCCCTGGGATGGTAACGCTTTACCAGGGAACGAATTCTGGGATGGAAGTCTGAATGCTAGTGGAGATCCCGCTGCTGCCAGTTCTTCACAAATATCAGAGCTGCACAATTGGCACATCAATTCAAAAGTTAGCGCCAGGAATTTAAGAATAGCCACCTTCAAAGGATTAGTGACGTTCCACGAGTACCAGGAACTACACAAAAATGACTGACTTTGTAAATTATTTTATTAGAATAGGTCTAGTTTTGTATTGTAACTCCTTTTTTGATGTAAGTTCCAGAATAAGGAAGAGTTGTGATAAACGGACCAATAGTCTTAAGAAAAATTTGGTCCTGATTACCCCCTGTTATTATTTTCGTAACCTTGAATGTACTCCATGGAAAAACTAAAATTTCCTGCTCCTCCTTGAAGGCAGAGTAGTCCATAATACCGCAAGCCGCCATTGCACTTCCTTCAAACACCATCAGAGTTCCCTGTGTGTCTTCGTCGCTACCACCTATAAACTCCAGGGCTACTTGTTTGTCAGTGGTGCATGATAAAAACTGGACGGAGTAAACATAATCACCTTCTTTTATATCTGTAATCTTACATTTTAGTCCACGGTAGTAAATGGGTGTGGTAACATCGGGATTATTAGTGATGGTGTGGATGCTGCGTGTCAACAATGCGTACAAACTCTTGTATGGAAAACTTTGCCAAGTACCGTCGTCTCCGAGTCGCCTACATTTTTCATTAAAGTCTAGATAAAGTTTTGTGCCGTTGATTTTCTCGTCCATGGTGTAGGTAATGATTGCAAGGCAACACTCCACCGGAAGAGTGTCGATTTTTCTTTTGTCCATGAAGTGTTCTTCCGCCTTTTTCCAAGTGGTGGAGTATAAGAGGTTGTTGTTAAGTTCGTAGTGCAATATTTGCAAAATTTTGGAAAATTGTAAGGAAATTAACTGACTTACGTGTTTATAGTGGATCGTGCTTTCGAATCCTTTTTCGTGGTCGGGAATTGTTTGAAAGGGATTCGCAGGGTCGAGAAATCTACCGGTACAAGATTCCCGTGTACCTAGTTCAGGCATTATCAGTTTGGAAGGAAATTTTGAGTTTGTACTTTGCTTCAGACGTGTCTAGGTGCTAGAAACTAAGATTTACTTTTATTGGCGTAGTATTTAAATCAGATTTACTTATAGAATGAGTGAAGGATTTAAGGCTTTATATTGTTTTTTTTTTCAATTCTATAAAATGAAACCTAGGATTATTAGCAGACTTTAAAACACATATGAGCAAAGTACGCTTATATTTAGTGAAAGATCTCATTATAATATGAAAATAAAAAAAAATCTTATCTTAGCAACTCTCTGTGCAGATGTTTACGAATGGAAAAAATGTGTCGGGTTATCTATAATCTAGCGTGCAATTCTGCACAGTGTACAAGAGTTTCGAAATTCTCGCACTCAAAGATTCATGGTTAGTTTATAAAGACAATACAGACAACTTTCAATATTTGAACATCACAAATTAAAACACAGAAAAAAAAAAACGTTACAATCCCCTATTAAAGCAAACTAGGCGTTTAATATAAGTAAATTTCCTGTGTGGTGTTTTTTTTTTATTAGTATGAAGTAGTACATAGTAAATGAAACTCTTTAAATTATTGTTAAAGACTGGGAGCTGGAAACATAACGAGAAAATCATCTGCTTGCACAAACTCACAAATAAATATTTACACAATCTCATGTTTAAAATTTTTATAGTTATTCAAGTCAATGTCACTGTTTGAATATCCCCACACGTGGTTAACAATATTATGACTGGTGCGTGTATGATGATAATAATAATAATAATATTAATATAAGAAATCCTGGTGCTGCCATCTGTTCCAAAACCGCATAAATCACGAAGAGATATCTAACAACTTACATGAAATTTCACGATATTTCACGAATATGTCATCAATGTTTAAATACCTGTATAAATAAACTTCATCCACGCCAATTCTGTGCGTCAACACGTCTTCACCAATTGTCACCAAAACCTCAACATTAAACATGGCAAGTAATTTATAATTTAAAATTTTCCGTATAAAATGTGGATTCCTTTGTAGGCAATCGCAAAAACCGACCTGTTCGACGTATCGCCACTCTGGTTGCATGACAACAAATCCGAGCTTTTATCACCAACAAACGTTACGTCGTCCCCATAGTCGTCCCCTGACGTAACACTGCTCGAAGTCATCGAAAAAGGCTCCGTATTCCCTCAAAAATTTCCCATCGAAACCGTACGTTGCCACCAACTTCGCACACTCAAAATCCCCGAAAATGTCCTCGAGAGAAATATTAATTCGGTCTATCCTCTAATACACGAACATGCCCTTCGTCTTTATGCTATGTTCCTCACCCATCACACAAAATGCGGCAATCACCAGTTTTACCAAAACATGTCGCTGCTGGAACTTGTTGATAGATTACTGAGTAAAAGCGCAGTGTTTTTCTTAGATCCCAATGACTACTATATGCTGATGGATGGTACTGTAGGGGAAGGTGGATGGGAAAACGTTGGTACTCCTAATGAGGTACGACCACTGAAACTCGAAAACTGTCTAAGTTACGACGAAATGAAACTGTCGGCGTTCTTGTCGGTATCGTCGCATACTGTCTTCGTTAATGATGGTAAAAGAGACAATTGTGGGGTTTTTGAAAAAGACAGGACGAGAATCGAAGAAGATGGGTTTGACTGGTACTAGACTGGCTACGGAAAACGTGATGGAATATTGTGAGATCATGAAAACGCCTACCCAAAACAGTCATCGCTTTGGGTCTGGACACTCCTCCGTTCCAACACTACAAGGAATGTTTTTGAACTTTTATGGTGACGCTGGTTTTAATTATGAAGAAATGTTGGCCACAATGAAGAACTGTAAACACCGTTATCTTGGAGAGTTCTACGATGGTTCCTATTTTGATGGTCTGGTGTATAGAAGAAGAATTTCTTTGTCAATAGACACTCTCCTTATTGAAGCTAATCACAGAGCTAATGTTATAAACAAAATGGCGTACGTCCACGTCGTTGGGTTAGGTTTAGGTGTTTGGAGACTCTACGAAGAACAAGACGAAATATTCATGGATACGTTTGCAACAAGACTCGAGTGAATTCTATATATCATTTTTTTATTACCCTCATACAAAGGTCATCTTTTTTAGACTTCTCTCAGACGTGCTAATGAACATCAGTGACGTATGTTTTGCATACATCGACCACAAAATGGCCGGCAGCTACAAACATGGCGACAAAATAGGCAACATTAAGTTGCATATGGTTGATAAAAGCGGCCCACATGTAAAACTAACGGGAGAAGATGAAGGAAAATTGTTGGTGGTGTCGTTTTCCTGGGACAGTAATACTTTACCAGGAAACGAATTCTGGGCGGGTACTTTAGACAGTAGTAGTTATCCAGCAGCTGCATGCTCTACACAAGTGGCAGAATTACATAACTGGCACATTAATAGCAAAGTTAGCGGTGGAAATTTGAGGGTTGCTACTTTGAATGGGTTGGTTACGTTTCAAGAGTACCAGCAAATGCATGCAAATGATTAGTATTATTACAGTGCTAACCTATTGTGACATTTATGATGTCTGTGTAACAATAATAATTTACGTCGATGTCCAGTTTTGCCGATATTTGAACATGAAAATGTCAATTTAGCTGCAAAATTGTAACCGAATATTAATGGTACACCAGAATAACTCCAATTCCGTGGCTCATCAAAATAGCCCCGACAAAATAACCTCCTCAAAAAGGCCCCGTCAAATTAGCCCGGTATGAAATTTTTGCAGACAGGAAAAGAAATTATCATTATTTTTTATTTCATAAAGTACAATGATAATTTATAGTTCAAATGCTAGTTAGAGCTGTCAAATCAAGGTTTTATTGAATAATTGGAAACACTAGGAAATCTTGCAAACTAAAAAAAATATTAGTAAAATAGTATTTTACCACACGAAAATATAAAGTCAGTTTTTTTATTTCAAGAATATTGGGTAAAAGATTGTAGACACTGCGATAACCCAAACTTCCCGCCTTTAAATTGACCTTGAAAAATTTTGAACGGCCCGCGAAAAATTCAAAAATTCAAAATTTGGCCTTGGCTGTGATCGTCTAACAAAATGGGAACCTACGTTGTGTGTGTGTTTTTTTTGAAAATTGGCGGGAAGACGTTGTTTCATACAAGTAAGCATATACTGCGGGTAAGATGCCACCCCTCTCAGAAGGAAAGAAGCTGCGAAGATTCACTCCTCAGCCCCAAAAACCCCCTACCGTATATTCACGGACATATTTATTACATTTCAAATGAAACACCTTCAAAATATGAAAGGAAAGACAGTCGCGAATCTCTGTTTGGAATCACAAGCTGAGTTTGGGGCTACCGGTTCGGGGTGGTCTCCCCCGCGACGCTAATTCTATCTATCGGCAAGCCCACCGCATAGCCTCTCTCCATTACGAACATGCCGTCCTAACCAGGCCGTTTCGGTCGAAAACTAGGGGTAAAGTCAAACCAACAACACCCCATCGTCCAGACCGTTTCCACTGAATCTATTCAAAGCCTGCAACCCTTGTGCAGATGGCGCGATAAATCCCACTAGGAGCCGCGCCCTACGCTTCTGCCATGTGTTTGGTTGTTGGTTGTTATTTAACCTCAGTTCCACTTTTAAATGTTCAATTTCATTTAACTCTGATATTAACAACAAATGAACAAGTGTTAAAGTTTCAAAAGTGCAATAAACAATATTTAAATACTCCATACAATCTTGTGAAATGTTAAACAACAAATAATTCAAAAGATCTAGTGTGAAATAAACTTGTGCAAATAAAAATATTTGTGGTTAAAACTCCAGAGCATGGAATTTAGGTTCAATTAAAGTTGTAACAACAAAGAAAATTACTGCAGTTAAAATTGCGAGCTAGAGAAATATAGTATGAGGTGAAAAATTGCAAAGTTAACAAAATTTACATGAGATTAATATTTGCCACACTTTATCAACCATTCAAACGAAGAGTTTACATTATGTCAAATTATATCATGACCTATGTGATTGGTTAGTTCAAAAAAACAATTTACTTTGAGAGTTTAACATACCTCAAACTGGTTATCCCAACAAAATACATAATAAACAATTACAAAAACATCCAATCATCGTTTCGAGGAAAAAGCGTCTCGGTGATGTAATTTTTTATCGTTGCGAGGACATGCCTCGATGAAGTAATCAATTTGTAGCGTTGTGAGGGCAAGCCTCGATGATGTAATCAATCTTAACCGCCTAAGGAAAGAAATTGTTTTAACCCCCCGCCAGTTCGCAGTATAATGAATTTTGTTTAACTGCCGTAAATGAACTATTAGCAATCTTGTGTGAAGAATTAAGAAGTGTTATGATGTAACAGTTACGCATATGCATCCAGAAACTTATTCGTAGTTTGTTAAACCGTGGTCGACTAGTATAAAGATTATGGCCTGTCCAAGAGGTACCATACGTGTTGCCATCTATTAATAATTACACTTAATAATTTGGCAAAATTTTAATTTGATTTGACATTATGAGACTTCAAAACGTGCAATGGTCGTTTGTTTCGGTATGAATGCCTTTGTGCCTTTCAAAAAGTGTTAATAATTCTTTTGTCGTTTTAGAATTATTAATAGATGGCAGCACGTATGGTACCTTTGGACAGGCCATAATCTTTATACTAGTCGATTATGGTTAAAGAAAGAATTATTATTCTGACTAAATGAATTTCATGAAATCTTCTAGCAAGTGGTTTATTTAAATAATGCTGATTGTTAAATTGTGTTAACACTAGCTGACGATTAAGAAAACTAACTTGACTGGTGAATTTACAAACAATAAAACAAATTTACAGCACGTGTTCTGCGTTGAACGCAAGTCTGCACTTTTTCGATTAAAAAGGTCGCAAGAATTAGCCGCGCGGGCTGAGAACAACTGAGCGCCGACGGCGTTACGATTGATTGTCATTAAACAAAAGCTTCCTCCCTTTTATTAACTACCAAACCAGATAATTTAAACCTAGCTACTTACAACGTCTTTTCACCATGCATCCACTACACCGAACCGAAAGATAATGACTCCCGCTTTCAACATGCTGCCTTCTGTCTACCAACCAACCAACCAACCAACCAACTCTCTAACTAAAATCCCCCAAGCGCTACTAACTGTCCAACTATCCTTCAAGCGTTACCGTGCACCTGGTTGCCTATGTTTAACAATTTATAATTTGAATTCTTTTTTTCTTTCACAAAATCAAATTATTCAAATGTGATCTGGCGCCGCTGTTAATTAATTTCAGCGCGAAAATTTTGATTCATATTTGGTCACTACAACGGATGATGACAAATATTTTTAAATACTGTTTTTTATAACTATTTTTTACTAGTTAGTCAATAAAATACCAGTTAATAGAGTAATAGAATACAACGACATACCTTACTTAGTTAGTTTTAATTTGTAAATGTGTAGTTTAAACCCAAATATGTATTATCTAAGTTATAAGTGTTGAAATAAATGATAAAAATAAAATATTAATGTGTAAAAAAAGTTTCTTGCATATTTTGCATTTATATTGCTTGCATATTTTAGCAATTTTTTGCATATAATACCAAATTTCTGCGCATATTTACATGTTATTTTCTGCATAAGTATAATTCCGAGCGTTACTAATGAGTAATGACTAATGAATGAGTAATGACGGGCTGTGCGTGTGTTAAAAATTCGTGTGCTTGCACGCGACCTTCGTAATTCCTACTTTCATCTGCTCTCTGTCCACACCCATCTTGGGGCGGATTATCCAACCGCGAAAAAACAGGTAAACATCTATTTATATAGACTACTACTTTAGATTTCTTCGGTTTCTGGCGAACCGTTGCCCCGAGGTATGCGTCTACCTGTGTTCATTCACCACGTATCCATCAACAACTTGAGTCATCGGTGTTTGCCTGGTGCAAAATTTCATAATGTTGCTGCACTTCATTCAAGCACCACGTACCGTTCACAATGGTAAGTAAAGAATTTAAAATTGACAATTTTGACTAATGTTTTTTTATTGTTATAGGGAACAGCGACCTCGAAGCAGTCATTCTCAATATCGTCTTACTCGCCATTACAAAAACAACCCGAGACTCCGTCGTCTCCTGTGTTGGTAGAATGGTTCCAAGCATCTCCACAATGGACTTCAGACCACAAATCGGAATTATTATCACCAAAAAACAACTGCGAGGAACCCCCACACGTGCCTTTAGCAGAACTTCTGGACAAAAGTTCTGTATTTCCGGTAAAATTCCCCATTGAGAGTGTTCGATGCCACGAACTCATCACACACAACATTCCTGAAGACATTCTGGAAAGAAACATAAATTCGGTGTATCCAGTAATACACGAACATGCCCTTCATCTATGTGCCACGTTCCTCATTCACCAGAAGAAATTCGGAAACCGCGACTTCTACCAAAATATGTCTTTGCTGGATCTTATTGACAGGTTTTTAAGTAAAAGAGCGGTTTCGTTCGTTGGTGTTACGGATCATTACATGCTTTTGGATGGTAGTGAGGGAATTGGTGGTTGGCAGGCTGTTGGTACTAAAGATGAAAAACCACCATTAACAATGGAAACGTGTCTGACCTACGACGAGATGAGATTGTCAGCTTTTTTATCACTATCGTCTCACACAGTGTTTATCAATGACGGTAAGAGATACAACAAAGGCATATTCGAAGACGATAGAGCAAAATTAGAGGATGATGGGGTTATCATGGGGCTAATTGGTCCAAGATTGCCTAGCAAACTTGTGATGGAGCATAGAGACATAATAAAGACAAAAGAACAAAACACACTCGAACAGGGATATGGAAACTTGACCCCTCCAACTTGGCAAGGAACGATGTTGGAGTTCTACGGTGACACGAATATAACGTATGAAGATTATCTTCCACAAATGAAGACCAATAAAGATCGCTACTGCGAGTTATTTGAGGACGCTTACTTTGATAAACTAGTCTACTGTAGAAGAATCGCCTTGTCTATAGACACTCTTCTGATTGAAGCTAATGACAGAGCTAAGAAAATGAACAAGATGGCGTACGTGCATGTCGTGGGTTTGGGTCTAGGAGTTTGGAGAGTTTACTGTTACCAAGATAAAATTTTCATGGAGACATTCGCACAACGACTGGAGTGAGTTATTTTTTATTAATTTTCAATTAACGTTTCTTGTAGACTTCTTTCAGAGGTACTGACAAACATCAGCGATGTTTGTTTTGCCTATATCGCACACAAAGAGGCCGGTGAGTATAAACATGGCGACAAATTGGGCAATATAAAGTTACATATGGAGAATAAAATTGGCCCTCATATGAAGTTAGTCGGAGAAGAGGAAGGAAAGTTGTTGGTTGTGTCTTATGCTTGGGACTGCAATGCCTTACCAGGCAACGAATTTTGGTTTGGGAGTTTGCACACGAGTAGCGATCCGGCTGCTGCATGTTCCACCCAAGTTGCAGAACTCCACAACTGGCACATTAACCAGAAGGCGAGTGCGAGGAATTTAAGGGTTGCCACTTTGGAGGGTTTGGTAACGTTTCAAAAGTATCAGGAAATGCACAAAGATGACTGATATTTATTATTGGAATTGAGATAATTGTAATTTAATATCCTGTGTTACTTTTTATATTATTTTATAATATACTGTTACATATAAGTACACAAGTAAACTAGGGTCAGTTGCGGTGTTGGTGTATTTTTTACTAAAAAGATTAATATGTAATATATAAATAAGAAATTGAGTTATGCCTAATACATGTCTATGTCTGCCTGCTTTTATTTATGAATAATAATAATAATTATCAACATTTATATTTTACTTATATTGCCTACCTACCCCAAAAAGTTGCAGTAAGAGTTCTGATTGTAAAACATGAAGATGACCATTTTCTTAAATTTATTCTTGACTACATTGTTATTTTTCTAACTGCCATCTACAATGTAAAAAAGACACATGATTGCGGGAAGTTTTCTCAAATACAATTATGGAAATTTTAAAGGACGAACATAAGTCTTCTTTTTTCTATAATTTTACATTTTGAACTGATTTCCTCTTATTGCCCGAAAAATTGTTAAAAAAAATACATCGTGTGGAACATTTCTGGGGTTTTGTTCCTCTTGAATATTTTTTTAAGCAACAAACTGTCATTGACAATGACAGTAGCTGTTAAGATAAGGCTGATTTTGGCAAATGAGATACCTTATAAGAAAAGAGAGGGTGGGTGGGCGGGGCTAGTGTCTGATAAGATAAGACTGATTTTGGCAAATGACATATCCTCTAAGAAAATGAACGGTAGAGGGTATATCATTTGGCAAAATCAGTTTTATCTTGGCAAGTATTGGTCGTACCCACCTACCCTTTATTTTCTTATAGAGTAGGTCATTTGCCAAAATCAGTCTTATTTTGACAACTACTATACCGGCTGTCTGGAAAATGGCGGATTAACTCTTCAGTACGTTATAAACGGGGGTTTCGGGAGTCCCAAAAAATAATAAAAAAATTCTTTATAATGTAGATAACGAAGAAAACGTGATTTTATAAAAGTAAAATTGGCAACACTGTACTCACCTAATGCGTGAATACCTCTCGCTTATTTTCTGGTTTCTTAGTAACGATGCTGACTGAAATCCACCTTCGCTTTATATCAGGCCATGGCCGACTAGTATAAAGATTATGGCCTGTCCAAGAGGTACGATACGTGTTGCCATCTATTAATAATTACACTTAATAATTTAGCAAAATTTTAATTTGACTTGACATTATGGGACTTCAAAACGTGTAATGGTGGTTTGTTTCGGTATGAATGCCTTTGTGCCTTTCAAAAGGTGTTAATAATTCTTTTGTCGTTTTTGAATTATTAATAGATGGCAGCACGTAATGTACCTTTGACATTCCTTTGGACAGGCCATAATCTTTATACTAGTCGGCCATGATCAGGCAAACATTGTTGTCAAATAGAATTTTATCAAATTATTACAAAAACAACACAGCCATATCTTTGTGCATTCTAACTGAAATGGTAATTAAACATGGTCATGAGCGAGAAAAATATTAACTAAAAGTTTTACTACTAGTTATTCTGATAATGAATGAGTTGTTTAGTTGTTAAACGTAGCAAAAGAACCAATTTTAAAATCATAAAACTCCACCAAAATGTGAGAAGGATTTTTTTTACTATATTTTTCCCAGACTCACCAGTTGATTGTTAAGAACGTAGCGGAGAGTTAATCCGCCATTTTCCAGACACCCGGTATAGCCCCACCTGCCCGCCCTTTATTTTCTTAGAGGGCTAGTACCTGCTAAGATAAAACTGATTTTGGCAAATGACATATTCTCTAAAAAAATAGAGGGCGGGAGGTAGCGCTAGTATCTGCTAAGATTAGACTTATTTTGGCAAATGACGTATCCTCTCAGAAATTTAATTAAATAATTATAAGAAAGACACTAGAGGCACCAAAGCACTTTAAAAAATTCTTTGCAAACAGGAATACCTAGAACCTCAAGATTGTCTTAAATTTTTCAAAAAAAACCCAGGCAACATGATGTCGTCTTTTTCACGTGAATAAATGGTCATCATTTACGTCATAGTGATCAAAGATTTCACGTGACATTGACGTACCAATGACGGTCAAATGTCTCGTCTAGATGACGTCATTTTCTCACGAACTATTGACGTGATGTACTGACGTCTTAGAGTCGTCATTTTATAACGAATTATTGACGTGATTCACTGACGTCATAGAGACGGCATTTATTGTCCATTTTAAGACGTTTTTTATATTTTGATTTTTAGAAAAAAATATGCAATAAATAAAACGCTGAAATAATTTTATTTTTTTATATTGTTTAGCTTAAATAAAATATTATAATTCGATATAATCACCAAGTAAAGCCCAAAACAAAGTATATATTAATTAAAGTTAAAACAAATTAGTGTAAAAAAATTAAATTTACTACAATTTTGTACAACCACCAATGAACTTTAATAAACAAATAAAAAATATGTCAATTAAACAAATTAAAGATAAACCACACCTAAGAACACAAACAAATCTACATATAGGTAATTACGAGTATAATTAGTATAAACAAAAAAAAAAGGATATTGTGCAATATATAATCAAAAATAAACGTTGCAATAAAATATGCTATTTAAAGAAAAATCAGTTTTAAAAACACAAAGAAATCTATTTAGTTACAAAGAATATTAAAAAAAAAAAACTATAATAAACTATAGATCAGTCTTAAAAACACAAACAAATCTATTTACAAAAAATATTTTAAAAAAACTAGAATAAAGGGAAAAGACAATTGAATCGCATTGTTGAAGTTACTTGATTGAAAATGCTTTGTAAAACCACAGTATATGTAAAACTATCTAATTCACGAGGATTTGACTGTCCCCAACACACAAAAAAGTACCGTTAAGAATTAATTCTGTTTTAACAATCATATCAATAACCTAAGTTTTTTAAGTTTGCCTCAATTTATTGCACTGAAAAGAAAAACCCGTTAGAGTGCATGGATTAATGGAAATGCAATCATTTTTTCATCTATGGGCAATAGCAAGCATTTGACTATTATTAAATTTAAGGGATTACAGCTTTAAGCAGAAGACAAATTCTGTATTTTAAAAATGCTAAATTTACTTGAACCTAACGGATAATCGTAAAATGGTTGCATTGACAAAAACGTACAGCCTATCAGGAAAATCTCGTTGTCAATACTTTTTACAATGAAGCGAAATGTGTATGTGTAAATAGTAAGTTACCAAAAAGTATCGTAGTATTACAGGAATCTACCGGTATATAATATCCAATATTAATGTTATATATGTATATATGAATTCATTGTATTTTTTTAACTTACAAAGAAATCTGCTTGTTCTAATATGCAAACATAATCTTGTAATTCGTCAAAATTTGTTTAGGTGTGGTTTTGGCGGCATAATTTCTGTTTTTGTTTTCTTTTTCAGTTGTCAGATTTGATGACGTTTCCATGTTGGAGATTTTTTCACTCGTTTCCTTTAGCATTTCTTTCGTTTCGCACATGTGTGGTGTGAATTTGTTTCAAATTTAAATAAAATTATGTTCATTAGCATTAGTTCATAAAAAATTGCAGTAACATACCTTTGCAATATTTTATAGCGCCTCATTTTCAAATACAATCACCGTAAGTTCTTCATAATCAGTGGGAGTATCTTCAGTGATTAATGGTGGTCTTTCTAGCTTATCTGAATAAACTGCTTTTGTTATCTACGTACAGTTATCAAAAATAACAGAAACACGTAAAAATTAAAATGATTACTTTTTTAGATATTAACTTACCTACTATAAATAAGTACAACCCACACTGAATGGCATAAATTTGCACAAAACTACGTTAAAAATGAAGTGAGTAACGGATACACGAGAAAGTTTCGATGGTTGAGAACCAACTGGAAATATTGAAATGCTTCTCTGTGAAGTGCAATAAACATAAATACCGAAAAAAGGGAAAGTCCGAATGCACACCCCAAACATCTGATGTATTGTATAGTAAATACGGATAAGAATAAATTTAATAAAACTGAATATTAATCACTCTCGAATTTTTTTGGTAACCGTCATCACTTTATAAACGTCTTTATAAAATCAAAATTCGACGAAGGAATTCTTCAAAACCTTGTCCCGTTTTAGGGACAATGGACAAAGAATTTTTATGACTTTGTTTGTCGTTGGGTCTTTTTGCTCAACCCCAGATGTTCTATTTATAATTTGCCAATCAGGTACTTACAAAATAACACTTCCAGAGTAAACAAGTCTTCAGAAATAATTATTTTATTAGAAATTATTAGAATGAAAAAACTTGTCTTTGGTGTATTTCTAATTAAGCCGTTGTAATTTTTGCTCTAAATATAATCAAGCATAATGAAGGCCACTTTTTAAAAAATACGACGACCCACATCTAATTTATCATATAATCTGTAAAAAATGACGAAGAAAGGACGGCCTTTTGACGTCATTAATTGACGTCAGAAGTAAGTCATAAAAATCTCGTCATTTTCACGTGATTTTTTGGGCGAATGATGTCGCCGACGAGTTATGACCAAAAATTGACGTGAATTAGACGACAGTCTGCTGCTTGGGAAGTAGAGGTCCCAAAATGAACTCAACACAGGTCAGGTCAGAATTTTCCAAAAGTAGAACACCAAAGTCCCCCAAAACTGTCATTGTCACCAATATAAAATATAGAATGCCAAACAAAATTGACTTTTTGAGAAACTAAGAGCATTCAAAATACATAGTAGGTACAGAAATTCCTAGAACTAGTATAATAGGTTAGTTAGTGGGTTTTCTGTGATATTAAATATATTAAAGTTATGATAATCATCCTTACGAAAAATCAATAAATAACTCTTTGTTGGGTAAGATCATTTTGCTTACTATAATTCTACACTAATTCGAAGTTGTCATAACAAAAAAATCGTGGGAGTGTTTCAAAAGCCGACACAACTTCACAAACCTTCCCAATCTTTCCATATAATCGATGTTTACAATTTTCATAGCGGTCTAGGTCAATGTCATTGTGTGGATATCCCCAGGCGTGGTTAATTATAAGTGTTATGAACGTATAAATAATAATCTATGTGACCTAAATAAAATACGAGATCCTACTGCTGCCATCTCTTTCAGAATCGTATAAATCGAAAACAGATATCTAATAACTTACACGAAATTTCACAATATTTCACCAATGCGTCACCAATGTTTATTTACCTGTTTAAACAAACTTCATCCACGCCAACTCTGTGCGTCAACACGTCTTCACCAATTATCACCAAAACCGCAACATTAAACATGGTAAGTAATTTATAAATTCAAATTATCGGTATAAAATGTCGATTACTTTGTAGGCAACCGCAAAAACCGACCTATTCGACACATCCCCTCTCTGGTTTCGTGACAACAAATCCGAGCTCTTATCACCAACAAACATTACCTCTTCTCCTGACGTCACACTGCTAGAAGTAATCGAAAAAAGCTCCGCATTCCCTCGAAAATTTCCCATCGAAACCGTCCGTTGCCACCAACTTCGCACACTCAAAATCCCCGAAAATGTTCTCGAGAGAAATATTAATTCGGCCTATCCCGTGATACACGAACATGCTCTTCGTCTTTGTGCCATGTTCCTCACGCATCAAAAAAGATTCGGCAATCGGCAGTTTTACCAAAACATGTCGCTGCTGGAACTTGTGGATAGATTTTTGAGTAAAAGAGCAGCGTTTTTCTTGGGTACCGGTGACTACTATATGCTGATGGATGGTACTGTCGGGGAAGGTGGATGGGAAAATGTTGGTACTCCTAACGAACTACCACCATTGACACTCGAAAACTGTCTAAGTTACGACGAAATGAAACTGTCGGCGTTTTTGTCGGTATCGTCGCATACTGTCTTCGTTAATGATGGTAAAAGAGACAATTGTGGGGTTTTTGAAAAAGACAGGACGAGAATTGAGGAGGATGGGGTGATTGTGGGTTTGATTGGTACTAGACTGACTAAGGAAAATGTGATGGAACATCGTGAAATCGTGAAAACGCCTACCCAAAACACCCATCGCTACGGATATGGACGCTTCTGCGTTCCAACTCTACAAGGAATATTTTCGAACTTTTATGGTGACTCTAGTCTCACGTACGAAGAAATGTTGTCCACAATGAAGAGTTCCAAAGACCGTTATCTTGGAGAGTTCTACGATGGTTCCTATTTTGATACTCTGGTGTATAGAAGAAGAATTTCTCTGTCAATAGACACTCTTCTAATTGAAGCTAATCACAGAGCTAAAATTATAAACAAAATGGCGTACATCCACGTCGTCGGATTAGGTTTAGGTGTTTGGAGACTCTGCGAAGAACAAGATGAAATATTCATGGATACGTTTGCAGCAAGACTCGAGTGAGTTCTATACATTATTTTTTTATTACCCTCATACAAAGGTCATCTTTTTTAGACTTCTCTCAGACGTGCTAACGAACATCAGTGACGTATGTTTTGCATACATCAACCACAAAATGGCCGGCAACTGCAAACATGGCGACAAAATAGGCAACATTAAGTTGCATATGGTTGATAAAAGCGGCCCACACGTAAAACTAACGGGAGAAGATGAAGGAAAATTGTTGGTGGTGTCCTTTGCCTGGGACAGCAATGCTTTACCAGGAAACGAATTCTGGGAGGGTACTTTAGACAGTAGCAGTGATCCAGCAGCTGCATGTTCTACACAAGTGGCAGAATTACATAACTGGCACATTAACAGAAAAGTTAACGCTGGGAATTTGAGGGTTGCTACTTTGAAGGGGTTGGTTACATTTCAAGAGTACCAGAAAATGCATGCAGAGGATTAATGTTAGTGTAGTGATTTATTTATTCTTACTAGTTGTTGTAAAATCTAGTCTGTGTTAATAGTCGGAAACCTGAACTCTCGTTTGATTTGTCAGACGTGCCTTCGCCTTTGTTTGTTATTTTTATTATTAATACAAAACTCTTAATCTTAAAATTAAAGAAAGTGAATAATGGAAAACAACGTTTTACAGAACAACCAAAGTAAACAAAATTAAACGTTATTTTTAATCTCAAAAATGCTAAAATATATTTTTTTCTTAATACGTGTAGCGTTCTTTTCACAACCAGAAAGGTAAAACATGTTTACAATTTTAAATTTTTGTAGGAACGTATCAATTTTGCAATTAGGCTCCGCCCCTCGGTCTGACAACCAATGAAAAATTCATCACAATAGAACTTGGGATGGATATAGGTGGGGCTTAATCTTTGGCTTTAATTTTTTCTTAATATACCTACCTACTCTTCCTTGAATAACACGCTACTTAAAAACGTGTCTTACATGGTAATTTCTTGTAGAGAAATAATAAGAATTTTGCAATTAAATTCCGCTCCTTTGGCTCTCGAGGATTAAAAAAAATCATCACAATTGGGATAGGGTGGGTGGGCGGGGCTTATATTTTGACTTTTTACTTCCCGAGCGTAAGCAAAGGAAGTATTGTAATCGAGTCCGTCGGCCGACTCTCTACTTTTACGTTTTCTCGATCTTTTATGACCCCTAGAAGACGAAGAAATAGGTCTCCCATTTCCGTCTGTCTGTCCGTCCGTCTGTCCGTCTGTCCGTCTGTCTGCCGTCCCGGATTCTTATTAGACAGATAATCCCCGAAAGTACTGGACCGATTGTTGTGAAATTTTGTACTTGTATTAGGAATATCATATAGATGGTAAAACGCTAACCAAAATTTGTCTAATCATCCCCACCACTAATGCGATGACGTCACTTCAAAATTGTACATAGTAAATGGGTCTTAAATTGTATAAAATAACATAGTCCTACACATGTAGTTTACGACTCTGAATTCAGTTTTTACCCGAAACGTCCAGATATTTTGGAAAAAATATCACAATTATGAAACAACATTTTGCAATTTAATTTTGAATCTGCTAACCCGAATGTTTTGAAATGTTGCAGATGTTTTAAGGCTATAAAGACCATCATAAATTTTTAGTCAAAATATATTTGGTTATCCCCTCCAAAACCTTGATGACGTCAGCTCAAAAGTTTGCCGAATAAATCCTATCTAAAATGTACAAAATATGATGCGCCTGTACTTGTGATATATCACTCCATTCATATTTTTTGAATTTGCATATACAGGGTGACTCAAAAAAAATTAATGAATGCGCAAAATATATTTTACTGATTTACTCAGGAACTACAAAACCGAATGCTTTGAAATCTTGAAGATGTTTTAAAATTATCATAAGCATGGTAAATTTTTGATCAAAATGTATTTGGTCGTCCCCCCTAAAAAATTTATGACGTCACCACAAAATTTTGCTGAATAAATCCTATCTAAAATGTACAAAATATGATGAGTCTGTACTTGTGATTTATCAGTCTATTCATATATTTTCGATTTGCATATACAGAGTGACTGAAAAAATTAATGAATGCGTCAATTTATTTTATTGATTTAATCAGGAATTACAGAACCGAACGCTTTAAAATCTTGGAGACGTTTTAAAGTTATCATAAGCATGGTAAATTTGTTATCAAAATGTATTTGCTCTTCCCCCCTAAAAAATTGATGACGTCACTCTAAAATTTTGCTGAATAAATCCTATCTAAAATGTACAAAACATGATGAGTCTGTACTTGTGATTTATCATTCCATTCATATTTTTGGATTTGCATATACAGGTGACTCAAAAAAATTAATGAATGCATGAACTTATTTTATTGGTTTAATCAGGATTTACAGAACTGAATGCTTTGAAATCTTGGAGATGTTTTAAAGTTATTATAAGCATGGTAAATTTTTTATCAAAATGTATTTGCTCATCCCCCCTAAAAAATTGATGACGTCACCCCAAAATTTTGCTGAATAAATCCTATCTAAAATGTAGAAAATATGATGAGTCTGTAGTTGTGATTTATCATTCCATTCATATTTTTGGATTTGCATATACAGGTGACTCAAAAAAATTAATGAATGCGTGAATTTATTTTATCGATTTAATCAGGAATTACAAAACCGAATGCTTTGAAATCTTGGAGATATTTTAAAGTTATTATAAGCATGGTAAACTTTTGTTCAAAATGTATTTGTTCATCCCTCCTAAAAAAATTGATGACGTCACCCTTATATTTTGCTGAATAAATCCTGTCTAAAATGCAAAAAATATGATGAATTTGTACTTGTGATTTATCTATCATTCCATTCATATTTTTTAGATTTTCTTAAGAGGTGGCTCAAAAAAATTAATGAAGTCAATTTATTTTATTGATTAAATTAAAGGCAACACTTATTATTAGTATTACATTGGACCAACCCAATTTGGTAGACACAAAATTTTTTAAAGTAAACACTCGGTTGAAACATAAGGATAGCACGCTTATTTACATCGACTTTAACATTACAGACGTGCATTTGTTTTGTGCGCTGTCTAGGTTCCGCGAATGTGGAATAGACATGTTTATAATCAACCAGTTGTGAATTCCACCGTCAAAAATTAAAATAAAACCCAATGTTTTATATAATAAGCGGAAGTCGAACCAATAAAACCGATGGTCGTTTTGTTTACAGTTTCTCTGTTTGACTCTCACGTATGCTGTTACGCTTGTCATCTTAAATTAAGAATGCTTATACATAAACGATTTTCAGTTGCCTCTCATATTACACACCGGCGCCGTATACGTGAGTAAATTGTTTCGTTATTTTATTGATTATAACAAATCAATATTCAAAACGAGCCAATTCATTTTCCCGAAAATTTGGGAATAGAATAATTTTATTCTTAGTATTACACTACATCGATCCCAACTGATATACGTGTCCTTGCAAAAATGTTGATGACGTCATCGCAATTTTTTTTTAAATTCCCACTACAAAAATGTAATGAGAAAAAAAACACAAATGCCATGCAGTCGTCAAGTTTCCGACAGCGAGGGAAGTACTGTCTAAACTCTTTAGACCAATTTTTTGTTAATACATAACAGTCGTGTTTTCAGAACAAGAAACTTAAAACATGTTTAAAATATGATAAATTCTTGTAGACAAATATGAATCTTAAGCCCCGCCCCTCGATCTGACAACGGATGAAAAATTTATCATAACGGAGAATATTTTTAATTTCTCGTGGAGAAATATTAGATCATATAATAAATAGATACCAATACTCAAACTGAAAGCTGTGACTAGACATGAAGCTATCTGTTGTCGTTTTCTACGTCAAGAGGAGTAGTATAAAGCTATCCTTGTGTGATCACCACATCTTCATCTTTGTTATATGCATTTCATCTGTATATGTCTATTTCACTTCCATCCGTGTACCGCACCAGCGCAACAAATCGCTTTTGACAGATGTTTCTTCTAACCTCTCTTTCGAGTTGTTGTACAAAAAACAATTTTAGAATTTAGAACAAAGATCCCATTTTAAGTGATGTAATCATAAAGGATCACAATTGCTACCCAATAATTTACTATTCCTTTCATTATCTACTGTGAATTATTTATAAAATCAAGCTGTCAACATCTTTCGTACAAAGTTAGTTCAGACATACTTCCTAAAATTTAGGCGCGCAAAATTCAAATAGTGATCAGGCAAGGATAGCTTCATTGTAATCCCTCCATGCACGAGAGAGATATGTGACAGGAGGATGTCGTTACAGGCTCTGCTAGGGAAAGAACACGGCATGGTGGTATCTATTTATTATATGATCTAAGGGAGAAATAAGGATTTTGCAGTTAACCTCCGCCTTCTTGGCTCAACGACGAATAAAAAAATCATTACAATTGAGATAGGGCGGGTGGGCGGGGCTACATTTTGCTTTTTTTTTTCTTAATACGTGTAGACTTATTTAGAAAACAAGAAACTCAAAACATGACTAAGTAAAATGGTAAATTTTTGTAGCAATCAACTTAAATCCTCCACTTTTCTTCTACAACTCTTTTAAATAGGTCAAAATTTGGACACCAAAGTTACTATCAACGGCAACTTGCCAACGGAATTTATAAATAACAATTTCAGATCTAAAACTTAATCCATTATTAAACCAATTGAACGCGAGCACCATCTCATGGTGCATAATACAATTAAAAAGCAAACACATTGGACAATTATACAGAGAACTGCTTTCTATTTCCCGGAAATCATTTCGCCGAATTCACCGTGTTTACCACTACGTATCTCGTTTATTGAGTCATCGACGTTTGGTGGCTAGAAAATTTCACAATAATTTTTAGGCACTTCAGTCAAGCACCATTTACAATGGAAAGTAAATTTAACCACCATTCACGTTTGCTGCCATCTTTATTTTTAAGATAATGGTATTTTAACTAATATTATTTATCTTTACAGGGAACGACGTCATCGAAAGAATTGTTCACAAAATCATTTCACTTGCCGAAGCAAAACCAACCCGACGCACCTTCGCCTCCCGTGGTGGTAAAATGGTTCCAAACACCCCCTCACTGGACTTCAGACGCGAAATCTGAATTACTATCACCAAAAAACAACTCCGAGGAACCCCCACACGTGCCTTTAGCAGAACTTCTGGACAAAAGTTCTGCATTTCCTGTGAAATTCCCCGTCGAGAGTGTCCGATGTCACCAACTCATCACACATAAAATCCCTGAAGACATTTTGGAAAGAAATATAAATTCGGTGTATCCCGTAATACACGAACATGCCCTCCACCTGTGTGCTATGTTCCTCATTTACCAGAAGAAATTTGGAAACCGCGACTTCTACCAAAATATGTCTTTGCTGGACCTTATTGACAGGTTTTTAAGTAAAAGAGCGGTTTCGTTCCTTGGTGTTATGGACCACTACATGCTGTTGGATGGGACTAATGGTACTGGTGGCTGGGAAGCTGTTGGTACTAAAGACGAAAAAGCACCATTAACAATGGAAACGTGTCTGACCTACGACGAGATGCGACTGTCAGCTTTTTTATCAATATCGTCTCACACAGTGTTTATCAATGACGGTAAGAGGCACAACAAAGGCATATTTGAAGACGATAGAGAAAAACTAGAGGACGATGGGGTCATCATCGGGCTAATTGGTACAAGATTGCCCAAGAAACGTGTGATGGAGCATAGAGACATAATGAAGACGAAAGAACAAAACACACGTGAACACGGATATGGAAACTTGACACCTCCAACTTGGCAAGGAACGATGTTGGAGTTCTACGGTGATGCGAATTTGACGTATGAAGATTATTTGCCAAATGATGACTTTAAGCAGGTTAAGCAGCGGGAAAAGAATTCACTCTCAAATAAACTAGTAGTATAATCAAGAAACAATACAACGAAACATAAGAAAAGTGACAGATGACAACATTCTGCAATGACACTCTAAAAAACCGTTTTTATTGCCAACCTAACACTCCCCTTCAATAAAAATATTTTTAAAACAAATTAATTAAATTCTGACATACAATATAAAATACCGATCCTAAACTACAAATCATTTCAGTCCTAACTCGCTTCTGAGTTTTTCAAATTGATCTCTTGGTACTCCTTTAGTTAGTATATCTGCTATTTGGTTTTTGCTTGAAATGTGCTTCAACTCTATTGTTCCCTCTTCGACTAACTGCTTAATGTAGTGATATTTTACATCGATGTGCTTCAGTCGCTTCGTATTTGCTGGTGTTTGGGATACTTTTATAGCAGACTGATTGTCTTCGAAAATTAGAATTCTTTCGGTTCTTCCAACTCTCAAATCCCTCAAAACATACTTGATCCAGCATGCTTCATTTATTCCTGCTGTTAACGCAACGTATTCAGCTTCACATGATGATAAAGCCGTCGTAGACTGTTTCTTTGTTGCCCATGATACTGTGTTGTCTAATACCTTAATAAGATAGCCTGTTGTGGATTTTCTATCTTCATCTCCAGCATAATCTGAGTCGACGTAACCTTGAATTATTCTGTTGTTGGTGTTACTCTTTAGATAAGTCAATTTCAGGTGCAGAGTTCCCTTTATGTATCTAAGAACTCTTTTGAGTGCTCCGAATAATTCTAAGCTGGCTCTGTTTTGATATCTACTAAGAATGCTAATTGCAGCACACAGATCTGGTCGAGATCCTAACATTGCATACATAATATATCCAATAAGCTTTCTGCATTTGTGTTCCATTTCCTTGTCTGGTGATGGGTTTTTCGGAAACATAATTCCTGGTATTAAAGGTGTAGAGACTGGGTTACAATTTTCCATACCATACAGCTTCAGTATTCTCTTTAAGTATGATATCTGATGAATTACAATACTTTCTTTCTCTTGCTTGATATGTAATCCCAAGTAGTTTGAAACTGGTCCTAAATCATTCATCTGGAAGTGGTTTTGCAATCTGCCCTTGAAATCTTCTACTCTACCATTTCCGCATATTATCAGATCATCCACATATAGTAAGACGTAAATTTTACCATGCTTTTCAGTTTTGATGTACAAACAAAAATCGGCCTTTGATCTTTCAAAACCACTATCTTCCATAAATGCATTAAATTTCTTGTTCCAGTAATCTGGGCTTTTTTTCAAACCATATAATGATTTCACCAACTTTAAAACTTGATTTTCTGGCAACTCCATTCCTTCTGGTGGATAAACAAAAATTTCTTCTCCAACTTCTCCATTTAAAAAGGCGCTCTTAACATCCATTTGGTGTACTTTATAATCATACTGATTTGCTAATGACAATAACACTCTTAATGTTGTTAACTTTGCTACTGGTGCATAAGTCTCTGAGAAATCAAATAGTTCTTTCTGTTGGAACCCTCTTGCAACTAGTCTAGCTTTAAATACTGATGGTTCACCCTTCTCATTTCTTTTCATTTTAAACACCCACTTTGTGTCTATTATAGTTTTCCTTATTGGTTTGCTTACGATCATCCATGTTTGGTTCACTTCTAAAGCTTTAAATTCTTCCTTTATTGCTTCTTTCCAGTTCTTACTATTCGGTCCGGTCACAGCTTCCTGATACGACAAATTATCATCTAAGATTGAACTACAAATGAGAGCTGTTTCACAGTCTTCTTCTTCATATGATGAATCCATATCATACACCTCTAGTTTTCTAGGTTGTCGCAAGCAATTTCTATTTCTTAGGTTATAACGATTTGTGGCTTCATTTTGATCTTCTTCCTCGTCTTCAGTTTCTACTATTTGTTCATTGACGTTCTGCTGATTTGCTCCAGTTGCTTCATTATTGATATCAATATTTTCAACTTCATTTTCTGTTTCTTCAACTTCATTTTCTATTTCTTCAACTTCATTTAGAAATTCGTTTATTGTTGGTTCTGATTCTTCAATGTATTCTGTTCGATCTTCTTGAATGTTCGTAAACGCTTCAGATTCTTCTTTCGATTCTGGTTTAAATATCACATTTCTCGATATTATAACTCTTCCTTCATTTCTCATATATATTCTGAACCCTTTGGACTCTTCTGCGTATCCAACAAAAACTCCCTTTTTACCACAAGGATCCAATTTTTTTCTCAAATTTTTGGGTTGATGAACAAACGCTTCTGATCCAAATATCTGAAAGAAACGTATATCTGGTGTTTCTTCAAACCACAATTCGTATGGTGTCTTATTCTTTACTGAACTAGATCCACTTCTGTTTATGACAAAATTCACTGTATTGATTGCTTCTGCCCATAGCTTCTTTTCGAGATTCTTTGAATGTAGTATAGTTCTTGCTGCTTCTACAATTGTTCTGTTCTCGCGTTCTATTCTTCCGTTTTGTTGTGGAGTGTATGGACAACTCTTTTGATGTATAATACCTTTACTCGCTAAATAACTCTCAACCTCTTTATTAACTTCTTCTAATCCATTGTCTGTTCTCAATATTTTCACTCTGTTTCCAGTTTGAGTCTCAGCTAACACTAGAAACTCTACTATCTTTTGTTTAGCTTCAGATTTTCTCTTCAAAAAATATATTGTTCTATAGTGGCTATAGTCATCTTTCAACATTAGAAAATAATAAGCTCCACCTAGTGACTGTTCTTCCATTGGACCACATACATCGGCGTGTATTATCTTTCCTGGTTGATCAGCTCTACTGTTACTTAACTTGAATGGTAAGACATGTAGTTTTCCTAACATACAATCCTCACAGAAAAAATCTCTATCATCAATAAATGAAATCTTAAGCTGGTTCAAAATTGATCTTACTTGAGCAACATTCTGATGTGACAATCTTTCGTGCCAAACTTTCAATCTCTCTTTTTTATTCTGATAGGTACTCAAATAAACTCGACTTTCGTTCTTTTCACTGTTCTCTACTTGAAATAATAACTGGTACAACTGGTTTACTCTCTTTCCTAATGCAAATACTTCTCCTCCTTTAGATATTCTGCACTCTTCTCGATTTAACTCAAAAGAATATCCCTTATCTGTTACAGAGGTCACCGAAAATAAATTGCATTTCAATTCTGGTACATGCAATACTTGCTTCATTTCACTCTCTCTCCAGTTGTTGCCATCGAATATCAGTAGGTTAATATCACCTTTTCCAACTCCTTTAATTATTGAGCCATTTCCCATCTTTATATCTATAGCTTCGTTTAATATTTCATAATTCTCCATCCATTCTTTATGGCTACTCATGTGTTGTGTGGCTCCTGAGTCAGCATACCAATTTTCTGAAAACACTTCTTCACTATTAATTAGAGCTATTGTTGTTAATGCAACTCTTGTTCTTCCTTCTACTTCTGATTTGTCTTTTTCTTTCTTTAATGTACAGTCTCGAGCTTTATGTCCTTTACGATGACACACAAAACATTTATTTGAATCATAATCATTTCTGAACTTGCAATTGTTCCCTATATGCCCTTCTTTCTTGCAGATATTGCAATGGACTCCCTGCTTCTTATTGTCTTTCTTGCCCTTAATACTCATGAACCTATTCTTACTTTTTTGAATATTCTCAGCTACTAATGCTGACGCTTCACCTTGACTTTCTTTTTTTAATCGTTCTTCCTCAATTAACAATCTACTGACTAGTTCATTTACTGTTTGTCTATTCTCTGGAGTTGACTCCCATGCAGTGATAAAATGTTTAAACTCATTCGGCAATCCAACTAAAAGGCTTGTTATAAACATTCGATCAGTGATTCTCTCTCCGAACTGGGATAATTTATCTCTTATTTCTTCTAAACTTGCAACATATTTCGCTATACCCTGATTTTCGTATTTGTGAGTAAAAAATTTTGTTTGCAGTAGATTTACAGAAAGATGAGATTTCTGCTCGTATATCGACTCTAACTTTTCCCATATGTCACGAGCGGTTCTACAAGTCAAAATGTGGGTTAGGGGGCTCTCTTCTAATCTACTCACGATTAAATCCTTGGCTTGCAGGTCTTTCGTTTTGAAGCTTTGCATTTCTTTCGTGTATACCTCTTCTGTTTTACGACTCCCGTCTTCATTAAATTCAATCGGTTCAGGATAGTCGCCGTTTATTAACGTAATGAGTTCTCTTGCTTCCAGAGTAATTGTTATTGTAAACTTCCACACGTTCCAGTTCTCTTTTCCTGTCAACTTTATAATTCTACTCTGACCGTCAGCCATTTTCTTCAAGAACGCTATCGAGTCGTTGATCGTTTCAAGGTCGTTACTTAATTTACGTTCTCTTACTAGTTTCGCTCTTTGCTTTTGCTGCTTATCTTTCTTTGCCAACTGGGCACATAACCTGATGACTTTAAGCAGGTTAAGCAGCGGGAAAAGAATTCACTCTCAAATAAACTAGTAGTATAATCAAGAAACAATACAACGAAACATAAGAAAAGTGACAGATGACAACATTCTGCAATGACACTCTAAAAAACCGTTTTTATTGCCAACCTAACACCAAAAATGAAGAAAAATAAAGATCGTTACTGCGAGTTATTTGAGGATGCTTACTTTGATAAACTAGTCTACTGTAGAAGAATCGCTTTATCTATAGACACTCTTCTGATTGAAGCTAATGACAGAGCTAAGAAAGTGAACAAGATGGCGTACGTGCATGTCGTGGGTTTGGGTCTAGGAGTTTGGAGGGTTTACTGTTACCAAGATAAAATTTTCATGGAGACATTCGCACAACGACTGGAGTGAGTTATTTTTTATTAATTTTCAATTAATGTTTCTTGTAGACTTCTTTCAGACGTACTGACGAACATCAGCGATGTTTGCTTTGCCTATATCGCACACAAAGAGGCCGGTGAGTATAAACATGGCGACAAATTGGGCAACATAAAGTTACATATGGAGGATAAAATTGGCCCTCATATGAAGTTAGTTGGAGAAGATGAAGGAAAGTTGTTGGTTGTGTCTTATGCTTGGGACTGCAATGCCTTACCAGGCAACGAATTTTGGTTTGGGAGTTTGCACACGAGTAGCGATCCGGCTGCTGCATGTTCCACCCAAGTTGCAGAACTCCACAACTGGCACATTAACCAGAAGGCGAGTGCGAGGAATTTAAAGGTTGCCACTTTGGAAGGGTTGGTAACGTTCCAAGAGTATCAGGAGATGCACAAAAATGGTTGAGATTACGATAATTAAGTGTCAGAGTTTATTTTTGTATTATATTACCAAGTGCTCTCATGTTGATGGGAGTCAGCTCCTTGTTATTAATTATGAAATTAGTTGGTATATTTTTTTACGAAATATTTAGTATTTTATAAATAAAAAACGACTGAAATTCTGAGAACGCATCTATTTGTGTCTGCTTTTTTGGGTGTAGCCATAAATATTGGTACAGGTTATAAAATAAGCAAGTTTGTGGGTGTGTAAATTGGGTTGCCTATCCACATTAGATCGATTTAATACTCATCAAGAATGTGGCCAGTTGCAAATCCCCGTATTCTTGAACTTTACTTATATGGGATAAGTCTAGACATACAGTTTGCTTTCATAAGGGCTCTTTGACCAAAATTCGCCTGAATCACCCAGTATAAAAAAAATCGGTTTTCGATTACCTAGCACCCACGAAACTGCAAGTGTACTATTTGGTTAAAAATCGCATTTGAGATTAAAAATGGCAGATGTCATAAATCGAAACAAATCTTTGAAAAAATCCTCCCAAAATCGTAAAACCATCACTGCATATTTAGAAAAGAATGGGACGAAAAAATCTGCTGAGCTTGACGAAATACAAACCCTTCAAAAAACAATTTCAGACCTGGAGGCTCGTCTTGCTAGTTTAGTTTTCGAAAAAAAAAAATCTAATATAGAGTATGTGACCCATTTTGGCGTACCTAATCAAAATGAAATGTCTTTTTAGATTGGAACATGAAAAACGCAAAGTTACTCAGTTGAAAGTACAACTCCAACTGGTCAAAGCCAATCACGTAATCCAGTACCTCCCGAAAAAATCTGCAGATGTGAGAAAACTTGTGGAAGTTCGAGATAAAGGTGTTCAGACATGGGGAGGCGTTTTATGTCGCGCTTGTTTAGATACTGAGCAGCTGAGAAATAAATTAGAGCGAACGCAAGATTTATATAATGACTGTATTGTTATTAAGCGGTATGAACATATTTTTACACCCAGGTACTATCCTTACACAGTTTTAGTTTTTTTTAATGAGCAGGAGTTCATTTGATTCACTAAATACCACTGTCAAAACACTGAAGCAACAGGTTGACAAGGAAATTGGAACTGACGAAGAAATCGTAGAAAATCTTTTTGTTAAGCCACAAATACTGCAAAGTTAGGTAAGTGAAATTTTGTTTAGTTGTTTTAGAACTTTTTTTTAATTGTATTTACCAAAAACCTCGCAGTGTTGGTAGTGAAGATACTGGTTATGTTTGGTTGAAGTTTTTAAGAAAACCGAAATTGTAGTCTTGGATATTAACAAAAATTGTTGCAGTGTAACTAAAATAAAAATATATAAGTTTTCAAAATTGTTATCGCTCTATCTCTAACATCATCGTCAAATTATAGTTTTTGTTTAATTTGCTTTTTTAGTCGCTTACTCATTACCTGTGTCATAAAGAAAAAAATAAAGTTTGTTGACGATGTAATATAGCAATAAAAGAAAATTATTGTCGTAAACAAAAGTGTTTGAATCGGTAATTTTATTAATGTTATGATCGATACAAAAACAGTTTTTTATGTACAACGCATTTAAACAAAAAACAACGTCAAAAGATATCTTATGATAAAAATGAGATAAGCAAGTTTTATCAAGGTTCGGACACTCATCAGAACGTAACAACTGCAAATGGATAAATCTGTAGGTATTTTTTTGACCGTTTTAATTGTTTGCATTTCCACCTTGGGTAAGACATTTTTATAGAGAAAAGAGCTTAGAACACCTACACTCAGTTCTAGCTGAACCCCTCGATGATCGAATTTTCGGTGGACAATTAGCCACCCTTGGACAATTTCCTTCCATAGTTTCCATCAAAACAGGTCCTGGAATCATTGGCGACGTCTGTGGTGCTTCCATTATCACCAAACAATGGGTTGCGACAGCAGCTCACTGTGTCAGGTAAGTACCCATCGCAATCGTTCACACCTAAAACCTTCCTCACTTTGGTGTTAACAGCGACTCGGCACCAGATGACATTTTTCTGCTAGCAGACACCCTCCTGTTAGATTCTGGTGGTACTAACTACTCCGTGTCCTCCATTGTTGTTCATCCAGAGTACTACAGATATACATACACCAACGATATTGCGTTGATCAAACTCCAAACCGAGTTTACTTTGAGTGCTACTACGCAGACCATAGAAATTGATACTTCTTCTGGTAACGAGTCCTGTACTATTGTAGGATGGGGAAAAATCAGAGCAACGTATCCAGACGCGTTGTATTATGCTAACTTGACAGCACTGACAGATGACGATTGTACTAGAATGGCACAAGGGGGAGCTTTTGTGATTGAGAGAGGTCCAGGACAACTCTGTGCTTTTGCGGCTCAAGGAATTGGACCGTGTTATGGAGATTCTGGTGGACCTTTGATCTGTGTTGGTAAACTGATAGGGATGGCATCGTACGCTATATCGCCTTGTGCGAAAGGGTACCCAGATGTGTATACTAGAATTGCGTACTATGTGGATTGGATAAATGACGTAATAGCAAGTACCTGAATACAAAGATGTGTGTACAATAAAAAAATTATTTGGAGTAGGCTTGTATGTAGGTGTTTTTTAAATGCAGCGACAAAAAATAAAATTTTTGTTTACTTGATTAAAAAATAATAGAGATGTACCGACTAGTGTCGGCCGACTAGTCGGCTTTGTCAAAACCGGTTAAAATTGGTTTAATCGACCGAAGATTGGTGTCAAAGTGTAGATAATCTTCCGCTAGTTACGATTCTGAAATCGCTATCACGATATCTGGTCCAATAAACACGCAAAGCGAATTCAAAATTTCAAAAAATTTTTCAAAAAAGTGGTTAAAATTGGTTAAGTAATGTATAAACTGCCCTAAATTGTGTTTTTCTTTATTTTTGTACTGAGTTACTACAAAAAATTAAATGTTAAAATTATCCAACCAAATTTAACACATTTTTGAGAAAACAAAGAAACTTTAGTTATTTCTTTTATTAAAATAAAAAAAGTTTTTAAGGTAGTCAGAGAAATTGAAAAAAAAAACACACTGTCCGTTGCATTTATAAACCGGTTTTGACAAAGCCGACTAGTCGGCCGACACTAGTCGGTACATCTCTAAAAAATAAGTACGTATAAATGAAGTAGAAAACTGATGGCGAATCAGATCGAACTAAATGTTGGGATAATTATGTCAAATTAGTTACAGTTTAAGAACTACCATCGAATTAGTTATAAAATAACATGAATGATTCATAGCTTCCGCCCTAGCAGTTTTATAAATAATAAATTAAAATTGGTCTACAATTATTTCGACAGAACTTCCCTCCCCCCTGGAGAACAGTCCAACAAGTCGTGCTTCTTTGAAAAATTTGATTTTGCGAAATTTTATTTTTCTGTAATAACCTCTATGGAGTAAAAACAACATAGAAAGTACTAGTCACAGTCTAAACGAATAAAAAAAAGTTTGACGTTCTTAAAAAAAGGCAGTTAAAGCTTAAAAAAAAAATAGATAGTTGGAGCCCCCGAAAAGGTTTCACATTCTTAAGAAAAAAACAGCTGGGGCCTTGAGAAGGTTTTATATTCTTAAAAAAAAATAAGTAGTTGGAGTCCCCAAGAAGTTTTCACATTCTTAAAAAAAAAAACAATTGGAGCCTCAAGAAGGTTCCAGATTCTTAAAAAAGATAGTTGGGTCCCCTGAGGGGGTTTCACATTCCTTAAAAAAAGACCGGGGGCACCGAGAAAGTTTCATATTCTTAAACAAATTGGTCGAGCGCTGTTTCGGCAGAAATTCCCTCACACCTCAAGTACAGTAAAACATATCCAGCATTGTTGAGTTGAGTTTTTACTTTACAGAATTTTGTGATCACGTGATCAACATTTTTACAAGCACACCTTGGATTGGTGCACTGTAATACTAAAATTAACAGTATTGGATTCCTAAAATTTTCTGGGAAAATGAAATGAACTGTTTCTGATTTAATCAATAAAATAAACTGACACATTCATTAATTTTTTTGAGCCGCCTCTATAGCAAATCTAAAAATATGAATGCAATGATAAATCACAAGTAAAAACTTACGTTGCTATGGAAATTTGCAATTTAACACCACAAGATTAATAGGGGCAAAATCCGTTTCATATTAACAAGTACTTGGACCAACCACCAACCCCCTATTTTCTCAGAGGATATGTCATTTGCCGGAACAAGACTTATGTAGTACTTGCCAAGATAAGTCATATTTTGGCAAATGACATATCCTCTGAGACGATAGGGGCGGGTGGGCGGGACTAGTACTTGCTCAGATAAGACTGATTTTGGCAAATGCCATGCCGTCTGAAAAATAGAGAGGGGGGGTACAGAAAGTTATATTGCAATTATTCTATTCAGCTTTAAATTTTTTCTAAACATTCTGTTGTTTTTGTAGGTTGTGCAATTTCATGACAACAATCAAACTAATTAAACTTACACCGAGATGTAGGTAATTTGCAATTTTTCTGAGAATAACAAAGGTGAATGGGCTTCTGTTGTTACTACTTTTCATTAAATTAATTGAATCATCCAACCAATTAGGAAAAACGCCTCTAATGTCAAGCATTCCTTGTTTGTTTTACTTACACAAGTTTAATTATTACTACCCAGGCAACATGATGTCGTCTTTTTTACGTGAATAAATGGTCATCATTTACGTCATAGTGACCAAAGATTTCACGTGATATTGATGTACCAATGACGGTCAAATGTCTCGTCCAGATGACGTCATTTTCTAACGAAATTTGATAAACCACTCCTAAGAACATACAGGTAATTACGAGTATAATTAGTATAAACAAAAAAAAAGGATATTGTACAATATACATTTGCCGCCAAAAAAATTCAGACGTCAATGTCATTCAGTCGTCAGATAGTGTAAAGCAACCTTTAGATGTTTAGGTATTTTGAAAGTTTGACATTCCAGCTGTCCGTCTGGTCCGAAATAATGACAATAAAGCATAGACTACATTAAAATTTTTGACCTGACAGAAAAGTGATGTTTGAAATTTTTTGTCGGAAACTGGATAATCAAAAATAAACGTTGCAATAAAATATGCTATTTAAAGAAAAATCAGTTTTAAAAACACAAAGAAATCTACAGTTTCAGACAAAAAGTTTCAAACATCACTTTTCTGTCATGTTAAAAATTTTAATGTAGTCTATGCTTTATTATCATTATTTCGGACAGCTGAAATGTCAAACTTTCAAAATTCCATCTTACGCTACAGCTACATTCATGTAAGTGCAAATGTAAAAGTTAAAAATGACCGTCAAATATTTAGGTTAGAAACATCTAAAGGTTGCTTTACATTATCTGACGACTGAATGACATTGACGTCTGAAATTTTTTGGCGGCAACTGTATTTAGTTACAAAGAATATTAAAAAAAAAAAAACTATAATAAACTATAGATCAGTCTTAAAAACACAAACAAATCTATTTACAAAAAATATTAAAAAAAAAACTAGAATAAAGGGAAAAGACAATTGAATCCATTGTTGAAGTTACTTGATTGAAAATGCACTGTAAAACCACAGTATATGTAAAACTATCTAATTCACGACGACTTGACTGTCCCCAACACACGAAAAAGTACCGTTAAGAATTAATTCTGTTTTAACAATCATATCAATAACCTAAGTTTTTTAAGTTTGCCTCAATTTATTGCACTGAAAAGAAAAACCCGTTGGAGTGCATGGATTAATAGAAATGCAATCATTTTTTCATCTATAGGCAATAGCAAGCATTTGACTATTATTAAATTTAAGGGATCACAGCTTAAAGCAGAAGACAAATTCTGTATTTTAAAAATGCTAAATTTACTTGAATCTAACGAATAATCGTAAAATGGTTGCATTGACAAAAACGTACAGTCTATCAGGAAAATCTCGTTGTCAATACTTTTTACAATGAAGCGAAATGTGTATGTGTAAATAGTAAGTTACTAAAAAGTATCGTAGTATTACAGGCATCTACCGGTATATAATATCTAATATTAATGTTATATATGTATATATGAATTCATTGTATTTTTTTAACTTACAAAGAAATCTGCTTGTTCTAATATGCAAACATAATCTTGTAATTCGTCAAAATTTGTTTAGGTGTGGTTTTGGCGGCATAATTTCTGTTTTTGTTTTCTTTTTCAGTTGTCAAATTTGATGACGTTTCCATGTTGGAGATTTTTTCACTCGTTTCCTTTAGCATTTCTTTCGTTTCCCACATGTGTGTTGTATTTGTTTCAAATTTAAAACAAAATTATGTTCATTAGCATTAGTTCATAAAAAATTGCAGTAACATACCTTTGCAATATTTTATAGCGCCTCATTTTCAAAAACAATCACCGTAAGTTCTTCATAATCAGTGGGAGTATCTTCAGTGATTAATGGTGGTCTTTCCAGCTTATCTGAAAAAAACTGCTTTTGTTATCTACGTACAGTTATCAAAAATAACAGAAACACGTAAAAATTAAAATGATTACTTTATTAGATATTAATTTACCCACTATAAATAAGTACAACCCACACTGAATGGCATAAATTTGCACAAAACTGCGTTAAAAATGAAGTGAGTAACGGATACACGAGAAAGTTTCGGTGGTTGAGAACCAACTGGAAATATTGGAATGCTTCTCTGTGAAGTGTAGTAAACATAAATACCGAAAAAAGGGAAATTCCGAATGCACACCCCAAACATCTGATGTATTGTATAGTAAATACGGATAAGAATAAATTTAATAAAACTGAATATTAATCACTCTCGAATTTTTTTGGTAACCGTCATCACTTTATAAACGTCTTTATAAAATCAAAATTCGACGAAGGAATTCTTCAAAACCTTGTCCCGTTTTAGGGACAATGGACAAAGAATTTTTATGACTTTGTTTGTGTCGTTGGGTCTTTTCGCTCAACCCCAGATGTTCTATTTATAATTTGCCAATCAGGTACTTACAAAATAATACTTCCAGAGTAAACAAGTTTTCAGAAATAATTATTTTATTAGAAATTATTAGAATGAAAAAACTTGTCTTTGGTGTATTTCTAATTAAGCCGTTGTATTTTTTGCTCTAAATATAATCAAGCATTATGAACGCCACTTTTTAAAGAATACGACGACCCACATCTAATTGATCATATAAACTATAAAAAATGACGAAGAAAGGACGGCTTTTTAACGTCATTAATTGACGTCAGAAGTAAGTCATGAATATATCTCGTCATTTTCACTTGATTTTTTGGGCGAATGACGTCGCCGACGAGTTATGACCAAAAATTGACGTGAATTAGACGACAGTCTGCTGCTTGGGCCCTTACTGCGTTTGCTTGTTATTTAAATTCTTTCACTAAGTTTATGGCATCTACCAACAACATGTTGGGTTTTTCTAACTTTACTATTACCTCACATACGAATTGATAATTGCTTCTTACAGTGGCGGCTCGTGACTATCTGATGTGGTGAGGCGATGATAGAAATTTGACAATAATAACATTAATAATAATATTAATAATCAAATTAATTAAATTAATGTGACTAATGCATATCACTTGGTCTTACTAATTAGTAATGATAGAAGTCTTTTTTTCCGGGTCAGTGGTAGGTCCTAATAATAATAATAATTATAATAACACCCATAACACATTTAATCAGCAATGTTTTTACAAGTCAAAATTTTGTTATAACTAGGACTTTCTTGGAGGGATTCGGGAATAGTTGTTGTGTTCCTTTGTAAAGGTTTTAGGCCCATGAAATTTTTAATGTGTACTTCGGAACTTTCATGTAACTTTGCACTTCGGATGAAATTATTTAAATCGTTATATCCCGGGACGTCAAATATTACGGCAGAGCCATTTATATGTTTCGTACCAAGTTGATTTAAAAGACTTGGAGTACTGACGATTCTGTCGCTTATCAATGGAAGTTAAGGTACATGAATTAACGGTTTTGACTGCTCGATATTTAGCAAAATTTGCCGACGTTCTAGCTCGGTTCGCCGTGAAAACGACGTTTCAAGAAGGAACATGACGATATTGGTACTCGGGATTCATTTTTTACTCCTGTAACTATGAAAGAGACAAAAGCACGAAACATCAACACGCGGGCTTTTACTCACGTTCATGCTAATTACCCACGCACCCCGCAACCCTTCCGTTCTGTAAAATAAATGGGAAAATGGTTTAATAAGGACTCCGAAAATGGCCGAGAAGCACCGAAGATATCGCCTCAGTTCAGAGCGAACGTATGTATAGGAGTATAGGACCTGAGCCATGGAAATCCGTGTCTGTGATTGGGCTTCGCTGGTTCAAGTGAACCGACGTTCTGGCCGCTTCAGTTAAAGAACTAGGAGCATAAATCGTACGGTATTCAACCGAAATTGTCAGCAGAAAGGTTAAAAAATAAAAAATTATCTACAGATTTCCCATTTCAACATATTTTTGTAACTGAAAATGCATTGAAAGCTCATTTTTAATTACAAATTAACTCAATCTGTTCTTAAGATATATGCTGAGGCGCCGCCTCACTTGCCTCATCTGACGAGCCGCCACTGGCTTCTTAGAAAAGCTAGATCTTGTCGCAAATCTTTGTTTTCCAAAATATTTATGCAATCTTTAATCGATTGAGAAGGATCTTCGCTAAACTCCGTAACTACTTCCTCAAATTCTTTGATATATTTGTCATAATAAAATGTGGCCTGTAACCATGTTCCCCACCTCGTTATAATCGGCTCTGGGGGCAATGGTATGTTTGGAAATTTTTCCTTAAAATGTTGCACTCTTAGTGGGGCTTTAACAAAAATCTTTTTACCATTTGCCACTAATTTATTAACAGTATTATTACTCAATAAAAATAATCATCCTGCATTTTCTACGCCTATCTACTCTTTATTTAAAAAAATATATATAATTTTTTTTAAACAAATAGTTTTTTTTAGAACCTACATATGTAAATATGAAAGAATGTCACAAAAACCGCAAAAATTGACTTATTGAAACTGTGCCATTGTGTAACACTAGGAAAAAACTGACTATTAAACCAATCAAAAAATGCATTTAACTGTACTAACCTTGTTGAAACTAATTAATTGAACGAAGATCTATCTGTGAGGACAACTGCTATTAATAATTTTATTGGAAAATGCAGTAGTTACATCATGAATTGCATTGTTGGCGTATTTCCTGTTCTGATCAATATTCAATGATCGAAATGACATTGATGGGGAGACATTAAAAACGACTTTTATTAATAAACCTTTTTTTTTAAATGAAAGAAAAAAACAAAAACAAAAACATTTAATGACAATAATAGTAGATAAAATTTTGCATGCCCTATTAGTTACTGTTCTTAGTGAATCATGATTAATGTTACAATTGTTAGCGATACGATTGAAATTTGGCCACCCAAGTAAGCTTGGTGGTGTCAGAAGTATATTAAATTAAATAAAAAGAGCAGTAAAACCTTGGATCATTTGTGAGTGAGTTACGGTAGTAGTGTAGAACAATCAGTTAGGTAAGTGTGATATTAAAAAAATTAGCCAATATAATTACTCAAGCGTCGAAGGAGATTAAACGTTAAAAATTTGTAGTTTATCAGAGTTATAACATTTTATTAAAGAAATTACAAACACGGTACGACATTTTATTCTTAGTGTGGTCTAAGAACCTAAGCGCTTAAGTCAGTGCCACAAAGCATCGGTGAACTTTATCCAGAAAGATCATGAGTACCTCAGTATATCTGTACCTAAATGATTAGCGCTGGCACCACCGGAGCAGCTCAGAGCTCTCACCTCAGACCCTTTTCATTCTTGATCGTTAGTGATATTAACCATTTAAATTAGTGACAGTTTTACATGAGGGTTGAGGGGAATGATGGACACCTAAGAAAAAAAAAAGCAAATTTTGTGTACATTTTTCACACGTAGCCAAAACCTTACTCGAAATTTTATTTGACAAGTTTGAATCATAGAAATGAAAAAATATTTCCAAAGCCTACCGTAATCTAAATACTTTTTGATCACCCGTTATGTCAGTGAAGTCAAGTAGGTATTTACATTTTACATTTACGCATTAATTTGATACAAGGAAATAATAAGTTAAAATTGATTAAGTAGTGTTAAATACAAATATTGTTAAAAAAGTAATTTTTAATACCAAAATGCACAGTGAACGATTTATAAATAAAACGTCACAGTATAGGGGAAATTTACGTCCGTCCTCTCTAGCAGTTGACCATGATTTTCAGATTTGTAGTTCCTAACTGCGTTAGTTTTAAACGACAAACCATCGTGAATTACAACAAATGAAATGTCGACGAAAGCTCTGCAGGAAGTTTTAGACGTTTTAAACGATTCGGCGGGAATTTCAGGTAAGCTTTTTTAAGCAAGATTTTCGCACACCCACATAATATTATTTTTTTTAGACGTTCGTATGGACCGTTTTTTAATGAAATCACCCCTGCAATTTATCACAGTCATACTTTTATACTTGGCAGTCGTTTACAAAATAGGCCCTAAGTTCATGAAAAATCGAAAACCGTACTCTTTGCGGAATGTTATGATAGTTTACAACTGCATCCAGATTATTGCTAATGGTGCGATTTTTTTAGCAGTAAGACCTTGCGTTTTTTTTTTTTTTTTGGTGAAAGCGTTAACAATTTTTCAGGGTGTTCCACATTTCCTCTCTTTGAGTATTTTTTGCACACCTCCAGAACGGTTAGACGGGGGTTTTAATTCGTACCAAATTCGCCTGCACTATAGCTATATCTTGCTGAAATTTTTCGATTTAATCGAAACTGTGAGTTTGTTGGTGAGTTTTGTTCAGATACGCAGGTTTTGTTTTCAGGTGTTTTACGTTCTGCGTAAAAAAGACAAGCAGATTTCTTTCCTGCATGTTTATCATCACGTTGGGATTTTGGTAGCTGCTTGGATTTCCGGTAAATATTTTCCGGGAGGACAGGCGCTCTATGTGGGGTTCTATAACACGCTGATTCATTGTATTATGTATTGCTACTATTTAATCACGTGCTTGAGGCCGAATAGTGTGGCTATGTGGTGGAAGAAGTATGTCACAGCTCTACAAATTGTGAGTAATTTATTGTCATAATTTCTTTTTTTTGTTATTCATTGTTGTACACAGTGAAAATAGTGGCACCAGTTTTTGACTGATTTACAAGACAATTTGATAACGTGACTTCAAAATTTTGCATGGTAAATGCTATTTAAATTTCATAAAATAACGATCTCCTACACTTGTTGTTTATGAATCCGTCTTAATGTTTTATATTACATGTCTATGTTTAAAAAAAAATCAAAATTATATAACATTCTACAATTTAACTGTGAAACTGCAGTACTGAATACTTCAATTTAAAGTGTGCAAAATATAATTGCGTTATATTTTTTCACAAAATCAAATTTTATCATTTTTCGAGAAAGCTCATCCCTCCTAAAATTTATGTCACCTCAAAATATTGCTGAATAAATTCTACCTTCAATGTGCAAAATATATGTGACGAGTTTTCACTTATGGTGATTGTTTTACTTGCTCATAATTCTCCAGCTACACTATCAGCCACAGAACTCCACTACTGATTTTTTTTTACAAAAATATTATTATAAAATTGTCGATAGTGTGACCTTTTATTAGATCATTTGAAACTGCAGCCATTACTGCAACTGATGTCTCTATGAGCACTCGAAACTGATAATATTGTTATTATGAAACGTTTGTTTTCAGGTTCAACACTGCATTATTTTCCTCAGTGTGTCGCCCGTGGTGTTCAATGTGAACTGTTCCTATCCCAAAGGATGGATGGGTGCCTTTTCCCTAAACGTTTTGCTGATAATCTTCCTTTTCGCCCGGTTTTATAGGGACGCATATTTACGGAAAAATAAGTTAAACTAATCGTTTATTAATAGATCTGGAAATATAAGTTAAATAACCTTCGAGTCAAACTTGTGCAATTTTTCTTTCAGTGCTATAGCTTACCGGGAAAAGTTGACAATTTGCGAAAAAATTTTTTAAACTGGGCGTTATAATATAAATTATTTCAAACAGAGAAAACCCGTTGTCAAGATTAATAGGAAACAAGGATTAATGCTGTAGGTCTGTAACAAACAATGCAGCGGCCTTGATAGATCATATGGGATTAATGAGGAAATTACACACCTCCCTGAACTGAACAGGAGTGGTAAATCAGATTCTCTTTATGAGAAATTAGTCAGAACACACCTGTGGCTTTTTTCATTATTTAAAATAACACCTCATTCACATTATAATATATTGTCAACATATTCTAGGACATCCATCATTCTGCCAAAGAAAATTTTCGATATGTACTGTGTTGTACCCTGAGGCAAACAAACAAACAAACCAATACCGGAAAAAATATTCTCGATCTCACTTACTATTGAATAAAAATGACTTTGGTAAAGTTTCGGTGTTTTTGTGACGCAAGCGAAAAATCTGCGCTAATTTTTGTGATATCTTTGAAAGAAGGTATTTTCGTAGGAGGATTATTTATCGCTAATAAATTAATTATTTCAAACTATCCTGTATAGTTGGAGATCTGTACGCCCGAATAAGTTGTTAATTGCTCATGTGATGTAATTATTTGCACATTGTTTGCTACATTTTTTGTAAATAGAATGGAAAATACCACATTTGAATATAATTGATTTCCTGTTTGTATGAAATTAGTTTTAAACCTTAATTGTGCATTTAAAGTCTACCTACATCCATTCCCATGGAAGACACTCAACTGGTCGTAGTTCAATGGTTTCTTAAGTAAAGTAGTCCAAAAGCTATAAGGTTATATGACCATCATAAAATTATCCCATTGTGTCGAAGTTAAGTTCTTTACAATAGAAAAGGTTTTAAGGTCGTATATAACGTGTCCACTGCAGCTCGACTGCTGTTGGTTCGTTCAGGGTGGCTTTCACTAAATATCTAACTACCTACTACTACTAAATACTACTGTTAAATGTGAGCAAGAAATGTTTAGAAGATGTTTTATTGCCAACTGGTAAGCTGAACCACACAAAGGGGGTATTTATTTGAGGTCAAATACTTTTATGATGGTCATATAACCTTATAGCTTTTGGGCTACTATAAATCTTTGTCTATGGTGGCCGATTTCGATCCTCCAATTGAACTATAAATGGAATTTAATTTTTCCCCTCCTGCCATGTAAACAAAACATTCACACACGTTTGACATGCCGCGTAACAGTGACTTTACGCACTAAATATCAATTTACCGTCGCTTTACCGCCTTTGGGTGCCAAAGTAACTCAATATGCATTAGCCTGTAGAAGCTCTAATAAAAAAAGTTCTGTATAAATAATAAAAGAAAACATACTAGAACACTACTTTACATCATATTTTTTTCAATCAAAACTTTTGAATTAGAAAAAATGAATTATTTAAAAAAAATTCACATGGCGCCATCTCGTGGCTGTCGGTATTATAGATTCCTTCAGTAAACGTCAAGTCCCGAAACTGTCACTTCATTTCTTGCCATTTCGAAAAATATTTTTAAAATGAAATATTTTTTAAAATAAACTCAATGTGAGATACAGAAGAAAATAAGAGGAATAGCAGCAGCAGAAAAAGGGAAAGGAGTCGAGGCAAAAGTAGGGTACAAAAAGATGATATGGGCAGGAGAAGTCTGGCATTGGGACACTAAATTAGACAAATTAGTGGAAGCACCGTCGCACCCCAAAGAAAATCCAAAAAACTAACAGAGGAAGAAACCACACACCGGAAAACAATGACGACGTATGCAAAGCTCATGGATGACCCGATAGGAATTACGAAGAGAAAGAAAAACCCGAAAATTAGAATAGGAACATGGAATGTTCGAGGAACATATAGCGAAGGAAAACTCAAACAAATAGTTCAAGAATTACAAAGGTATAATATAGATGTAGCAGCTATACAAGAGACGAAACAAAAAGGCAAATTCATCACTGAAATAGACAACTACATATTATTTAATAGCCGATTTGACAACAGAGAACTAGGAACAGGATTCATGGTGAAGAAGAGCCTGAAAGGAGCAGTAATTACCTTCAAACCAATCTCAGAAAGAATGAGCTATATAAAATTGAAAAGTAAGTACAGGAAAATAAGCCTAGTGAATATACATGCACCGACTGAAGAGAAAGATCTAGAAGTAAAAACAGAATATTACGAACAACTAGAAAGAGAATATGTGAAAATACCAAAGCATGACATTAAAATGGTTAGACGAGACGCCAACGCAATGATAGGTAAAGAGAATTGCTACAGGCCAACAATCGGGAAAGAAAGCAAACACCAAAAAACGAATCAAAATGGAGAAAAACTGATAGAGTTTGCAGAAGAAAATAAAATGGTAGTCAAAAGCACCTTCTTTGCGCAGAAATAGATCTACAAAAGCACATGGATGTCACCTGACGGAAAAACGGTCAACCAAATAGACCAATACTGGTAGAAAGGAGAGATGCCTAACTAATAACCAGATTAAGAAGCTACAGAGGAACAGAACCGAATTCAGACCATTTTCTAGTAAGAGCAGACCTCAAACAAGAAATTCCGAAGAAAAAACAAGGAAAGAAGACGCAACGTGATATAAATGTAAACAAACTTAAGAAAGCTGAAGTACAGCAGGAATACGAACAAAAGATGAATGAGAGAATAAGATCAACAGAGCAAGACATACCTGTAGAAGAGAGGTGGGAAGAACTACAAGAGAACATATGGAAGACCTCGGAAGAAGTACTAGGGTTCGTCAAAAAAGACAACAAAAATAGAAACGAATGGTTTGACGAGGAATGTAGAAAAGCAATAGAAGCGGGGAGGCCAGCCAGACAGAAATATCTAAAATAAAAAAATGAGAAGAACCAAAAAGATTACCAAGAAAAAAGGAAAGAGTACAAGAAGATATGCAGAAATAAGAAACGAGCAAAGATGGAAGAACAAATACGACAAATAGAAGAAAACTTCAACAAAAATGAAATAAGGAACTTCTACCAGGACGTGAAAAAAGAGAAAAGAGGCCATCAACCACGAGTAATATATTGTAAAGACAAGGACGACAACCTGATAGGAGACGAACAAGCAAGAATAAAACGATGGGCAGAATACTTTGAAGAGCTGCTAAACGAACACGATACACAGCAAGATACGAACGAAAGAGTGAACGACTCGGATGACCCAGATGAAACAATAGAAATTGACGAAGGAGAGATCAGAGAAACACTAAGGCAGATGAAAAACAACAAAAGTCCTGGTAGAAACGGAATAAAGGGCGAGATGCTAAAGTACGGAGGAGAAGCAGTAGAATCAGAGATACATCGACTAGTGCTAGAATGTTGGAAGGAAGGAAAAATGCCAGAACAATGGAGTGAAGCAGTACTTTGCCCGATATTTAAAAAAGGAGATATTACGAAATGCGAAAATTATCGCGGAATAGCGCTGCTAGACGTAACGTATAAGGTAATGGCCACTTGCATTAACCGAAGACTAAAGGAGCATATGGAAAAAATAGTAGGAGAATATCAAGCAGGGTTTAGGAAAAATAGATCTACTGTAGACCAGATATTTATATTGAAGCAACTACAAGAAGTACATTACGAGCAGGGAATCAACTTATATCTGCTGTTCATAGACTTTAAAAAAGCCTATGACACGGTTAACAGGAAAGAACTGCTAGAAGCCATGAAAGAACTGGGAGTCCCAAGAAAACTAATAAAACTGACAAAGATGACCCTACAGAGCACCAGAAACAGAGTCAGGATAAATGGTCTGTTGTCAGAACCATTCCAAGTAAGAACAGGACTCCGGCAAGGAGATCCAATATCAACTACCCTGTTCAATCTAGTACTCGAAGCAATAATAAGGAGAAGTGGCATCCACAGAACGAGCACGATATACGAAAAAAGACACCAAAATATAGCCTTTGCAGATGACGTGACATGTATAACGAGAACAGAAGCAGAAATGAAGAAAATGACAAAAAATCTAATCAGAGAAGCGAAACGAATGGGTTTAGCGATCAACCAAGAGAAAACGAAGTTTATGAAGATGGAAACAAAACAAACCCCAGCAAAACCACTGAACTAACTACAGAAGAAGGAACAACATACGAATTCGAAGAAGTAAATAGGTTCAAATATCTAGGAGTAGTAATTACAAACAAAAACGAAATGAACGAAGAGATAGAAGAACGGATCGCGAAAGCAAACAAGAGTGTAGGAAGATTAAACAGATTTCTGAGGAGTAAGAATGTAACACGACGAACAAAGAAACAAGTATATAAGACAATAGTAAGACCTACAGTCCTGTACGCTAGTGAAACATGGACGCTAACGAACGAAAAGGAACAGAAGTTGGAAGTATGGGAACGCAAGATACTACGAAAGATATATGGAGGTATAAAAGAACTAGACCAATGGAGAAGAAGAACAAACCGAGAGATCGAGTAAATATACGGAGAACCAACAATCACGAAGATAATCAGAGCGCAGAGACTAAGATGGCTAGGCCACGTCGGAAGAGCACCAGAGGAAAGGACAATCGGGAAAGTATTAGACCGCCTAAAAGGAGGAAAGAAAAAGAGAGGAAGGCCAAAACTGAAATGGATAGACGATGTTCGAAAAGATCTTCAAAACTTAGGCATTGAAGATTGGAGATCCAAAGCAGCCGACAGGAACAAATGGAAAATTATTGTAAAAAAAGCCCAGGGCCTTTAAGGCCTGCAGAGCTGAATCATATATATATACAGGGTTAGTCACGAGAGAATTACTTCTGAAAATTATTTTTACGCAACCCAAAATACGAATACCATGTACCATTTGATACTAACTGAATTTAAAATAAAATGCTTAATCCATGATTGCTTTGAGTTTGACAATCTCATTTTGACATTTGTGAAAAAGGAGGTTACACGAGTGTCCATGGTGGTACCGCAGCCAGTCGGAAATCTCCTCCGGCGCCGCTAATAAATTTGTCAGTGTGCCTCTTGATCTTTTGCAACCGATTAATCACGAGAAAATTATTTCTAAAAATTCCTTTTACGGCATTTTATTCAAAGGTTACAACACAAACTCCAACAAGTAAGTAAATAATTTAACTACTAATCTGTTGAAAATGTTGGGCATTTTGGGGGGATGCTACGGCTTTTTTGTAAATGGATGGCCGAAGAAGTCCAGAGGTTGCAGATTTGCACTTCGAAGAGGCTCTAGGTGATGCAGAGATGGCGAATTAACACATGCACATTAGCGGCGGACAACATTGGTAGAGCACTTACGGCTTCAGTATAGCCCAGATTGATTTGACTGTATGTCGTCGATCCAATGGGGCTCTAGAGGCGAGTCAACGATGAAAAAAAATGTTAAAAATTAATTAACGTCAAAGTGACACTGCCAAAGTCAAAGCAATCATGGATTAGGCATTTCATTTTAAATTTAGATAATATCAAGTGGTACAGGGTATTAGTGTTTTGGGTTGCGGAAAAATAATTTTCAGAAGTAATTCTCTCGTGACTAACCCTGTATATATATATATAAACTCAATGTCGGGGAAAAAATTGAATACAATTTTCGTGCGTTAGGCATTTTGCAGGTTTCGGTCCCATGCCACCAAATTAGGACCTCAACCTGCAAAATGTTACCTACCGCACTCATAATGTAAATAACTATTAGTTAGATGTTAGATCAATTCAAAGTTTTTTATTTTTATTTACGTTATTTAAAAAACTGTTATTTACATAAGAGTCAGGAAGTAGTGACATTTTACTGACAACAAGAAACTTAGAACATGGTTAAAATGGTACATGTTGGCAAGGAAATATGAATTTTGCAATTATGAGGCGGAGCCTAATTCCAAAATCGATATTTCCTTATAGAAATTTTCCATTTTAAATATGTTTTAACTTTCATGTTGTGAAAAGAAGTCTACACAAATTAAAACAAAAAGGCAAATGTTCTACATTTCCTATAAAATTCCCCGTCGAGAGTGTCCGATGTCACCAACTTATCATACATAAAATCCCCGTAGACATTTTGGAAAGAAATATAAATTTGGTGTATCGCGTAATACACGAACATGGCCTCCACCTGTGTGCCATGTTCCTCATTCACCAGAAGAAATTCGGAAACCGCGACTTCTATCAAAATATGTCTTTGTTGGATCTTATTGACAGGTTTTTTAAGTAAAAGAGCGATTTCGTTCCTTGGTGTTATGGACCACTACATGTTGTTGGATAGTACTAATGGTACTGGTGGCTGGGAAGTTGTTGGTACTAAAGACCAAAAAGCACCATTCACAATGGAAACCTGTCTGACCTACGACGAGATGGGACTGTCAGCTTTTTCATCAATATCGTCTCACACAGTGTTTATCAATAACGGTAAGAGACACAACAAAGGCATATTTGAAAACGATAGAGAAAAACTAGAGGACGATGGGGTCATCATTGGGCTAATTGGTACAAGATTGCCTAAGAAACGTGTGATGGAACATAGAGACATAATGAAAATAAAAGAATAAAACACACGTGAACACGAATATGGAAACTTGACCCCTCCAACTTGGCAAGGAACGGTGTTGGAGTTCTACGGTGATGCGAATTTGACGTATGAAGATTATTTGCCAAAAATGAAGAAAAATAAAGATCGTTACTGCGAGTTGTTTGAGGATGCTTACTTTGATAAACTAGTCTACTGTAGAAGAATCGCTTTATCTATAGACACTCTTCTGATCGAAGCTAATGACAGAGCTAAGAAAGTGAACAAGATAGCGTACGTGCATGTCGTGGGTTTGGGTCTAGGAGTTTGGCGGGTTTATTGTTACCAAGATAAAATTTTCATGGAGACATTCGCACAACGACTGGAGTGAGTTATTTTTTTATTAATTTTCAATTAACGTTTCTTGTAGACTTCTTTCAGACGTACTGACAAACATCAGCGATGTGTGTTTTGCCTATATCGCACACAAAGAGGCCGGTGAGTATAAACATGGCGACAAATTGGGCAACATAAAGTTACATATCGAGGATAAAATTGGCCCTCATATGAAGCTAGTTGAAGAAGATGAAGGAAAGTTGTTGGTTGTGTCTTATGCTTGGGACTGCAATGCCTTACCAGGCAACGAATTTTGGTTTGGGAGTTTGCACTCGAGTAACGATCCGGCTGCTGCATGTTCTACCCAAGTTACAGAACTCCGCAACTGGCACATTAACCAGAAGGCGAGTGCGAGGAAGTTAAAGGTTGCCACTTTGGAGGGGTTGCTAACGTTTAAGGAGTATCAGGAGATGCACAAAAATGGTTAAGATTACGATAATTAAGTGTCTACCAAGTGCTGTTATTTTTATGGGAACCAGCTATTTGTTATTAGTTATGAAATTAGTTGGTATATTTTTTTACGAAATGTTTATAGTATTTTATAAATAAAAAACGACTGAAATCCTGAGAACCCATCTATTTACTTGTTTCTGCTTTTTTGTGTGTCGTCATAAAAAGTATGTTTAAACTGGGTTGCCTATCCACATTAAATGAATTTGATGCTCATCAAAAATGTGTCCAGTTTCAAATCTCCATCAATTTGAAGAAAACATTCACGAACTGTTTTACTTCCAATTTTTAGGCTACGCATAATACTCGAGTTCAAGAAAAAATATTTAAAAAAACAATATGGTGTAAGTATAAAGACATCCAGTATCCAGTTTACTTTTATAAGGGCTCTTTGAGCAAAATTCACCTGAATCACACAGTATAAAAAATCGGTTTTTGAAAACACCATTACTTAGCACACACGCAACTGCAGGTGTACTCTTTGGTTGAAAATCGCATTTGAGACTAAATATGGAAGATATCATAAACTGAAACAAATCTTTGGAGAAAAAAATAATCATCCCAAAATCGTAAAACCATCACTAATTATTTAGAAAAAAGTGGGAAACAAATCTGCTGAGCTTGACGAAATACAAACCCTTCAAAAAACAATTTCAGACCTAGAGGCTCGTCTTGATAGTTTAGCTTTCGAAAAGAAAAAATCTAATATAGAGTATGTGACCCATTTTGAAGTACATAATTAAAGTGAAATGTCTTTTTAGACTGGAACATGAAAAACGCAAAGTTACTTAGTTGAAAGTACAACTCCAACTTGTCAAAGTCAATCACATAATCCAGCGCTTCCCAAAAAAATCTGCAGATGTGAGAAAACTTGTGGAAGTTCGAGATAAAGGTGTTCAGACCTGGGGAGGCGTTTTATGTAGAGCCTGTTTAGATACTGAGTAGCTGAGAAATAAATTAGAACGTACGCAAGATTTATATAATGATTGTATTGTTATTAAGCGCGATGAACATATTTTTGCACATAGGTACTATCCTTACACAGCTTTAGTTTTTTTTAATGAGCAGGAGTTTATTTGATTCACTAAATACCACTGTCAAAACATTGAAGCAACAGGTTGACAAGGAAACTGGAAGTGATAAAGAAACCGTAGAAAATTTTTTTGTTAAGCCACAAAAACTGCAAAGTTAGGTAAGTGCGGTTTTGTTTAGTTATTTTAGAACTTTTTTAAAATTGTATTTATAATTTCTCAAAATTGGTATTGCTCTAATAATTATTTACCTGTTTCAGAAGGAACTCTCTAGATATTTATGGAATGGCTACTTTTTAGTTAGTTATGAACATAAATTTTATATAAAAGCTTTACTTTTTGTATGCATGTGTAGATTAAGTATTTTAACATCCAACTTCATCGTCAAATTGGGTTTTTTTAATTTGTTTTCTTTTTTAGTTGCTTATTCATCATTTGTGAAAACAAAGTGGTCAACGATGTAATATAGCCATAAAAAGAAATTATTGTCGTAAACAAGTGTTGGAATCGGTAATTTTATTGCTGTTATGATCGATACAAAAACAATAAATCTTCAAAGGTATTAATTATTTTTAGTGGTAAAAATAAATTTACCAGACTATATTTTTTATGTGCAACGGGTTTCGATTTCGAGAGCTAACACATTTAAACAAAAAACAACTTCACAAACATCAGTACGTAACAACTGCAAATGGACAAATCTGTAGGTATTTTTTGAGCGTTTTAATTGTTTGCATTTCCACCTTGGGTAAGACATTTTCATAGAAAAAAGAGCTTAGAACACCTACACCCAGTTCTAGCTGAACCCCTCGTTGACCGAATTTTCGGTGGACAATTAGCCACCCTTGGACAATTTCCTTCCATAGTTTCCATCAAAACAGGTCCTGGAATCATTGGCCACGTCTGTGGTGCTTCCATTATCACCAAACAATGGGTTGCGACAGCAGCTCACTGTGTCAGGTAAGTACCCATCGCAATCGTTGACACCTAAAACCTTCCTCACTTTGGTGTTAACAGTGACTCAACACCAGATGACATTTTTCTGCTAGCAGACACCCTCCTGTTAGATTCTGGTGGTACTAACTACTCCGTGTCCTCCATTGTTGTTCATCCAGAGTACTATAGATATACATACACAAACGATATTGCATTGATCAAACTCCAAACCGAGTTTACTTTGAGTGCTACTACGCAAACCATAGAAATTTGTACCTCTCCTGGTAACGAGTCTTGTACTATTGTAGGGTGGTGAAAAATCAGAGCAACGTATCCAGATGCGTTGTGTTATACTAACTTAACAGCACTGACAGATGACGATTGTACTAGAATGGCACAAGGGGGAGCTTTTGAGATTGAGAGAGGTCCAAGGCAACCGTGTGCTTTTGCTGCTTAAGGAATTGGACCATGTTATGGAGATTCTGGTGGACCTTTAATTTGTGATGGTAAACTGATAGGGATGGCGTCGTATGCTATATACTCTTATGCGAAAGGGTACCCAGATGTATATACTAGAATTGCGTACTATGTCGATTGGATAAACGACGTAATAACAAGTAATCGACCACCAAGATGTGTATACAGGGTATTTGCAAAATGCATCGACAAAAAAAAGCTGAAAACTGGTCTGGATGAGTAGATATCAATAAGAAAAAAAAATGTTCTAATAAAAGTGTTTTAGTTTTTGGAAATAAAATTGATTGAAAATTTGGGCAAAATAGCATGTACGCTACTGAGTTAATAGTGATTAATAGGCTTCGGATTTTAGGTCGTTAAAAGATGTCATTTTTAGGTCCCAAAATTAACGAATTAGGTTATAAAAATCTTAGTTTAGGTTAAAAACCTGGAGAAAAAAATATTTGCTCAACGAAAAAGCATACATCAAAAAAATATATATTTAAAAAAATTGGTCTAAAGAGTTTAGACAGTACTTCCCTCGCTGTCGGAAACTTGACGACTACATGCCTATTGTGTTTTTTTTCTCATTACATTTTAGACAGTCAAACAGAGAAAACTGTAAACAAAACGACCATCGGTTTTATTGCTTCGACTTCCGCTTATTATATAAAACATTGGGTTTTATTTTAATTCTTGACGGTGAAATTCACAATTGGTTGATTATAAACATGTCTATTTCACATTCGCGGAACCAAGTGAGCGCATAAAACAAATGCAGGTCTGTAATGTTAAAGTCGATGTAAATAAGTATGCAACCCTTATGTTTCAACCGAGTTTTTCCTTTAACAAATTTTGTGTCTACCAAATTGGGTTGGTTGGGGTGTAATACTAATAATAAGTGTTGCCTTTAATTTAATCAATAAAATAAATTGACTTCATTAATTTTTTTGAACCACCTCTTAAGAAAATCTAAAAAATATGAATGGAATGATAAATCACAAGTACAAACTCATCATATTTTTTGCATTTTAGATAGGATTTATTCAGCAAAATTTAAAGGTGACGTCATCCATTTTTTTAGGAGGGATGAACAAATACATTTTGAACAAAAGTTTACCATGCTTATAATAACTTTAAAATATTCCCAAGATTTCAAAGCATTCGGTTTTGTAATTCCTGATTAAATCGATAAAATAAATTCACGCCTTCATTAATTTTTTTGAGTCACCCTGCATATGCAAATCCAAAAATATGAATGGAATGATAAATCACAAGTACAGACTCATCATATTTTGTACATTTTAGATGCGATTTATTCGGCAAACTTTTAAGCTGACGTCATCAGTTTTTTGTAGAAGATAACCAAATATATTTTGACCAAAAATTTATTATGCTCTTTATAACCTTAAAACATTTGCAAGATTTCAAAGCATTCGGTTTTGTAGTTCCTGATTAAATCAATAAAATAAATTTACGCATTCATTAATTTTTTTGAGTCACCCTGTATATGCAAATCGAAAAAATTTGAATGGAATGATAAATCACAAGAAGAGACTCACCACATTTTGTACATTTTAGATAGGATTTATTCAGCAAAATTTTGTGGTGACGTCATAAATTTTTTAGGGGGGACGACCAAATACATTTTGATCAAATATTTACCATGCTTATGATAATTTTAAAATATCTTCAAGATTTCGAAGCATTCGGTTTTGTAGTTCCTGAGTAAATCAGTAAAATAAATTTACGCTTTCATTTATTTTCTTGAATCACCCTGTATATGCAAATCCAAAAAATATGAATGGAGTGATAAATTACAAGTACAGACTCATCATATTTTTACAGTTTAGATAGGATTTATTCGGCAAACTTTCGAGCTGACGTCATCAATTTTTTGGAGGGGATAAGCAAATATATTTTGACTAAACATTTATTATGCTCTTTATAACCTTAAAACATCTGCAAGATTTCAAAGCATTCGGTTTTGTAGTTTCTGAGTAAATCAGTAAAATAAATTTAGGCATTCATTAATTTTTTTGAGTCACCCTGCATATACAAATCCAAAAAATATGAATGGAGTGATAGATCACAAGTACAGACTCATCATATTTTGTACATTTTAGATATGATTTATTCCACAAACTTTTGAGCTGACGTCATCAAGTTTTTGGAGGGGATAAGCAAATATTTTTTGACTAAAGATTTATGATGCTCTTTATAGCCTTAAAACATCTGCAACATTTCAAAGCATTCTGATTAGCAGATTAAAAATTAAATTTCAAAATGTTGTTTTATAATTTTGATTTTTTTTTCCAAAAATCTGGACGTTTCGGGTTAAAAGTCGATTCAGAGTTGTAAACTACATGTGTAGGACTATGTTATTTTATACAATTGAAAACCCATTTACTATGTACAATTTTGAAGTGGCGTCATCGCATTAGTGGTGGGGATGATTAGACAAATTTTGGTTAGCGTTTTACCATCTACATGATATTCTTAATATAAGTACAAAATTTCACAACAATCGGTCGAGTACTTTCGGAGATTATCTGTCTAATAAAAATCCGGGACGGCAGACGGACAGACAGACGGACGGACAGACGAACAGACGGACAGACGGACAGACGGACAGACAGACGGAAATGGGAGACCTATTTCTTCGTCTTCTAGGGGTCATGAAAGATCGAGAAAACGTAAAAGTAGAGAGTCGGCCGACGGACTCGATTACAATACTTCCTTTGCTTACGCTCGGGAAGTAAAAAAAGACAGTTAGGGCCCCGAGAAGGTTTCTTCACATTTGGGACCCCTGAGAAGGTTTTACTTCATTTAAAAAAAGACACAGTTGGGGCCCCCGAGAAGCTTTTCACGTTCTCTAAAAAAACAGTTGGAGCCCCCGAGAAGGTTTTACATTCTTAAAACAGAGAATTAGGACCTTAGAGCATTCGGTTTCGCTAGTTCAAAGTTGACTTGTAAAAAGTTGTTATTCAATTAGGAATTTTTTGACAAAAATCTGGATATCTAGGTTAAAATCTCGACAAGCATTCATAAACCGCACATGCTTATGTGCGCTTATGTAAATGGGGAACCTATTTTTTCGTACTCTAGGGGTCACGAAACGTCGAGACAACATAGAACTAGTCACGGGTTTAATGGACTCGATTCTTTCCTTAGCTTACGCTCAGGAAATATGATGGAAAGAGAAATCACTCTATTATACGTAGGTTGTGCAATTTCACGACAACAATCAAACTCATTAAACTTATTACACCATTTTGTCCGAGAATAACAAAGGTAAATGAGCTTTTGTTGTTACTTCTGTGTCATTAAATTAACAGAACCATTCAATCAATTAGGAAAAATGCCTTTAACCCCAAGCATTCCTTGTCTGTTTTACTCCACTAGTTTAATTGTTACTTGATAAAAATAATCATCATGCATTATGTCGGAACGAATATCTACGTACAACTTCAACAAAAGATTTTATTTTATGTCTTTAAGAGCATCAAGCTGGGTTCATTGAGAAGATATTCTAGTTTGTACCGAGCGCCCTTGGACTTAGAGATAACAATATACAATGTTCGAAGAAATCTACACGTGCTTTGTGCAATGAAATAAAACGAGTTTTATTTTTTATTACTTCACTGACCGAAAATATTATGTGCATTATAATGAACCTATAAGACAGAATGGAAATTCCCATGTGGCCTCTTTTGCACCCAATTGACGTTATCGGAAATTTGTACCAGTATGGCGCAGTTTGTAATATTCTTATTTTACATTTAGAATACAATAATGACATTATTCTAAATAGTCTGCAATCTTGTGCAAAGTCTGGTGTATAGAACCGGAGCAAATCCGAACTTCCATAACCTTGATACTGATCTTGGAATTTTTAACGCTCCTATCATACGGACATCTGAATTTTAATTTTAACACTGTTATTCATTGTTTAGTTTATTTGCTGCAAGTGGTCTTGCGACAGCATGTGTGTATACAGGGTGATTTCAAAATATATGCAATAATTGTAACCACGACACGACAAAGAAGGTGCTGGACGACCAACATTGTATACCAATGAAGTCATAGAAGATGTTGAAGAACGCATGGAAAATAATCCCTTTGTAGACGCTACTGAAGGATAAATAGGTAAAATTAATTTATTTTAGTAAATCCTAGCAACTGTAACAATAAAACTTTTGTCAAGACTAAATGTTTCTGTTGTATACAATAAAATTTTACACGACGTCCCGCATGCTGTTGAATGCGCCAAAGTCATCAAAAAAGGTTTATCAACGGGAATACATTACATCGGAAGAATATCACGTAGACATTTGTTTGATTTGAATGAGTTTATCGCCTCAAAACAGATGACTAAAATTATTCATAAGCAGAGAGCGGATTTATAAGCACAAAAAAATTAAGAATAAGCGCTTAAATAAGCACAACATTTTCAATAAAAAAGTTTTGTTTTAAGCAAAAAAGCATTAAATAACCATAACACTTTCATTAAAAAAGTTTTATTTTAAGCAAAAAAGCATTAAAAACAGTTGTCCACTGTAATAATAATAATATGTATTTGCTCAACAGATACAAATCCATTAACAGGACAAAAATAAATACAATTCAGACTTTACAATTAAAACTAAAGTAAAATATAATATATGAAAATAATGAGACGACTAATTATACTTGTATCTCCATCACTTCTTCTGAAAGAATATGTCCGCATAATGATCATTGGCATTTTTACACAATCGACAGAGTGGTGAATTTTTCAGAATATTAGTTCGCGAGGTTGGAAAACTAAATGTCACTGAATGACAAGCATTTCTACAGCAGGGGTCCAAGATTGGAACCTTGTGGTACGCCAGAAGTGGACATGTAATCAAATGATTTATAACCATTTTAATAGACATAGTTGAGCCTGTTGATTAAATACGAATGTAACAATGCAAGGAATGATGAACCAACGCCGAACATATCAAGCTTATTTAGCAAAATTGAGTAATCCACTAAATCAAAAGCACTTGAGAGATCGGTATACACCATGTCCACCTGGCCACGCTGATCCAAAACTTTACAAACAAATTGAGTGAAGACACTTAGATTAGTCTGTGCAGATCTTCCAGGAACAAACCCATGCTGATTCGTTGGGATTAAGGATCGAGTATTGTTAAAGAGTGACAAGTAGATTATCATCTCAAACACTTTCGCAAAATTACAAATAATAGCAATAGGTCTATAATTTTTTACTTGCTTCTTTTCATTCTTTTTAAAAATAGGTGTTATTCTAGCTCGCTTCCATCGATCAGGAAATATTGACTTCGAAATGGCCATGTTAATGATGAACGTCAACGGTTTTGCTAGAGCAAACCTGGCGTCGTGCACCAAGAAGCTAGGAATTTGATCATCACCGGCTGTATGTTTACAAGAGAAAGTCGACATTATTTCTATCACCTTATCCTCCGAAACAAGTTGCAAATTAAAACATGGACCACTGAAAGAAGCACTAACATCATCTCTCGACTCTGACTCTCCTGGCAGAAACATGTTAGAAAATAATTTTCCGAAGGCATCTACTATGTCCTGTGGATTTTCGTATGTTATATCTCCATTATACATTTTCTCCCGAATTTTAGAAGTTTTGTTTCTCATGTTTAGGTAACTGAAAACACTTTTTGGATTATGTTGGATAGAGGGCTCGATATCAGTCATCTAGATCTTGTAAGCCTCCGATATACTACTCTTAGTGACAGCACGAAGTCTCTTAAACTGATTTAAGTAATAATTAGAGTTAGTAGACCTCCATTGGCGTAAACCATTGTGGGTAAGACGATTTACTGGGGCAACGCTGAGAAACTGATTTTTCTAAAATGATATATAGAATGCTATAAAATGTATTCAAAGGAATATTGACATCAGTGCATGACATAACCTCAGTCCAGTCAACGTCATAAATATTTTGATACAGAGTAATAAAATCAGCTCTACGAAAATTAAACATTTTCTTAATTGCTAATGGAAAAGTCGTACTGTCAGATGCCAATGAGAACTGCATCGAAATAAATAACGCAGGATGAAAAGAATCTTCCTTAGCGAATGGTTGTTCATCACGTTCCACTTTGATTTCATGTGACATATTCGATAAAACTAAGTCTAACAGCTTATTCTGATCATTAAAAACATTGTTAAATTGATTTAGTTCAAGTGTGCTGGAAAAATTTGAAAGAAGACGAACTTTAGAACATGCTGCATTTGAACCATTATAACCAGGAAGATTAAAGTCACCAATAAGTATTGCAGGTTTATCTACGAGTATTGCTTCCAACGCATCAAAAAACAATTCATATTCATGGAAATCAAGCGAAGGACAACAGGCAACCAGAAAGAATTTAACTTAATATATAATAATATAATATAATAACATCAATTAATGGCACCAACAAGACAGTAGGAGTGTCCATTGCTTCAAACTTAATTTTATCAGATAATCCGACAAAAACGCCTCCACCATCCCGTTTATTAACAATATCGAATTTTCTATCACTACAGATGATGTTATAAGTAGCCGGAAAAAGCTCACAGTCTCCTACTGAACTATTTAACCAGGACTCAGACACAATTTTGATATCAAAAGACAACTCACAAGCACTAGTATAAAACTGATGAGTTTTAGATCTCAGACCACGCTCGTTCTGATAGTAAATGCTTAAAGTATGTTGACGAGTATTGTTGGGAAAAATTAGTTTTCCGACTGACTAGGTTGTACCCTCAAAAGAGATACAATTGTTGGAATACCATTTTTATATTTAATTTTGAGATCCTTTTCACCACTGGCTATTCGACTGTCTAATTCAGCTTTTACTGTTTTATACAATTCGATCTGCATGGGCGTTCGATCGCACGAGATAGAAATGTTCTTGTGGTCTGACGATCTTAGTTTAGGGTGGTTTTGTAGCGCTCTTGTTACCTTATCACACGATGTAAGGCAAATTTTAATTGGGCGACAGCGATGTTTTTTGGTAATGTCGAATTTGCCAAGGCGCATAAATTTTAAATCACTTAGATTCTCAAAACTTCCAAAGTTTCAAGAACATTTTTTCGCCGATCATTTAAAATGTGTTTAAAATTGGAGAATGTGCGTTCAACATCCACACTCGTTGTTGGCGCAAATTTGAATTTTGCAACTAATGTTGAACCTAACTCCAAATTTTCCACCTTCTGGCCTTGTAAAACACGAGCAACATCGGAAAGAACACCGAAACCTGCATTTTTATTTAACATTTCGTCAAGTTTTTGAGATACTCTAGTACCAATATCACCCCTTACTGCGTTTGCTTGTTGTTTAAATTCTTTCACTAAGTTTATGGCATCTACCAACAACATGTTGGGTTTTTCTAACGTTTCTATTACCTCACATACGAATTGATAATTGCTTCTTCGAAAAGCTAGATCTTGTCGCAAATCTTTCTTTTCCAAAATATTTATGCAGTCTTTAATCGATTGAGAAGAATCTTCGCTAAACTCCGTAACTACTTTCTCAAATTCTTTGATATATTTGTCATAATAAAATGTGGCCTGTAGCCATGTTCCCCACCTCGTTATAATCGGCTCTGGGGGCAATGGTATGTTTGGAAATTTTTCCTTAAAATGTTGCACTCTTAGTGGGGCTTTAACAAAAATCTTTTTACCATTTGCCACTAATTTATTAACAGTAGGAAACTGCAAACGGATTCCTTCAGCCACTCTGTTTAAACCGTGGGCAATGCAAGTAGAGTGAATTAAATTGGGGTACAATATTTTTAGACTATTTCCTGCTTTTAACATATAACGAGCTGCATTCGAGATCATCAATAAAATTTTATTCGCCGGTACGGCATTTGGCAAAAATAGTGACGTAAGACTGTCATTTACAAATCTGGTAATTCTTGAAGAGGGCCTTTCTCCAATTTTTTTAAAGGTATATTGGACTGGATCATCATTTTACATAAATCGAAATTAAATTGAAACTGCTCATCTTTTGTGGAAGTAGATGCAACAGATTCATGTATGGTCTGTTGTTTAATTTTAGAAACTTCAAACATTTTCTTCCTTTCTACATGAAGAGTCGTTCTGACATGTTGCGTCACGTTATATTTTTTATCACTTTGAATCTAAAACAACGTACATATACAGGATTAACAAAGGAAAATAGATAAAAAAAAAATTAGTGGGCTTACGATTTTCACACAAGCTCTGCAAAATATTTTGTTGTTTTCTAATTTTAATTCTGGAAAATCCCTTATCCACTCATCCGGCGTCGATTTTACTTTCGGCATTCTTTTAAAATACTAGTAAAATTACCAAAAAGAACTCAACATGTAACAAGGGAGAACCACGTATAACACTGTACTACGACAAATGCGATAGACTGATGGTTGTGAAATAAACGGTTCATTTACTTAAAAGTTCCCATTAGAAAAATTTTAAGGTAGGTAGTTGGGTACAATAATCCTTTTTTCTAGAAAATCTTCAACGGTCTTGCCGCAAACTGCCGAAAAGAACATCTGGTTAAAAGCTTTAATTCATTATCAACGGAAGTAAAGATTTAAAGTCATAAAATCTATGGAGTATTTTTCCAATCCTATAATAAAATTTTATTACCCAAACGACCGGAACCTATTCACAGAAAGGGTCTTGAGTAAGTGTACTTCAATGGTCAAGTCCAGGTAAAATGCATACGATACGATATGCCTAACTAACAAGTATTTGTCATCCCGACAAGGCCGGCATTTGAACAAAATATGCATTAAAACTCATATTCGTCGAAAAAAGCATTAAATAAGCATATAAGTTTTAATATGCATAAAATTGAAAAAAAAGCAAATAAGCATAAAAAAAAATGTGTCAAATGACTCCAAATTGTATCATAGTTACAGATATAAAAAAGTTTTGAAGTGCTTACATTTTTCACAAAAAGCATTAAACCTAGAAATCCGCTCTCTATTCATAAGCCTCCATTGAACAAAATATTCTGAATGTTATTATTATAATTCTTACCTTATCATTATTTTGTTGTTATAAAAACGAGCGTATTCTTACATTTTCCAGAAATATTTGCAAAGCCTACCCTAATATAAATACTTTTTCATAACCCGTTAAATGTCAGTGAAGTCAAGTGGGTATTTATATATAACATTTACACATTAACGCTATCAAATGAATTTGGATTAATAATGATTTATTTATCGGTTTAGAGAGATAACGTCATTGATTTGATACAAGGAAATAATAAGTTAAAATTGATTAATGTCAAATAGAAAAACTGTTAAAAAATTCATTTTTAATGCCACAATGCACAGTGAATGAATTATAAAATATAACGTCACAGTTTATGGAACTTTTGCGTCTGTCCCCTCTAGCAGTTGACCATGATTTTCAGATTTCCAGTTCCAAAGTTCGTTGGTTTAAAGCGACAGAGTATCGTGAACTACAACGAGTGAAATGTCGGCGAAAGCTCTGCAGAAAGTTTTACACGTTTTAAACGATTCGGCGGGAATTTCAGGTAAGGTTTTTGAAACAAGATTTCGGCACACACTCATAATTAAAAAAAAAAATTTCTAGACGTTCGCATGGACCGCTTTTTAATGAAATCACCCCTCCAGTTTATCACAATCATACTTTTATACTTGGCAGTCGTTTACAAAATAGGCCCTAAGGTCATGAAAAATCGAAAACCGTACTCTCTGCGGGAAATTATGATAGCTTACAACTGCATCCAGATTATTGCTAATGGTGCTATCTTCATAGCAGTAAGACCCTGTGTTTTTTTTTTTTGCAAAAGCATGAAATAATTTTTTTAGTGTGTTGCACAATTCCGCTCTTGGAGTGTTTTTTGCACACCTCCAGAGCGGTTTGAGGGTGGTTTTAATTCGTACCAAATTCGTCTGCATTACAGCTACATCTTGCTGAAATTTTTCGATTTAATCGAAACTGTGAGTTTGTTGGTGGGTTTTGTTCAGATATTCAGGTTTTGTTTTCAGGTGTTTTACGTTCTGCGCAAAAAAGACAAGCAGATTTCTTTTCTGCATGTTTATCATCATATTGGGATTTTGGTGGCTGCTTGGATTTCCGGTAAATACTTTCCGGGAGGACAGGCGCTCTATGTAGGGTTCTATAACACGCTGATTCATTGTATTATGTATTGCTACTATTTAATCACCAGCTGGAGGCCGAATAGTGTGGCTGTGTGGTGGAAGAAGTATGTCACAGCTCTACAAATTGTGAGTAATTTATTCCCATTTTTTTTGTTATTCATTGTTGTACATAGTGAAAATACTGGCACCAATTTTTTTTTTTCATAAAATAACGTTCTCCTACACTTATTGTTTATGAATCCATCGTAATGTTTTATATTACACGTCTGTGTTTAAAAAAAAATCAAAATTGAACAACATTCTACAATTTAACTGTGAAACTGCAATACTGAATACTCCAATTTAAAATGTGCCAAATAATCAAATTTCGAAAAAGCGAATAACCTTGGATCAAATTTTTTAATTTACTAATTATTATTACAATAAATATGTATAGCATATTTTAAAAGTCTTATCATGAATAAACTGCACTTTCCCACGCGATTTAGATCTACCACTTAATTTATACTTTATTCGGTTCGAAACTTGCATACCGGAAGTTTTTTTGTCTCACTAATTTTACATACTCAAATTAACGAAACAAAATACATAACAGTTGCAAAAAATCACTCCGTATAGCAGCAAAAACACGATCAAAGACAACCTTGGATTTTTGAAAGTTTGTCTTTGACTTTTAAATTTTATAAATTCATTTTTGTCTTCTATAAAACTGTAAAGAGACAAAGTTATTATACCTTATTTAAGTTAATAGCATGTTTGCGTAAAAATTTTTCTTATAAATTTTTTCTTGTGCTTACACTTATCTTTATAACTATGTCTTATAATTATAACACTCATAATCGTTACATCTTATATTGACAACAATAGAATTTTTCTACAATGTCAATCAGTGTCATTTAGAACTCTAATTATGTCGCAACTGAAAAAGAAACTCCTTTTGTATTAACCGATACACTAAGTAGTTCTGAACATCTTCAACATTGCCACAAGTCGCCAAAATTTCTAAATTATTCATGTCCAAAATTTACGTGACAGAAAGTCAGTTCTGCTTGCCAATGTAAGGTCCTAAGCCGTCAGCATAACTGTTACAATTATAGTTATAACTATAATTATAAATTATAAGTGTAAGCATAAGGAAAACTTTATAAGAAACTGTTTTGCGCAAACACGCTAATAACTTTATTTTATTATATTATTAACATACTATTTACCGTTATAAATATTAGTTGACAAAAGTAACAACTTACTTATTGAATTTAAAACCAAAATTACATTTAATCTCAAGTAAGGTGTGTATTGATTGCATTTGTAAAGTTATAGCACAAAAGACCTGCTAAATACAGATCAAAATATACAAGGTGAGCGCTTGAAGAAAAATTTTTCACATTGTAAAAGTTTTCAAAAAATCTGAGCAACGTGGTCACATTGAGTCGGGCGTTTATAAATAAAATATGCTTGTACAACCAAAGCCAAAGGCATTCAGAGCATGGAAAATATATAGTGTGTAGTAGTAGGTATGTTGTGCCTACAAGGTGGAACACTCTGTATAGTTGAAAAATATGTAATTGTCATGAATCCTGCTCAAATGACATACTAAGATTTTTTTTATCTCTAATAATAATTAATGAGATCTCGGAGAACGCTCATTTAGTGACTCACCCTGTATGCTATGTAGGTACATAAAAAACAGCTATAATTCACAATAATTAGATGTACACAGGATGCGGAAAAAAGACTAATTTTTCAGAATTCTTTGAGGACCTATTTTCCGTTATACGGATTGTTCTGTTGTTCAGGCACAAGAAAACTGGTTTTGTTTTTAAAGGAACACCTATATTTTTTGTACATAGTCTGATTGACCTCTGTTTAGGCTTAAAATTACACTTTATATTTGAATTTCCAATGCGAACTAAAGTTTAGTCTTCATATACAGACTGTTTATTAAAAATATATTACAATTCACAAACTGGATATATTTCACTTTTTTTTGTATTTACTTCCTGAGTGTAAGCGAATGTTTTAAATTATATAAAATAACATTTCCGCATTCTCCAAAAATCAAGATCATCGTTCGTGTATTTAACCCTCATCTTATAGCAAAGACTAAAAACTTATGGGAGCTCAAAATTACACATGAGATATATATTTTGTGTTGCATTGAAATTTGGTCAGGGTCCCGTTATTATAATACTCACCCTGTATATGATTTCATTATACTTGTCTTTAACTGCATTTCTATATCTTCGCTCATTAGCAACAATTAGTTAACTATTATTTTTGACAAAATTATTATTCTCAAATTGTGGATAGTGCGACCTTTTTTAAATTCACTTGAAACTGCAGCCATTATTGCACCAGACGTCTCTCTGAGCACTCGAAACTGAAAATATTGGAAAATACGCCAGTCTAATTTTCTTTTCGTCTCATCGGCATTGATTTTTTCGAATATTTTTCAAAAACAGAACGCTTGTTATAATGAAATCTTTGTTTTCAGGTTCAACACTGCATGATTTTCTTCAGTGTGTCGCCCGTGGTGTTCAACGTGAACTGTTCCTATCCAAAAGGATGGATGGGTGCTTTTTCCCTAAATGTTTTGCTGATAATCTACCTTTTTGCCCGGTTTTATAAGGACGCATATTTACGGAAGAATAAGTTAAACTAATCGTGTATTAATACATACGAAAATAATATACGTTAAACAAGACGTCATTTTTAACCTTCGTGTCCAATCTGTGCAATTTTTCTTTCAGTGCAATAAGTTACTGTCAAAAGCGGACAATCTGCAAAAAAAAAAAAATTAAAACTGGGCGTTAACAATAGACGTTCTAATAAATTATTTTAAACAGAGAAAACCCGTATGCCTGGATTAATATTAAACAACGATGAATACTGCAAGTCAGTACCGAACAATGCAGCAGCCTTGGCAGATCATATCGGATTAATGAGGAAATTAGGCATCTCCTGGAACTGAAAAAAAGTATCAGATCAGATTCTCTTCATGAGAAAGTAGTCAGAATAACACATCTGTGGCTTTGTTTTTAAGCATTCATTATTTAAAGTTACACCTCATAATATAATGTCAATATATTCCAGGCCATTCATCATCCTGTCAAAGAAAATTTTCTTTGGGTAAGTGTCGTGTTGTACCCTAAGGCAAACAAGCCAATACCGGAAAAAAGTTATTCTTGTTCTCACATGTGTGTATCTATTACTATTGAATATAAATGACTAATCTTTGGTAAAGTTTCGGGATTGTTTTGACGTAAACGAAAAATCTGCGTTAATTTTTGTGATATCCTTGACTTAAGGTATTTTCGTGGGAGGATTATTTATCGCTAATAAATTAATTATTTCAAACTGCCCTGTCTAGTTAGAGATCTGTAGCCAGAATAAGTTGTTAACCGCTTATGTAATGGAACTTTTTGCACATTATCTTCTACATTTTTTATAAATAAAACGCTAGACAACTCATTTGAATATAATTGTTTTCCTGTTTATATAAAATTAGTTTTAAAACTTAATTGTACATTTAATTAATGCGGTGTATTCCACTGCATCGACTGTTTGATTGTTCGGTTTTAGAGTTAGATGTTAGATAAATTCAAAATTTTTTTGACGAGCAATGATTTCATTTGCGAGGCGGAACGAAGCGTAGTCGTGTGAAAGCAATCATTGCGAGGAAAAAAAAGACACTTTAGAACCGAATAATATATACAATTTTTTCTCCAACCGCAATCACAAAACGATTTCCGTTTTGCTTTTGAACAATTAAAATTAACCAAAATAAAGTAGCCCATTTCGATGTAGTCATGGAAAATTTTCAAACATTATCCGCCATATTGCAAATTAGCGAATTGTGATTGCAGACTTACTTCCGATCAAACTGCGTAAAATCTATGAGTTTGCCTACAAGCTGAAGCGAGTACGAGTGGAGTGATTCCCTAAAAACCACCGAAGAGCAATGAAGTAAATATAACCAAAGACGTAACTGATAATTAGGCTTCGGATCTTAGGTTTTGGCCTCTTTATATCTACTTCAGGCATTGCAGCGAAATTTGTATATTTATCCCAATTTAAAAAATTCTGTTTATTTAACGCCCATTTATTCCTACCTAAAATGCCTAATTTACCGTTAGAGACCTATTTAAAATACGGAAGCTTGAATTATGTTCACATTTTTGTTTCCTAGTTTAAGTGCGAAAAAAAATCACACTTTGAACAACACTGCAGTGGCGATGCACATAAAAAGAACGAGAATAAATCCAGTAAACAGACTTTATTAAACATTAGTTCCGACAATGATTTTACGCAATTTTGCACCGGTTTATGTAGGGCTTTTACCGCAGCAAATATTCCATGGAATAAAGTTAGTTGTCCTGAGTTTAAAAATTTTATGCATAAATATAAGGAAGGCATTTACCCTCAGAAAGAACTCTGAGAAAAAATTATTTACCAAAAGATTACGATATGGTGAGCACTAGAATTTTTATTCAAAAATTTTTAAACATAAATTTTATAATTTACAGGTAATAATTAAACAAATTAGAAATTCTATTGGCAACAATAATACATATATGGATTAGCGTCGATGAGACGACGGACAAATTATGAAGATATATAGCCCATTTAGTAATTGGAAAGTTATCTTCTGAAGAAGCTGGCCGTCCATTTCTACTAGCTTTGAAGCAGCTTGATAAAACTAATACCAACACAATCTCGAGATTTCTAAACGAATCATTGGGTGTGCTTTTGATAATTTTAAGCATTGAAATTATTATAGTTTATTTAATTGTTAATTTGTAGCTTTATTGTGGCCAAAAGGAACTGAACACAATAAAGTTAAATGGTTTGTATCAGGTGGTGCTTGATGAAGGTGTTTTATGAAAATATAACACACTTAACATGTATGGCACATGGGTTATATTTAGTGTCTGAAACAATTAGACTGAATTATCCAGATGTCAATGGGATAATTAGCAATGTTAAGAAAATCTTTTTAAAAGTACCAATAAGAATAGAGTTTTATAAAAACAGTTTACCAAATACACCTCTCCCAGCTGAACCTGTATTAACCAGGTGAGGCACTTGGATTCAAGCAGCATTGTTTTATGCAGAACACTTTGATGTTTTAAAACAAGTCAGTAAATATATAATGGTTTTTTACTATCATTCCTATTTTGAATATTTTTAGGTTGTAATGTCATTTGAAGCCACAGATGCACAAAGCATTAAAAAAGCTCAAGAATTCCTGAATAAAGCAAACGTTAAAAATGAACTCTTGTACATTAAAACTCACTTTAAAATTATTGCTGATGCAGTAGAACAATTAGAAACTATAGGTTTAAAATTAAACCAAAGTATGGAAATTGTGGAAAAAGTGTATACATCTTTAACAAACACACTAGGAAAGGTGGGGGAAATGGCGTTCCAAAAATTATGTTCTCCATTAAAAAAGAATCCAGGATACGACTTTATATGTTCAGTAAATAACGTAATTTGCGGTATTGGAAATGCTACCAACAATACATACACAAATGAAAACGTAAATTGTTCAATATTTAATTTTGCACCCATCACTTCTTGTAATGTGGAGCGCACGTTTTCAAAACTTAGAAGTGTTTTAAGCGATCAAAGGTGTAAATTTACCAATAACAATTTTAAAGCCTAGTTATGCGTCAAAAAAAATAATCTTTTCGACATCTTTTACACAAAATGTGAATGCTTGTAAAACAAACAAAATTTGCATTCAACATTAAAATCAGCTTGTCTGATTACGTAATACTCTTATTTATTAACGAAAAAAAAAGCAAACAACAACAATTAGTTTCCGCATTTTTCCATATTTGATGCATTAAAAGAACAACTGACGCACTAAAAAATCCATATTTATTTTTTATTTATAAGTGCTGAGTTCGTGAAACACGAAAATTGTTTTTATGGTTAAAGGCCAAATACAACATTTCAATCATCAGAATTACCCATACGACCTTTTGGTTTTTGGACCTTGGTAGTTCATAAATTTCGTTTAGCTAATAAATCGTTTAAATATTACCACAAATATTCGTCCTAATTTTGGTATTACTACTGAATATTCGGTTTTCTGTGTGAAGCACTAACGAAAAGCAAAAAATATTATACGGGACGAGCGTCTAAGGTGAACAGACTATAAACAACCAGAATTATGTATCATCGAACTTCAATGACGTGTCATTGACGCAACAAGAGTACAGCAGGTATTTGAATAAAATGAAGTTCAAGTTCCCATGTCCATAAGAAAGGAACTATTTGCATAATATACATTTTTTTTTATTTTCTGGCTGAATTTATTGGTGCGTATGTCCAGTTATCAAATTTTTGTATAATAAGTAAAATAGTCTCATGACGTCTGTTTATGGGTGGATGACCGAGGTATAGTGCGTAACTTGTATGTAATCTGAATTTTTAATAATAATTATTGTAATAAGGGTGTACCGTTAATACATTTCCTGCTGTATTTTGTTCATTAATTTTGTTAAGAATTTTTTGTATTGTGTAAAAAAACGAGCTTTTTGTCATGGTTTTTGACGTTTCAGTACCCCTAGACCTCGAAAAAATAGGTAGGTATGCCGTTTCCGTCCCCTAATATAGGTTTCGATCCCGATAAATCAATTAATCAACCACTGTTTTAAGGTCAGCGATTCTTATTCTCACGGTCCTTATCACTACTGTTTGAATTATGGATTTCTTGGTTGCCTATACCTCAACGGTATTTGTACTGAATTTTTTTCCTTAGGTTGTGTTTTATTAAATTATTATTTTATGCATATTTACTTTGACTTACAATGTCACTTTTAATTATATCATACTTGCTATGCTTACGCATAGCAAATTGAGGGTTAAAAACTATGCCAGAAATATAAACATTGATACTTTCAGTTTTCAGTAGCAATGACCAAGTTAACGGTATACATTTCTTAGAAAGCATAAAACTTTACGCTATTTAAAACAGTTATTCGGCTTTTTGTACCCAAGTGTTTATTTCGTATGTAGGAACAAACACTAAAATTTCACTTAAGGGTGCCCAGTAGCGGACCGAAAAATGGGCTAAATAGATTTTCATTTTACGGGCGTAATTTCAACTTTGAAAAAAAGATCGGCATTTCAATTGATAGATTATGGCTAAATCTCTGGGGAAGACACAATATTTTTTAAAATAAGCGATTGTTTAGTGTTTAATTAATCGTTCATTCTTCGAAGGAAATTGCGTTTTTAGACGAGGAGAGAGCATTTTTCGCTTCAACTTTTATATCAGTGCAAAGACAACATTGAGCTCTATGGGGAAGACCAGGTCATTTTTGTTTAAAATTTATATTTATCAAAATATTTGCTTTTTAAAAAAATACTGAATAATGAAAATAAAGTGAAACTAGGTAACCCTATTTACAAAGTTTTCCGTTTCAATAAATGGCCGAGTTTTACACAGCAGGCAGCCTGCCGACCGACCCTTTCAGGTAATCAGTCCAGGTACTTTAGGTCATAAAACTCATAAATACTCTTAGCCGACCAACATTGTTGAAACTCTTTTACAAGTCGACTTCTTTCATTGCTGACATAATTTGATTTAAAAGTATGCAAATTTTTATAATTTTATATATTCTACCAAAATATTTTCTTTGAAAAAGTTATTCAAATATTTTTTTTTACCTGAACAATCATATTTATTTAAATTTAATTTTTTGATACTCTTTTCCGCACCACCTATGAGGTAGAGTATTATAGGCACGTTTTTTACGTGATATCTCCAGTAAACCTATTCCAATATTACTATTTATTCCTGTGTGTGTTTATACTAGAAGGGCAAAAGATTTATTTGAACTACACATGATGCGAATGCAAATAAAAAAATGTAATTGTACAATTTTTTCTTTACAATTTGTCTAATGGGTTGGCTTGTTTAATAACGAGAATCTACTCTCTCCGGAAGTAAGGCATATAAATAAAAATTTTCTAGGGCTCTATCATATTATTTTCCCAAAATTTAGCATCTCGTTGAATTAAGCATTATTTAAATTGGACATTTTATATATTTCTACGATAGCGTTTTTGTTTATTAAGCCGTCTGGCGATGCCGCTAAAAATGTACAAACCGCATTGTCTTATTGTCAGTTTGGTGTTACTGCAAAATATTTCAGTTGTCCTTGCTTCATTTTCTATGCAAAGATTGTGGGAGAGTACATGCTGAACTAGATTTGCAGGGATGTAAAATGTTTTTCACAGTACAGTAGGATTAGCCGTGTTACTTGTTCTTTAATTTTGAAAATTTTATCAAAATAACGTTCGGTTAGTCCAAAGGATTTTTCTGCGCACCATTCTGGATTATTGCGTTCGCCAATTGTGTTTTGTTCGATTAAAAAGACATCAACGTTTGAAAGTTTTTTGAGAAATAGTTTTTGCGCTGTGACATATCAGGTATTTCAACTGCATCGTTAGATACATCCTCGCCCGAGAACTTGTATGATCCACAGATCGGAGCGCGCTCAGGCCAATGTCGACCCTATAAGCCTCCAGAAATTCTGCGGGAAATAGTTATTATTTAAATGCTTTTGTTTACACACATCTCACATGTTTCACTCGATTTTGACACTCAACTATTTTTTTGTTTAACTAAGAATTAATACTTTCATTGCGTTTGTTACTAACGTCCTAAATTAGCAGTACTAGTGGAACAGTAATCATGCAATAGATTTTTTTGGGAAAGTACAGTTATTTTTATGTTTTAGCAGCAATATGTTCTATTTTCTATTAATTTTTACATGTTTTTAGTCACAATTTTGGTAATTATTTTTTACTTTAATTTTTAGCAATAATAAATAGTCCAAACATGAAAAAATAAAAAAAAATTAAAATTGGAAAATCAAAGATTTTGAAATCGAGAAATTAAACAATCGTATAATTAAAAAATCGAAACATCGAAAAACTGGAAAATCGAAAAATTAAAAAAAAATGGAAAATCAGAAATTTAATGAATTCCGAAAATTGAAAAACTGAAATATGCATAGAAGAACTGAAAACTCGAGAAATCGAAAAATCTAGAATTTTAAAAATTGAAAAATTAAAATATCGAAAAGTTGAAAAATTGCGAAATCGTATCAGTGAAACATCGGACAATTGAGAAATCGAAAAATAAAAAAATGGAGAAATCGAAAATTTGAAGAATGGAAAAATTGAAAATGTCAAAAAAAAATACTGAAAAATTGAAACATCAAAAGTTGAAAAATCGAAAAACCGAAAAGTCGAAAAATCTCAATAATGTATTTATAAACCACAAGTTCAGGATTATGCTACTAAAAAATTGATAACGTCATCTCAAAATTCTGCTGAATAAATTCTACTAAAAATGTGCAAAATATGATGAGTTTTTACTTGTAATTTATCATTGCATTCATATTTTTTTAGATTTGCTTATATACCTAGGTGGCTCAAAAAAATTAATGAAAGAGTCAATTTATTCTATTGATTAAATCAGTCTCGACTCACTCCATTTTCCCAGAAATTTCGGAAATACTGTTATTTTTAGTCTAATCCACATTGATTTACGTGTCCTTGCAAAATGTTGATGATTTCATCACAAAATTGTGTACCTAAAGTAAAAATTTAACTCGGAAATGCTGGATATGTTTAATTGTATTTTAGGTGCGAGGGAAGTTCTGTCGAAACAACTTTCCACCAATTTTTTTTGATGTTATATTTGAACATAAACAGTTTATTTTATATATTTTTAAAACATTATAAAGGAAATAAAAAGTTGTGTTAGACTGAACCTTGTGGGTTTCTCAATCTATTTTAACTTTCAACTTAATTTCTTTCAAAATACATACAAATGGATTTCGATGGTTATTTCCCTGTACCCTTCATTCGAAAATAAATAAGCTTATCTGGTGTTGTTTAACGATTTGCATTTTATGACGGACTCCCTACAGTGGCCATAATCTCTCCTCTCTTGGGTCGCTACCTGCCGTGGATCGGTACTTTGGGTTGCATAGTTACAAAAAATTCTTCTCATTGAAACCGATTTTGCGGGCGACGACTGGGGACCCTTAAACATTGTTTTTATATGAATGGGGGTTCTACATACGACTATTGTTGCATGCCACATTTAGCATCTCATCTTTAATTCTCAATCATCAGTTCGTTCTGCTCGCCCACTCTTCTTAGAAATGGAAATTTCGACCTTCGTGAGCAGCCTATTTCCATATCTTCCAACTTCTTTTTTCACTTTTCTAAGATTACTAAAAGGGTTGCTAAAAGACAACAACCTTGCTCTAGTGCTTTGATGGGTTTAGCTCTTCTGAAACATGATTTATCTATATAGCTATTACTAATGCTTACGTAAGTGCTCTTTATTTGCTTTTACTAGGTACTTCCAAACGCTTATTAATAAGAACGTTACTATACGCCTTCTCCAGGTCCATGAAGAGTTACAAAAAAAAAAATGAAAATGCTTAAAATTTGGTGCAAAGTAACAACGTGGATGATCTAACTAAAATTATACTTATTTTGTTGTACGTCAGGTAGTTTTTCACATACTACCTTGATAAATTTAGAACGAAAGATGCGTAAAAATATCACTCCCCGACAAGCTACAATTCACTCCATTTCCATTATTTCGCTATGAAAATCTGTATCATCACCGTCATTTTCAAATTCAGATTCTGAATCAGATTCACCTAGCGAAATAATGAAAGGAAGTATAGATTCGTAAGAAAGATTTCCCATATTTTTTCCCAATCTGCCAAAATATGTTTTTCACAATGTTTACAAAAATTTTGCCACATGCTTGGAGTAGGAGAACTAGGGGCTTGTTGTAACAGGGGTAAGTTGTAACACTAAATTTTTACCCACAATTTAAACTCTTTAACGTCAGGTATTTTACTGAATTTAATTCTTGCACCATAAGACATCATGTCATCACAACCACTGTTCCTTGAGCCAGCGCAGTGAGTGGATGTGTGCACGTGTTTCGTTTTGGTCAAGTTATGTAAAATATTGCTTTAGTAAAATTTGGTTTTTCGTATCAGTTATTAATTAATTTAAAACTTTTAGTTTTGCATGTAGCGCAAAAATTACTCAGCTTTGATATTTCTTACACATTTTGAAGCTAAGCGAAATAATTTTGTCGAAATCTAATTAAATGTAGAAAATTGTGCTACGGGGCAAGTTGTAACATGTTACAACTTATCCCAAATTCACTTCTACAAATCTCGTACCTAGCATACGAAAAGCGAGCCAAAATTTTGACCTATGCCATATATCGCTTTCCAGATATATTAAGAAAAAGGAAGACAACACTCAAATTTTTAATGTTGACTCTTTTTCTAAAAGTTTATTTCAGTTTTACTGAAAAAAAATTGTATATAATGAAGTGTTGTGTTGATTTTTGAAAAATAAAGTCTAAATATGTATCAACATCAGCTTTATTTTTACTGGTACTACCTGTCTCATGGCTGTTACAACTAGCCCCAACCACGGGGCAAGTTGTAACAAAGCACTTTTTTTAAGAACATGCCTGGTGTGAAGTGAAGATGAACAATTTTGACCTTTTGCCTGTTCAGTCCAATAGGGGAATAGTTAGACTACCGATAGATACTTTTATAATGGTCAAACAGCTAATAGATACCAAATTATATTCGTTTTCCTAAAAACTGTTACAACAAGCCCCTCGTTCCCCTACATTTAAAAAGCGCATCAAGCCATAAATTCTCCACCCTATTTTTTAATGAAGGCTGAGAATTTATATGCTTGTTGTAATAGTTCAAAATCCCCACGCCATTTCAATTGGATTATATTGACAATGGCACGGAGGTAATCTTAGAACTTCATGGCCACTTTCTCTTAATGTCTCGTCTACCAAATATCTTTTTTTTCTATTGTTCCTGACGGATTTAATTAAATCCCACAACTGTTTCTTCGAAAATTTTTTGTCAAATTCAACACTATGTTTAAAGAGCCATTCCTGCATTTCACATTTTTTACTAGAAAAAGTGGGTGGTTTATCCAACTGAACCGAATGATACGGTGCATTATCTAAAACCACCACACATTTTTGGTTCAACTTTGCCAAAGCAGGAATGAGCTGATTAACCACCCAATTTTGAAAAATTGTCCCGTCCATCGTTTTATGATTATTTTTTGAATTTAAAAAATTCTTACAACCATCCAAGAACCCCGTTGAACAACCCGCCAGGAGAATAGTAAACCTTGATCCTTCACTTTTAATTTTGGTGGGATTGCTTTTTAAATAAGTATCGTGAACCCAACGACGAATGGACGAACCATTTTGATAGATCCATGTTTCATCCAAATACACGAAAGTCAAATTTTCACAAGAATTTAGAAACTGTAAATATGTTCTCAAAAAAGTAATTTTGGCTGCAACGACATGTTTTTGTTCACATAGAATTTTGCGACCATTTACTTCCCTGTGTTTATAACCCATTGACTTAACAATTTTGTATAATGTGGTTCGCCCCCCTTTAAATTCCAACTGTTCCCTAGAATATGCTAAAAGAGTATCTACAGTGAAATATTCGTTTTTTTCACCAAGTCGCCAAATTTGTCGTTGCAGGTCTTTCCGAAACATATAATTTGTAAATAAATCCGTTGGTTTTCGCTTGCCAGATAGTGATGTTTTTAAATTCTGGTCCCCTGTTGATAAAATTTTCGCCACAGTTGATGTTCCCACCTATGAGAAAAAAAATTAAAAAATATTTTCCAGCGTATTTTTACATTACAGAAAATATGTTCGAGACCCCCATAGTTACTTCTTCGAAAGAAAGATCGGGCCTGTCTTTTCGAAACTGCAAAAAACATCTTTTTATTGCAATTTGTTGTTGCAGTAAAACTATTTTAGACATTTTCTTTTTAAATAATGTCGCAATGATCTGTGAATCTGTCACAATGACAAATTATCTATGCTGACAAAATTAAAACATTTGTTTGCTTGATAAAAAAATTGCGTCTAATAATTCTGATCTAATAAATGAAGTAGAAAAGTGGCAATCCAGCTCAAAGCAAATGTCAATCAGACTACTGACAGACAAAAACTAAATCATCAAATCAGTTTATGCAACTTAAAGAAAAAATATCAAAGCCTACTTTACTATACAGTGCATCATTTTTAAAAGTGGTCATAGGTAGTGTCCCTAGATATACTTTGGAAAAATTGGTCTAAAGAGTTTAGACAGTACTTTCCTCGCTGTCGGAAACTTGACGACTGCATGCCTATTGTGTTTTTTTTCTCATTACATTTTTGTAGTGGAAATTTAAAAAAAAATTGCGATGACGTCATCAACATTTTTGCAAGGACACGTATATCAGTTGGGATAGATGTAGTGTAATACTAAGAATAAAATTATTATATTCTCTAATTTTCGGGAAAATGAATTGGGTCGTTTTGAATATTGATTTGTAATAATCAATAAAATAACGAAACAAACAATTTACTCACGTATACGTATCAGAGGCAACTGAAAATCGTGTATGTATAAACATTCTTAATTTAAGATGACAGGCGTAACAGCATACGTGAGAGTCAAACAGAGAAACTGTAAACAAAACGACCATCGGTTTTATTGCTTCGACTTCCGCTTATTATATAAAACATTGGGTTTTATTTTAATTCTTGACGGTGAAATTCACAATTGGTTGATTATAAACATGTCTATTTCACATTCGCGGAACCAAGTGAACGCATAAAACAAATGCAGGTCTGTAATGTTAAAGTCGATGTAAATAAGCGTGCTGCCCTTATATTTCAACCGAGTTTTTCCTTTAACAAATTTTGTGTCTACCAAATTGGGTTGGTTGGGGTGTAATACTAATAATAAGTGTTGCCTTTAATTTAATCAATAAAATAAATTGACTTCATTAATTTTTTTGAACCACCTCTTAAGAAAATCTAAATAAAAAATATGAATGGAATGATAAATCACAAGTACAAACTCATCATATTTTTTGCATTTTAGATAGGATTTATTCAGCAAAATTTAAGGGTGACGTCATCAATTTTTTTAGGAGGGATGAACAAATACATTTTGAACAAAAGTTTACCATGCTTATAATAACTTTAAAATATTCCCAAGATTTCAAAGCATTCGGTTTTGTAATTCCTGATTAAATCGATAAAATAAATTCACGCCTTTATTAATTTTTTTGAGTCACCCTGCATATGCAAATCCAAAAATATGAATGGAATGATAAATCACAAGTACAGACTCATCATATTTTGTACATTTTAGATACGATTTATTCGGCAAACTTTTGAGCTGACGTCATCAGTTTTTTGTAGAAGATAACCACATATATATTGACTAAAAATTTATTATGCTCTTTTTAACCTTAAAACATCTGCAAGATTTCAAAGCATTTGGTTTTGTAGTTCCTGATTAAATCAATAAAATAAATTTACGCATTCATTAATTTTTTTGAGTCACCCTGTATATGCAAATCGAAAAAATTTGAATGGAATGATAAATCACAAGAAGAGACTCACCATATTTTGTACATTTTAGATAGGATTTATTCAGCAAAATTTTGTGGTGACATCATAAATTTTTTAGGGGGGACGACCAAGTACGTTTTGATCAAAAATTTACCATGCTTATGATAATTTTAAAATATCTTCAAGATTTCGAAGCATTCAGCAGTAAAATAAATTTACGCTTTCATTTATTTTCTTGAATCACCCTGTATATGCAAATCCAAAAAATATGAATGGAGTGATAGATCACAAATACAGACTGATCATATTTTGTACATTTTAGATATGATTTATTCGGCAAATTTTCGAGCTGACGTCATCAAGTTTTTGGAGGGGATAAGCAAATATATTTTGACTAAACATTTATTATGCTCTTTATAACCTTGAAACATCTGCAAGATGTCAGAGCATTCCGTTTTGTAGTTCCTGATTAAATCAATAAAATATATTTACGCATTCATTAATGTTTTTGAGTCACCCTGTATATGCAAATCCAAAAAATATGAATGGAGTGATAGATCACAAGTACAGACTCATCATATTTTGTACATTTTAGATATGATTTATTCCACAAACTTTTGAGCTGACGTCATCAAGTTTTTGGAGGGGATAAGCAAATATTTTTTGACTAAAGATTTATGATGCTCTTTATAGCCTTAAAACATCTGCAACATTTCAAAGCATTCTGGTTAGCAGATTAAAAATTAAATTTCAAAATGTTGTTTTATAATTTTGATTTTTTTTTCCAAAAATCTGGACGTTTCGGGTGAAAAGTCGATTCAGAGTTGTGAACTACATGTGTAGGACTATGTTATTTTATACAATTGAAAACCCATTTACTATGTACAATTTTGAAGTGACGTCATCGCATTAGTGGTGGGGATGATTAGACAAATTTTGGTTAGCGTTTTACCATCTACATGATATTCTTAATATAAGTACAAAATTTCACAACAATCGGTCGAGTACTTTCTGAGATTATCTGTCTAATAAAAATCCGGGACGGCAGACGGACAGACGGACAGACGGACAGACGGACAGACGGACGGACAGACGGACGGACAGACGGACAGACAGACGGAAATGGGAGACCTATTTCTTCGTCTTCTAGGGGTCATGAAAGATCGGGAAAACATAAAAGTAGAGAGTCGGCCGACGGACTCGATTACAATACTTCCTTTGCTTACGCTCGGGAAGTAAAAATTAATTTATTTTAGTCAATCCTAGCAACTGTAAAATAAAATTTTTGTCAAGACTAAATGTTGCTATAGAAACGAGAGATGATCTTTTTATCAGAGGCGTACAACGAATTTGGACATCAATTTTAATAATTTTTATTTCTAAAACGAGAACACTTTTACCTGAACTTTTTTTAACTTTTAGCACCCATACTTCGAGATCAATTGCCGATTTTATTTTGTACGTACCTTTCAAAAACACGCTGTATTAGCAAATACTAGCCCAAAAGTATATCTAGGGTCTCTAGCCATAGGGATTCTCATGTACAGTGACCTTAGTACGTATGTAAAATTTACTCATTATGCGTCCAAATTTTGGATGTAATTAACTTGTTCCCTTTTTTTTTCGTTTTTATGGTGAAACTTTTTCGAAAAAAAAATTATTAACTGCCCATTTTAGGTTTCTCGTTCATGTTATAAAACCAACAAGTGATTTAAACAACAAATAAAGTTTAGATAAAGTTTCTTTATGTTCCTAAAATTTGGAAAGTGAACAACAAAAAGAAGTAACTCGTTTAAATTAGGCTAATGGCAATTCTCTTCCTCCCAAGACTTAACTAAAAAAAAAACATTTTATCAACATTATTTGTGATCTATTGGAGTAAGTTGATTTTTGCTTTTCGAGAAAAGTCATTAAACACGTCTGATTGTTCATGATTGACAAATTTTGAGTTACCTGTGAACTGCGAAAGAACTCTCTGAGCAAATTCACTAGCACCAAATTTAACTAACTGAAGTCAACACATTTTTTTTCGCACGAACTGTACAAAGAGCTTTTAACGCCCACAAGGCAAAGTTAAAAAGTGCCCCCTTTTCACCCTACTTTTACTTAAAATGTGACGCCAAAACTGGAGACGTCGCAATACGAGTGGGGCAAATTTTTACGGATTCTGTGCCGTGATTGGCTCATTAGATGGTTTAAGCTCTGCTCTCCTACTCCTCTCACTTAAATTGACCCAGCCAACTTTATGCAACAACCTAATTAATAATTGTTATAATTGTTATTGACAATTAATGTCCTGAAGTTTACCAATTGTTATCCCAACAATATCCAATGGGTAAATGGAGTGGTCAAAATTATAATCACCGAATATAAACTTATTTTCCAAAAGTTTTTGTAGCTATATTTTTTTTGATAAAATTGTTTAATTTTTCTTGAAAGAAAGATTATTGAATTTAAAGTGATTGTTATTTGTGAAGCAAACCGAAATTTAGTTAGAAGTTAAACTACCCTCTCAAAGAGGTCGCCTCTTGCCTAAAATCGAACTACACAAAGAAAATCGATGATTTTTCCTATTTCTTCACACTCGGCTAAAAAAACTTATAATTAAGGTTATTTGACTAAATTTGACGGTTGAAATTACTTTAAATGACCCGTGACAGATATTTTCCAGATCTACGAAACACATGGATATTCTCTTAAAATTTCAAGTCGTAACGTCCAACATATAATATGTATTTTTCTCATATCGAAATCAAATAATCGAACTATTAAATGATTGGCCGCTCGGTATAATTAAAATATACTGGCGCTTACCACAATACGTAGTCGTCTACATTCTTGTCGACAGATATGGATCTTGCGAATAAGCCCCGCCCCTCGATTTGACAACGAATGAAAAATTCATCACAATTGAGAATTGAGATTGGGGCGCGTATGGGTGGGGCCTAATCTTCTGCTTTTTTTTCTTAATTTACATAGTATTTTTTGAACAACACGATACTCAAAAACATATTTTTAATTTCTCGTAGAAAGACAAGGGTTTTGCAGTTAAGCTCCGCCCTCTTGGCTCACGACCAATAAAAAAATCATCACAATTGACATAGGGCGGGCGGGCGGGGCTACATTTTGCCTTTGTTTTCTTAATATGTGTAGACTTATTTCGACAACAAGAAATTTAAAACATGTCTCAAGTGGTAAATCCTCCACTTTTCTTTACCACCCCCGTCTTGCATCTGGGAAAAAATGAAGCAAGAAAAAATTTTTTTTTTGCATAATTAAAGCACAACTTCTTGTACCCCTGTACCTAATTTCAGGTGATTTGTACAATTGGTTCTCACGATATTTAACCGTATCCGTGCATCCTAGAGACCCTGAATATTAAACCATTTTTTTGTTATATCAAAAACACGGGATATGCAAATTGCATATAATCCGCTCTCTAAAAATAAGAAACAAAAACATCTTCCTTTTGTTTATGCACATTGCATAGTTTTTCAGATAATATCTATATTTTCCATTATTTTAATCTTTAACGAAGCGAAAATATACAGATCTATTGCGGATGCATTAAAAGTGACCTATTAACCTTGACTCGCTGAATTTTAAACACAGTGTGAAACATCAAAAGGTGTTTACACGTTATTTTTTTCAGGTATCACATTCTTTAATAACCACTAATTACATAGTTCTAGCAAATCTGACACATCGTTTCGCACACATTTTAAAATTTTGCAAACGATTTTTATTAGTTTTTATTTCTGAAACAGTAAAACAAGTAAAATTTTCTAGTTTCTTGAACTATGTCACGGTAAAGCATGTACCTATTATAAAAAGAAATAAAAAACTTGTTTTCTAATTTACATCTAACTGTTGTTAACTTAATGGACCTCGGTAGTGTTGTATTTTTGAATCATCTATTTCACTTTCGCTAAATTCGAGGCAGGATAGGTTTACCCCGCATAAATCTGAGAGCAAGGTAAACGTGACGATTTTTAAAAGCTGAACGGTATTAGATTTCAGCAAGATTGTGGTAAAAATTTAAACTGAGTTCGTTGTAGTCTTTTAACTCGAATTTAGTGTATGTTAGGAATTTTGCTATAATATTGAATTTTTTGACAATATATTCTAGTCTTTAAAAATGAATCGTCACTGTCAAGTTCAATAAACGTAAATAAAAAAATATTGTTGTTGATTGGCAGTTATTTTAATTAGTGGCAGCAATCAATTTCGTAATTTATGCGCCATAAAAATTTTTTGTATTTTTTTTATTTCCGTCAATTTATAGCCCTGAAGGTGCTTGAAACAGAGGAAACGACGCGTTGACGTTTGAATTAACACATATACAACGTGTTAGGAAATTTGAATACCATCTGTACAAAAAGTTGTCCTAATATATCCAAATAATACGGAAAAATATGAAAATTCAAGGAAATATTCATTTGACAACACCTCCTATGATGCATTCCAATATCAACAATTAGAAAAATAAAATACATTTTATGTAGCTGAATCCTAAGAGTTGGAGTTAGGGATAAGTCGGTAACAGTGTTAGCAGTAACAGGATGTCCGCAAGGCGGAGTTTTGTCACCTCTGCTGTGACCACCTCTTGTTGACGACTTGATAGTTAACCCTGGTGATAAGGATGACAGCTAAAACATAAACATGACAAATTGCCCTGAATATTACCTTATCACAAAATGGTGTTTTTTGTTTTTCTCACGAAGAGAAGGAAGCTCAAGGAAAAAGTTTTCATTCTATTATGTGTGGTGATTTCATTTTGCAAAAAGCCCGACGGGACTGTGTTGATAATTATTATTTAAGTGTTGTTTATCATAATAAATATAAATCCGTTCCCATAACTGACTGTTTTTCCTCTATGAATATGTAGCAAGCAACAAAATGAATATAATTTAGAGCTATATATTGTACAGGGTGATCACAGTAAGATTTATTGTACTGTGTAAAGTTCACGTTCCTAAGTGCCATAACTACTATTTAATGAGTGGTACAGAACGACTAGGATTAAGAATCACCAAAGTGGTGAATTTTGGATCGAGCGCTTTTCAAATCACGTGATTTCGTGTACACGAACATTTACATCAGTGGTACATGGTACCTTCAAGCCTCAAACTCACGATCGTGGCCGTGATAACACCGGAAGAATACTGCAAGCTGAAGAACAAATTTTGGAACGCGCCGAATTGCAGCTGAAGTTGGAGTTTCACAGTTTTTTAGTGCATCGTACATTAAAAGAACAAGGCCTATATCCACACCTCCTTCAAAAAGTGCAAGCTTTGGAGCTCGCTGATTTTTCTCGTCGAACGTGTTTACATCGTTTTTATTCGAACGTTTTACCACCTGCTGTTTAAAAGGTGGATCAGTGGCATCGCATCGAGGGTGGTTCATGGAGGTTTTGCTCCATTCGAATTTTAATTTGTTTTTTCTATATTTCCACATTACAGCGGTACGTCATGCTGTGGTTAAAATGATTACATATAATTCGAAATCACCCTGTATACGTAAGTACAGTTTTTAATTGAACATCCAAGCAATGCATGTGACGTGACACTTACACCATCCAAGGTAAATAATATAATAGGAATTATAAAAAAGGTGCACACATTATGAAAATAAGTGCATATTTTAGCATTTTACGTGCATATGAATCCACATATTTTAATAAAATTTTATGCATGGGAATGTTCTGTCGACTTGGAGGATCCACAAGATCGGAGGTACGATAAAAGAAGTACTATTATGACTTCCCATTTGGAAAGAATACCATTGTTGTCCTACAGAAATGCGTCTTTATTTTAGCTTGATAACAGTAGAGTTAATTAAGGGATGAAACTGTGCAACCGATTTAGAATAATTGATAAACTTAATTAACAATCCCAGCGTTATCGTTAACAAAATTAGTATGACGGTAATGACATGCCTAATTCAGGCTTCTATGATAGTTCAATCATGTCAGATGTCAACGACATTTCCAACCACGAAAAATAAAACCAAGCGCCATTCATATAACGTGTTTAAGGTCGGAGAAAACAGTTTATTATCGAATTATAAAAAAGTAGTTAATGGACAACACGTAAACAGTTTTCGACAGCCTTGATACACCTGTAAATACGATAATCACTCGGTTCGCGAAAAAAAACTGTCTGGTAAAGAAAACGCCACCTGGAGATGATTTATGTTTGGAATGTCAGGTCTTGCTCTGTAATGTCAACAACTGTGTTGACTTTGCATAGTTTAGTTATAATAAAACCATATCAGTTTCAAACTTTTATGCGTTTAGAGACTTCAGGAAGAAGAAAAATTCAGAATGATCGTGTGAGCTTACGTAAAGATAAGTTTGGGAAGGACAACTTGATCAACATGAATTAATAAAGGTTATCAGAAAATATGTAATGTGGAGGTTGGAGGTTTGATACAACAGAGAAGAAGACACCAGGAAGAACTAGTTAATTTGGGTTCATCCTGTTAATGTGGCTGATTCATTTTGACCTTGGTTATTTGCTACGGCTGAGACAGACCCCCAAATCTTTTTTTAGTTAAACGTCATGGAAGTTGGAAGAGCAGTAGTGTTGTAGAGGGATACATAGAAAATATTTTTGAAAACTATAATTTTTTTGGAAAACAACAAAAAACATTTCGCACTTAAATGTACAATGTAACTTACTTATCATTTATTTGAATACGCTTGTATATGCTGAAGGTCCTTTACTATTGAAAATAAAAAAAGCTATAATAACTACGCATTTCAACAATCGTGTTTCCGCCGTATACCTACAGTACGAACATATACAGGGTTAGTCACGAGAGAATTACTTCTGAAAATTATTTTTACGCAACCCAAAATACTAATACCCTGTACCACTTGATATTATCTAAATTTGAAATGAAATGCCTAATCCACGATTGCGTTGACTTTGGCAGTGTCACTTTGACGTTAATTAATTTTTAACATTTTTTTTCATCGTTGACTCGTCTCTAGAGCCCCATTGGATCGACGACATACAATCAGATCAATCTGGGCTATACTGAAGCCGTAAG